AACCAGGGAGGGGTTATCTCCTGTTGTCTTCTATGTAACATTTTGTACTGACAATTTTCCAGATAATACTGGTTTTGTGGGATTAAGGGATATGGGGATAAAGCAGGGTCAGGTTATTAGCTGGAGTTAGATTAGAAGATCAGCCATGATTGAATGGTGGGGCAGAGGCTCGAAGGGCCGAATGGCTTACTCCTGCTCCTACATGTTATGTTATGTTTTTGAGGACAAATTACCTGCTGCGTTTGCCTACAAAACACACAATCATATTTCACAGTTTGATTTATTTCAACGATGTGATAAGGCACTATATCAAATACAAGGCTTATTATTATTATTATTATTATTATTATTATTATAACAGACCCCCACCCGATGATGCTATTTTACTCTTACCTTCCATACAGCTTTGTCCTGATGACTGATATTCTATTCTTAAATTTTCCAAATCTAAATAGGTGTGGTTGGGAAGACTGCTGGGCGACAGTGTAGAGCGAGCTTTACTCTGTCTCTAACCCGTGTGGTGTTTGGTACGTGAATGCTGGCTGGACACTGAGAGCCATACAATACCAACATCCCTCACCCCTTAGGTGAACATAAAATTCAGGGGAAAAATCCATTACCTGTTTAAGGGAATAGATTGAATTTGAAAACACAAGACGTAATTGCAACCCTCGCTAATTTAAAACTAGATTCAAAGCAGGATTAATCTTCTCTTTTAAAGTGATATTGGTACATATATATTTTGTCATGTTTACTGACAACGCCTTCTGCTTTTAGAGATATAACAACTGGCATTCATTAGACTAATCTGAAAGCAGTTCTCGAGGCATTTCATTTCATTCCAATTATTATCCTTTTGTGTGCATTATATGATGAACTAACATTAAGGTGCTACTAACAATGGTTTAATAATTGGTTTGTCACAGTATGCTACATTGTTTTCTTATTTGGAACCAGCTAAACCTCCTTCTACATGAATAAATGTTATTAAACACAGTATTAAGCTACCCCCCGTGATCAGTTTGAAAAGGCATTAAGACAGTATGGAACTGAGCCACACAGACTGAATGAACGCAGGTTCAAGCTTGACTGTGTGTACCAGCCGGGGTGGTAGGGCTGTCATTTCAGCGTGGCCTGGGCAAGAGCAGAAAAATCAATGACAACCTCCTACAACATGAAATTGTGTGGAAACATCAGCCTGGCTCGGTTGGTAGCACTCTCCTTGCCTCTGAATCAGAAGTTGTGGGTTCAAGCCCCCACGTCAGGACCTGAACTCTAAGGTGACTCTCCAATGCAGCGTCGGGGGCTGGGGTGGGGAGTGGTGGGGGGGGTGTTTCTTTGTCAGAGGTGCTGTCCTTCGGGTGGGACATTAAACTGAGGTCCTGCCTGTGTCTATTCAGGTGGACGTTAAAGATCCTATGCGCTACTTGAGAAGAGAACAGTTTCACTGGGTGTCCTGGCCAACAATCCCCCAAATAGAATTCATTTAGTGACTGTTGGTGGGACATTGTTGCGTGGAATTGGGCTGCCACATTCGCCAACAAATACGCAGTCACTTCCCAGGATATCCTGTGAAAAGTGCTATAACAAATACAAGTATTATTATTATTATTATCGAGCTTAGCTGTGACTCCCGCTCTCCCTCCTCCCACCCCACAACCCTCTATCCACGCTCACTGTCGTGGCTCGCACATGATGTAAGGCATCGAAGAGCGATCAACACACAGTCACTGAACTGTCAGTCAACAAGAGCGTCAAAGTGCTGTGTTTGGGATTTGTTAATTAACATCTGTGATAGTCAACAGTTGCCCAGTGTTGGCCTGATAGTTATCACCCTAGTGAAGGTGAGCGAGAAATGGTTAGCGAGATATCGGTCGTTGATGGTTAGGAGGATATCAGTTAGAACATTGGTTACTGATCGTTAATGCGCTATCGGTTAGGATATTGGTGATAATGGGGCAACATAAGGAAGTTCCTCCCAAATTTCCTTGTAGATCTGTTACTGACCATCTTATATTTAAGATATAAATACATCTTGGACTCAACAAGAAGAGGAAAGTCTATCAGAATCTTTTACAATCTTGAACACCTACTGTATTCATTTTGCCCTACAGCATAAACGCTCTTAAATAACATCCGATATCCTCCTAACCATCACTAACTGATATCCACTAACCAATATCTCGCTAACCAATTACCCCTTCTCTTAAATGACTCTGGTGTTCAGGACTTTACTGTCCGTCTCACGAGCCCATTCCTCTGTGTGAAGAAATGTTGACGGACGGAGCAGTATTGGCCAAGGCATTAGGAGAACTCCCTGGTCTCCATCCAAAGTGACATGGATCTGGAACCAGTACAACAAGCAAACAAGAGCTCAGCTTGATGCCTGATCCGAAGAATGGCCCTCTGATGATGTGGAGGCTCCTGTATTTGGTGCAGTGGAGCCAGGGGACATTAATGAATAACTCCGCTCTCCCAAGCACAATATAAAATCTAGAAGGAATTAAGAAATCAAGTCTTGTTCCAGACAATCTTCCTTTAATATAAAGTCAACATATCTACATACACAGTGGGTTTTTTTTCATAACCAATTATATTTTCAGTTATAAGTAACAGTTGTTTGAAAGCAATAATCGCTTGCCCCTCATACAAATTACAGTTCTTTTTGTTTTCGAACATCCCATTAATTTGGCTTTGTCACACTGGCTACATCTGACAGCTTTCACAAGCTATTGAGCAAATTCATCAAAGACGTCAATAAAGAACGGGTTGGAATAAAGCACTTTGCAGTCTGGAGCCCTGGTTAAGTCCTGCTTATTCCAACACTGTCTTAGGTTCCATTACAATATGTGGCTGGGGCAACAAAAAAAAAAGGACCCCAAAAAAAATTAATCTCGGAATATGAAGCACACCTTTTAAAATGGTACAAGACAAACAAAGTTTAGAAACATTCAGGAAATTCGATGATGATAATAATAGCCAGTCACAAACAACGTCTCTACAGTGAAAAAATAGACTGTCTTTAAACATAATATGAACAAGTAAATGCATTTTAAATGTTTTTCTTTTTTTTTAATTTGACTTGATAGTTATTTTTTGTTAAAAAAGGAACGAATACACTATTAAAAAAAAGATTATGTCTGCCGTATGTTACAAAACACAAAGGGTTTCTTTTCGGGAGGGAGTGGGGGGGTGGGGAGGGAGGGAGGGAGGAAGGAGTGGGGGAAGGCGATAGGAGAGAAAAAGAGGGAATCACTCACAAAATCATCTTTTCTGCCTCTATTTTCACCTTGAACATCCGGCACCCACTGAAGTCACCACCTTAACTCTATTTCTTTTTACTCCCCCCCTATAAAACTGGCCTGGCGGTGTGGGATGTGTTTATTGAAAGCTGTTATCGTCACTCGCTGTTGGTCTGGGTTAACATCATGTCCACCTTTGGCGAGACTTGGGTTTCAGTTAGTACGAATAAGAATATTGCCTTGTTGTTTGTTACCAAAGAAAAAAAAGTAGGGACCAAGCTTGCTTTGTGGACCTCACATGTTCTCTAAGATTCGGATGAAATATTGCACCCCGCTAGCTGAATGAATGAATGAACGTGATACTCCTATAAGCCCCCTCCTCTGTGAGACAACTAATTTCCCCCAAAGACTGATACTGGCAAAGTACGGTTATCCACTGCCATCGACACCCCAGAACCCAAGGCTGAGGTCAGCGATGATGGTCTGGCAACCGTATATTATAGATGGATATCAACCCTTGTGGAAAAAAAATCTCATCATTAAAACATCTTGCAAATCAGAAATTTCATATTGATAGGGATATAGTACCAAAGAGCTGTACCGGCAGTGTAAAGACTCAGGTTTTGGCAGGATTCCTAGATTTTGTTGCAACTAACGCAACTAAAATGTATAACTCTTTAAGTTCATTTCACATTTTAATCAATAGTTAATTATCCATTGGCTTGAAAGTTTCCCCAACCCAGATTTTTCCCCATTGCAGCACAGAACATGTATAAAACGGAGCCCAACTGTAGAATGGAATATTTCATCGCACAGCAGAATGTCGAAAGAAGCACTGCCTTCGAAGGCTGTGAGAGGCAGAATCAAATGTGTTATCCGAAAGGGAGATACAGTACTTGGGAAGGAAGAGTATTGAGGGCTTTGTGGAGAAAAAGGCAAGGGAATGGAATTAAAAGATCTGATATGATCTAATGAAGTGGTGGGACAGACTTGGTGGGCTGAATGGCCTCCTTCTGTGGAGCCATCTGATTTGGGATTGAGCCATCTTAGACACTGCCAAACACAGTGGCGTAAGGTATCTTGGGATTCATGGCTTTGCAAAGCTAAAGATCGCCCTAAAAGATAGGTGGAGAGGGAGGTGGCGGCTTGAGGAGCTCACACCCACAGAGGTCACTGGGGTCCTAGGAGCTTGGAATGATGGAAGGATGTGGATTGCAGGGAGGAGGGTCCTGCCTGCCATGAAACATTGCTCACTGCCACGTCACAGAGACTCCAACCTGGTCCCCCAAACAAGCAAAAGCTCTCCGCTCACTGTCCCCATTTTTCTGTCGAACAATCTTGGTTTCCTCTTTCCCCCTTCATCCCTCCCTCCCGCACATCTTCTGATAACAAATTAAATATGAATTTGCAAAGTACCCCCAACAGATGGCAGGCCAGATAGACGCACACACACACACTCCCAAGGCCCAGTGAAAATAGTCGGGGGGGGGGGTTGGGGGTGGTGGGACATTAAAAAAATTGGCAATTTTGATAACCGCATAGTGGCCGAAAGAAACCAAACCGGGAAGGTGGGAGTCACCTGCAGGAAATCTGGGTTTGTGAGCGTCATCCGTTAATGCTTTTCCACAGCCTTGATTAGTAAAAGTGTCTTTTTTTTACACAAGTAGAAACTCGAATGGTGTAACCAAAGGCAGGATTCCATCTTTTCTCCCTTCTCCTCCATCCGGGTCCTTGAATCACTTTCCCCTTTCTGTTTTCTCATCAATGTTTCATCATCGGCACGTCCACAACAGAACAAAACCACGTCATTTCCACCACCGTTGAACACTTGAGGTAAGTAGGACTAATCCGATGTTTAAATTTATTCCCCCCTCCCCCCCTCTCCCCCTCCTCCTCCTCCCCAACAGACCAGGGTCCCTCTTCTCTTCCAGGTTACAACATTGAGTTCCTTAGGGTCCGTCTGAAATATCTCCCCCTTGGCTGTGGTTAGAATTAAAGGTACTTTTCAAGCACGTTATATGGCTCAGTAGGAGGCTTTCTTTGTCCATTGTGGCCTGTTGCAGTTTGGCGATCAATTTTTTTTTTTTTACGTTGCATAGTGATCAAAACTTCCAAGATATTCCAGTGCCGCTTGATAGCAGAACTGATACTCATCCTAAAAACACAGGAGAGAGAGAGAGAGAGAGCACATCAATCAGACTCAACAAACACTCAAGAAATTCCACCCGTTCTTAGTCTAGCTTAAACCACCCTTCCTGGCAATCTGTTCCAGTCATTAACTGCTCTCTGGGTAAAAAGATACTTCCTGGTGTCTGTCCCGAAATTGCCCTTTACAACTCTAAACCTGTGTCCTCTTGTTCTACTATCTTGGTATGTCCTATTGTTCTGGGTTTACTCTTTCAATCCATATTAATTCTTGTATACTTCTATGAAGTCCCCTCTGAAATGTCTTTTTACAAGACTACTAGTTGCTCTACAATGCCTCAGGTGCCTTATATCATGGCGACTAAACTGTTTGCAGTATTCTTAAGTGTTTTGCTTGTTTTCAAATCCCTACGTTCCTGACTTGCTCACCCCCCACTCCACCACCTGCTTCTTCCTCTCGGTCAGCTCCGGCCTCCTGTTCATCCCTCGCCTCCTCCTCTCCCATCGGTGACTCTGGAACTCTCCCCCACAATCCCTCCGCCTTGCCACACCCCACCCCCCTCCTACTTTCATATACCACCTAAAAACCTTCCTTTTTCGGTTGAGCTTATGGTCACCTCCCTCCTCCCTCTCCCTCTGGCTCGGGATCAGACTCCGCCACTGTCAAGCGCTCTGGGACCCTACCAGGCGAGAAGGGCGCTATATGAATGCAAGTTGTTGTTGTTGTCGTCGTTCATCCGAAAGATGGCACCTCCCACATTCAGGTACTGTGCTGGGCTTGACCGTGAGCCCAAACCCTGAACTTTAAACCCACAATCTTCTGGCACTGAGGCGAGAGCGCTACAGACCGCCTGAGCCAGGCTGACATAAACACAATCCACGGATGCTGAAGCCATCTGCAAAGTTATGCATCAAGCTCACAGCTTGTGCTGTAGGAACATCGGAAAGCATGGAATGAGACATCATTAGCACCCTGAGGTTGGCTTGTATTGTGCTGCTGTCCCACTGTTCTATATTTCATTTAAAAAAAACACACGCAAACACACGCACAACCGAGATACTTGCTCATTAATCTCGGCTGTTAAATATTCTGGGCAGCTCTCTTGGAACACAATAAACAATGATGTAGCTGCTGAAGTCGAGGCTTTTTTTTTCTACTGCTTCTGGCACTTCCATCGAATAAGACAGGTGATAATGGCCACTTTGTCTGAGTCTGTGCTTGAAACGGTTGATAAAAATTTACTGTCAATGTGACCTCCCTCCTCCTCCCTCCCTCCCCTACATCTCTTCCCATCCTCCCTCCCTCCCCCGATTTCAAGACAATGGTTTGTCTAATAGATATCATTGGAGTTCTTATTATTATTACTATTGTGAGATCGAATGGGATTCTTCACCCACCCAAAGCTCTCATGTGATCTTGTTCTGGACACTTTTTCTGACCATTGGAGTCACACAGAAGAAATGAGCTTGAGCTTTGTGATCACTGCAGTGGCGGCTGAGCTTGCGGGAGAGCTTACCTCTGTCTGTACCATGGCTGGACGCTGTGTCCGAAGCATCTTGACTGTCTGGAAGATGTCCACCACCCCTTCGTATCTCATCCTCTCCAGCACAATGCTCAGCGTGATGAAAACCCCAGTCCTCCCCACTCCAGCACTGCAAGCCAGACAAAGGAAGTCACTGAGTGTACGTCACAAATCCCTTCACCCGCTGACACCCCCTACCTCTCAACCTGCTTACAACCCCACTCCATCACCCGCTGACTCTGCCCGGCTGGCTCCGGCTGCTTGCCCATCGGCGGCCGTGCTTTCAGCCATCACTCCCCGAAACTTTGGAAGGAACTCTCTCCTTCAATCCCTCCGCCTTGCCCACTCCTTCCCCTTTTTCCCATCATGCCTGAAGATCTTTCTCTTCAACCGGTCACCCTCTCCCTCCCCTGGCTCGGCATCAGGCTAATGTTAAACGCTCCGAGATGGCACCCTGTGTGAACGGCACTATATAAATGCAAGTTGTTGCTGTTGTCAGTAGGGCCTTAGCACCCCAGCAAGAAATTCTGCAGTAATGCAGCCTTGCAGTGAATTGGGGAGGGGGGGGGAGAGGGACAATGAACCTGGGACAGCCTGAATCATGTCTGACACCATTTGTTATTTACAAACCCCTTTGCACATCTCGCAAATTACTCTGCCGTTAAAAGAGTCCCAGCGTAAGTTTACGAAATATAAGTTAGGCCAAATTTACGGGTGCCTGCTGTTGCTTTTTGGTGGGTGGGGGAGGCGGGGGGGGAATTGGGGGCGAGGTCAGCCGGGTGTCTGACACGTGTGGAAACCCATTACCGTTGGTTAAGAGTCTCCAAACCAACCTGAGAATTCCATGAATCCCATCTGGATCCCAGAGCTAGACTGTTGGGAGTGGAATGCTGTTGCTTACCTGCAGTGGACCGAGATGGGCCCATCTTGACCAAACTGCTCCTTGGTTTTGTGCACTTGGCCTATAAAGTCTATGAAGCCCTCGCCAGACTTCGGTACGCCTTGCTCCGGCCAGTCTGTAAACTGGAATTGTCGCACTGTCCGTGACTGTCCGTCCTGATAGAAGAGAAGACAAGTTGAGTCACTGGACAAAGGCTTCTGAAAAATACCCACATACACACCGAATATCCCACACGTAAGATAATAGGCAGTTATATTCATAATAATAATAATAATAATAATCCTTGCATTTGATATAGCGCTTTTCACGTCGGGAGGATGTCCCAAAGCGCTTCACAGAACACACTGTAAAGTGAATTGACTGTATATTTGTGGGCGAACGCGACAGCCAATTGCGCACAGCAATGTCCCACAAACAGTCGTAGATTGAAAATGACCAATTTATTATTGTTTTTTGTTTTGGAGGGATTATTATTAGGTTCTGTGTGGAGTAAGGAAACTTGCCCAAGGTTTCGCCCTCTGCCTGGAATTGAACTCAGGTCTCTCGCTTGCAAAGCGAGTGCTCTAACCACTGAGCTACAGGACGCCACTGGTCTCCACTCCACTGAGCTACAGGACTCCACTCCACTAATATGGTTACAATCATTTGAATTGAGGTACTGATCAGCACTCACCAACCCCTGCACTAGAGTGTCAGCCTGGACTTATGAGAGCTCAAAGTAAGAGCGAAACTTGTGGCGAGGGAAGGAGACCTTCAATTATGTTTTCAAAGAAAGACTGGGATTTTCAGACAGAAAGACAGACATCATCTTCCTTTTATAGACTCACAATAACTCACTGCTACCAAGAAAAACCCCTCGTGGATAAGATTAAATTCAAGGACACAGCAGAAAAGTACCCAAGGCTAAAGGGGAATGTAATCATCGCACTGGGCCTCCGAACCCTCGCTCCCGATGTATATCTACTAATGATTTCTTTGCTAATGCAACCTTTTATCTGGAAGTGGGCTATTCTTAATCTAATATGTTTCAAAATGAGTTATTTTATTTCCCAGAACAGCTCTCGCCGGAAACTGGATAGAAAGTCCATTTTGATCGTTACCCAGGAACACTGTAAATTGCACAATAAGGTACAATTTACATTTATATAGGGTTTTGCACGGCAGGAGGATGTTTCAAAGCGCTTCCCAGTGACTCCCCTTTTTGGCTTCACTGAAGTTTTCCTCTGCTGAAGCACACTGCGCTTCTTCTCAGCAGGATTCTGGTGCTTGTGGTGATGATGTGGGATGAATTAACGAATCTCACACTGTTGTATATTGCCCTCCTCCCTCCAACCAGGATACTCACTCTGGCATCTGTGACTTTGAATTCACGGAGGATGTACTGTGGCATGTTGTACTCGGCCATTGGGTCCACCACGAAGTACTGATACCTGGCAGAGCGCTCCGCAGGCCAGTACTGGTGGCACTTCTCCTGTTAAACACACAGCGCACCAGGAAGTTAGTGATGCAGTTAACAGTTAGCTCATCGCGATACAGGAATAGCCAGGGAATTGGGATAGCAAGCTCTCTCCGCCATTACGTTGAGGGTGAATTGTTGGCCACTTTTGTTTTAGAATCAAAGGGATCCTTTCCACACTATCACAGCGGTTCACTCTCAAACATTTGACAGGACACGATGGAACTGGAGTACCAGGAAGGGTGGCGGAGGCCAGGACACTGGGGCTCATTTAAGAAACTACTTGATGTGCTGTGATGAGAGCAAGGAAGGGGGCGGAGGGCTCTGGAGGGATGAGATCAGATGGGCCGAAGGGTCATCTTCATCCAAACCGATCGTGTTCACGTAACTGCAAACTCTTCTGAAAGTATTTTGCTCTGCTCTAACATTGAATAAAAAGCATTGTGTATGTGTCTTGCTCAGTAATAGACAACCTCTTCCTTATATATAAAGATGCTTTCAGTGCAGCTTTCAGAGATAGGCTTATAAGGGAGGTGTACATCTCCAGGGAAGACTTATTCTGTTCAGTTCTCTTCTATTCTCTTATTCACAGTATTGCAGACCCCAAGCCATGTGTATAAGTAAGTGCCAACTTGCCAACTTATTTACCAACTTATTTCTCACACTGCCGGCCTGGGAAAGGCAGGATTTGTTATAAACTTCACAAGGACTCTGCTTCCTTCCAGTTTGTGACTGGAGGTGAAGGTTGGATCAGTCTCGGTAGTGTTGTGTTGCCACATCTCAGGGGATGTTGGGGGCAGGGTAGGGAATTGGGAAGTGCGGAGAAGAGGGAGAAGGGAAGATTCAATAACAACTAAAGTTACACATAAGTTGACTGTCTTACAGCACTTCGCAAAAACAAGGAATAGATCACCGAGCAGAGAGGAAAGGCCGTTGATGGCATTGACCACAGGCATGTTAGGAGGGTTGCAGGAGAGTGGCAGAGGTTGAGGGTTTAGAGCTTAAGTTTTGACCACTGATGGTGAGACAGAGGGAGGTAGCAACTGAGAGAATGCGGGTTGCCGCGAGGAGGTGGGGGATAGCGAGGGAATTAGGGAGGTAGTGACGGACTGACGTTAACAGGGGAGGGAGGAATGAGCGGCAGACTAGAGGCAGAGAAGCAGAGCACGGGCAGGAAGCAGGAGAATAGGGCTGGAGGAGATTACCAAAATAGGTTGGGACAAGATTGTGAAGGGATTTGAAGAGCAGGATGATGATCTTGAAATCAATCAGCTTGAACAGACCCGAAATCAAGAGGAAAAATTACAACGGTGCAGATCGTGCACCTTCCTCGAAGTTTCGTTGTCTGTCCATCGGTCAGCCAGACAATATGTGGAGGGGAACACGGAGATGAGACAAAGCTTACTGAAACATATTCTGAGGGAGCGGTGAGCTGGGGGAACTGGGAGGATATTTGCTCAACAAAGCAGAAGAAAACTCCAGGCCTAAAGTTTATGCAATCAGGATCCATTTGGTGAGACCGTCAGCCTTGGTAAACAAACTCTCTGAACAGCCGAGACCTCATAACTCATTTCAAGACCTGTTTATTAAAAAAGGAAAAAAGCCAAAGCGAAGTCCCAATGGACGAGCAATGTTAAACCTTGTGATACTGCTCCCCGCCAGAACATAGCTGGGAGCTCCCTCTACAAAGGGGTTTCATCACATGAGTAATGAAGAGTAATAGTCAATCCCCAGCCTACATCTCATTCCCATGTGAGGCCTTCTGACCCTCAGCTCTATTAAAGGCTTATTATCTCTGAAGGCATATAACCCTGGGCTCCACAGCCATTTAATAAAATGATCTAAAATTATCTGTCGAGAACAAATGGAGCGTCTTCTGCCCGGCTGCTCGTGTAAGACTTGCATCTGAATTAGGTGCGTGGCAGAGGAGGCTTGTTTATCACAGTGGGGGGAGGGTTTCGAGACTGTGTTTTGTCTGGGCTTGATAAACCTCAACCAAAGGCAGATTCCCTTAGACAGATTTTTTAGTATCTTATGGGAAAATAGCAGAGAAGGAGCGATGATGGGTCCTAACTCTGGACAGCGGTGTGTGTATGTGTGTGTGTAATACAGGAATCCCCATGACACACTAATTGTTTGAGTGCTCTGCGTGGATACAGATCATATAGACGTGAAGTGGAAGGTCAGGCAGCCCATCTCCTGCCGAAATCACATCAGCGACTGATGGCTTTTGAGTTACAGACTGGTCCTTGAAAAGGTTTCTTCCCTGGGAGTTCTACACAGAATCAATGGCCGAATATTACATGGAACTCGTCGCGCCCACCGCTGGCCACTGGCAAAAGTGTGAAGGGTTTTCAGCGACGTAATGAGATTAAGAGAGAGGTTCCCGGAGCTCATTGTACACGCAAGGTGCACCGAGTGGCTTCATTGTCTGGCTTCTCTACACAACAACAGCAACAACAAGTTACTCTTGTATAGCGCCCTTCACGTCGGAAAGATGTCCCAGGCCGCTGGACAAACAGGGGTTTTGTACCCGAGCTGGGAGATGGGGTCAGGAGGGGTGGAGGGCAGGGGTGGACGGGTTGATGGGAGAATCGGGGGAGGTTGGCATGTGGAGGACTCAGGCCTTTTGTCTCTGTGGGCAAACAAGCCTAGGTATTGACTGGCTGTGCCATCTCTCTCCCAATCAATGTCCTCAGAAGGGAACATCCCCACACAAACACAGCCCTCGCTCCCAGCCAGTCCCACACTCACCCGGCCCATCTCTCTCAGTTTGGTGAGCATGACCACGATGGTGGAGTTATTCTCCCACAGCATCCTCCAGAAGTCCTCTGTGGTCTCTGCTAAAGGCCCCTGTGTAGCTATGTACGCTTTCTGTTGCCTGCAGGAGACAAGTGCAAAACTGATCAGCGCTAAATAGCGAGGGGCGTTGAGGAAAAGGCAAGAGGGTGGGATTAATAGTAGTAGGGAGTCCCATTGCGTAGTGGACCCGTTTTTGATTCCTGGGCAGGGCAAAATCTTTCCTTAGTCCACACGCCTCTGTTTACCTGGCAATAAGTAGGAACCCAGTTGTGAGATGACAACCCAAACTCTCCACATGAGAACTTTCCGCTTCTAAGCCTGGTAGATATTTGTACTTATTGTAATGGGAACGCTGCTCTCTTGTTAAATGGCTGGTTGGTATCTGATTGGAAGAACAGGTGGGTAAGCAGTAAAGTGTGAAATAACTGCTAATTGGATTGACCTGAGTCTAGTTTCTTGTGCAATAAAACTGATTTGTTTTCAGCTCTCACATCCCCAGATCCCGTAGCGAGGAGATGTGCAACTGTGGAATGGGCAGTGTTTGAAGTTTACAGACCCCTTCTGTTCCTTTGTGTTTTTTCTCCTGTCACTGATTCCTGTGCCAATGGTGGGGGGGCTAGAGAGATGTGTATGTGAGTGCTGTGGGTGGGTGTGTGTGTGTGTGTGTGAAGGTATGTGTGTGGGGGTGGTGGCGTGTGGAGTGACTGGTTGTTTGTGTATGTGTGGTGTGTGTGGTTGTGATGTGTGTATGTGTTGTGTGTGTGGGTGCGTGTATATGTGTGTGTGGTGTGTGTGTATGTGTGTGCAGAGTTTGTGGTGTGTGTGTGTATGTGCGTCGTTTGTGGTGTGTGTGTGTGGTGTGTGTGTGTATCCATTAGGGGGGAAATCGGTGGGATTCTCTTACCTGTACCCATCAATGAAGCTGGCGTTCACGTAGTCAGAGCCCTCTACCCCGCGAATCGGCTGCAGACAGACCCTCGTTGTTTCATACGGCATAATGTTGACAAGGCGGTTCTTGAATTTATTACATGGAAGATTGGCACTTATAAACCTGGAGGTGTGAGCTTTGGAATTGGCCAGTCGCTGAACCAGAGAGAAAACGGGAGCAGAAGGAGAGAAAGAGAGCAAGTGACCTTGAGTAAGAACTTTGCCTCTGTTCGTGCCAGAAACACCTTGCAACACCATACTCTTACACGCGGTGTTTCACCCTAAAATATGTCTCGGAGCGCTCAAAACGTCTCAAAACTTTACTGTCAATGACTGGTGAATGTTCATGTTCAATTTTATCCGGGGATCTGTTGGCCAGGACACTGGGAGAGAGAAACTCACTTCTCTTTTCGAGTCGTGCCGTGGGATCTTTAACGTCTACCTGAACAGGCACAGACGGGACCTTGGTTTAACGTTTCATCGAAGGACGGCATCTCGGACAATACATCACACCCCCAGCGCTGCATTGGAGCATCAGCTTAGACTGTAAGCTCAAAGGCTTCGACGTGGAGCTTGAGTCCACAACCTTTAGACCCTGAGATGTGAGGACTACTGACTGAGCTGGGCTGGCTAGCGAATATCATATCGATCTTACGCCCAACAGTGTTATCAATGGGTTTCCAGTTCAGGCGAGGAAGATTTGCTAACAATAATAATATTATTTAAAAAATAAAAAATATTCCAATTATTTACAATAATAACAATTTTAAAATAATAATTATTCAACTTATTTAAACTAATAATCATTTTCACAGATTAAAATCATAAAATTCAAAACCCAAACATCCCAAAATTCTTTTGTTCTTCTTGATTTTATTTTTGCTCATGAATTGAGACCCGGCTGGAAGATTGAAAGCTTTGAGCTCTCAGTTGTTAAGTTTTGTGGCCCTTTTACCCTGCGTGAGCTGTCTCTGGGAGAGCGAGAGAGAGAGACTCAGCCCTCCTCACAACGGGAAGGTTCCATTCAGAGGCAACAACAACAACAAGACATTTATAGAGCGCCTTTCACGTCGGGAGGACGTCCTAAAGCGCTGAACAGTCAGGTGTCGGGGCCCGAGCATGGGGGGAGGGGTGGTGTAGGGGTGAGGGAAGGCAGGGAGGTGGGAGGGCGACCAAAGGCACGATCGAAGAGAAGGGTCTTGAGACCGGCCTTGAAGGAGGCGAAGGGACCGTGGGATGGAGTTCCAGAGTGTGGGGGCAGAGAGGCTGAAAGCGATGGTCGGGCGGGAGACATGGAGCAGACCGGAGCCTGATGAGCAGAGAACTCCCTGTAGCCCTGTTTGGATACTCATAAGCTTAGTGGTGGATTTCCTATGCCCGTTGGACGCACTCGATTGATCAGCTACAGGGTGCACGGTCAATTCACTTTACAGTGTATCCTGTGAAGCACTTTGAGACGTCTCAAGGACGTGATAATAATAATAATAACAATAATAATCCTTGCCTTCGATATAGCAACTTATCACGTCTTCGAGACGTCTCAAAGCCCTTCACAGAATATACTGTAAAGTGAATTGACTGTACATTTCATGGGCTAAAGGCGCTATATCAAATGCAAGGGATTATTATTATTATAATAACCCGGCCCCCACTAAAGCACCCAGTCTTCCCCCAGCCTGTGGTTGAGGTTCCTTCCACCCCAACAAATCACATTTGTATAGCGTCTTTCACGTCAGGAGGACGTCTCAATGCCCTCCCCTTCTCACCTTGAACTCCAGTTCCATCCCTGTGATGTGCTCCCCTGTCTCGACCTGGGTGAGCTTCTGGATGTAAGAGTACAAGTTCCTGGCCATGACTTCCGTGGTCCCACAAGCCACGGCCTCCAGCAGAGCATCATGGATGAAGATGTACTGGTCCTCCGTCTGCACCATGTAGTTCCTCTGGGACCTCATCAGGGTCACGTGGCCGTATATATCCACCGTCTTCTCGTGCTTTATCCTCTCCAGCATGGCGTCGATCACGATGAAGCAACCGGTGCGGCCCACACCAGCGCTGGAAAGCGCACAGTTAACACGGTTAATAGTTTCTCCCACAAAACGTGCCGTCGATTCACTGCACGGTGCATCCCGTGAAGCGCTTCGAGACGTCTTGAGGACGTGACGAGGCGCTGTGTCAAACGCAGGGATTATTATTATTCGAACATGGTTAACACGCTGCTAACGTGGGCACACGTGTGTGTATAGGGAGCGCACCATGTATATTTAGGGGCTATACATAGAGGGCTATAGCGAGGGAGGGTGTGTTTGGTGAGGACCCTTTGTACTCTCTCTGAGTGACCCTCGCATGGTCTTTTATTGGCTTTAAATAAAACATCCCCTTTAATTTTGTCAAAAGATTTGATGCAACATCCAGCTAAAATAAAACCTTATGGGGGCGATATGCGGGGGGTTTAGCTCTCAGGATAGAAAGGGGCAAACGGGGCTGTAACTCCCTCGGACAGAGGAGGGTCCAGACTCGGATCACACTTCTGGGTGACGTGATAATTGTCACCCCCGGGCTTAATTATCATGTGTGATAATATATATCAGCTACTGTGCTGGCTCCGCTCCCTCACCTCCGCCGCCCCCGCTGGTGTTTTTTAAGGCACAAACGACAAGGAACTCAGCTCCTACCTGCAGTGAACCACCACTGGGCCAGCATCTGGAGGGTTGCACGTCTTCACTCTCCGTAGGAAGGCGAGGAAGGGGGTGGGATACTCTGGCACTCCATGATCGGGCCACGCTGTGAACTGGAACTGACGGACTTCTCTCTTCTCACTGGAACCGTTCTGTGGGGAAGACAAGAGGGAGTTAACTGCAGGCTGGGCGTGGGGGGTGGGGAAGGGGGCGCGGGAATAAAAAAACATATAAAAACCCTTAACGTTTAAACGGCGCTAAATATGGCTCCTTCCTCTTCTTTTTATTTGAAATCCTCGTCCAAACTTGCTCCCAAATTCAAATTAATCAGCTGCTTATCTCAGTGTGTAGCGGAGGTCGCTGCAGTCTCCTGGACATTGTTCACTTCATTTCTAATCAAGTTTATTTTGGAAAGAGCTTCAGGACGTTTATTTTACAAGAAAGCTGCTATGTGAGTTCACATTCATCTTCTTACTCAGTGCCTGTTCTTCATTTAACAGTGCCTTGGGATGTCCTCCCGATGCGAAAGGCGCTATACAAATGTAATTTTGTTTTGTTGTTGTTATTAGACAAGGCAGTGAGTGTTGGCAGGCACCCAACCACCCACACACACACACACACACACACAAAGAGAGACACACACATATGGAGAAAGACACACATACAGATAGACACACACACACAAACACATACACACACAGCAACACACACGCACACACAGAAACACACGCACACACAGAAACACACACACACACACATTTACACAGTAAGAAATGACCGTGTTACCTTGTGAAGACAGAAATTCCGGACACAGAAGGTGGCGAGCTCAATGGTGTCCAGCAGGGTGACCTGTATCATTCCGTACGTCTCTGTTCCCCGACTGGGCCAGTACTGGTCACACTTCACCTGCACAGCAATAAAGACAGAGAGTGGGTTAGAGAGACAGTTACTGACAGAGAGAAAGATAGGCAGCAGTGAGACAGAGCGAGAGAGCATGGGATTGACAGTGTCCAGAAATAAATAGGCAGCAATACAGTGAAATAGATTTAAATAGAAGTAGGCAGAGATACAGACAGTGGTCCACACAGAGAGAGAGAGAGAGACGGCATGTAAAGAAGAGCAAGAGAAATAAATGGGAATATAATGTGATAGGTTGCTGTATAAAGAGAGTGACAGACAGCGGTGCAGAGAGAGAAATAGGCAGCAATAGACAAGAGATGTAGACCACAGTGCAGAGAGATAGAGAGAGAGCGGAGAGAAAGAGAGAGACCGCATCTAGAGAGTGAGAGACGGTGTCTGGAGAGCGAGAATGAAAGAGAGAGAGCTAGAGAGAGTGTCTGAAGAGAGAGTTAGAGAGATAGCGTCCAGAGAGAGAATGAGAGAGAGAGGATGAGAAAGAGTGGCCTGTCAGCTAAAGGGAGAGCGCGTGAGAGATAGAGAGAGAACAGAGAGAGTGAGAGAACATCCAAAGAGAGAGAGAGAGAGAGTATGAGAGTGAGACAAAGAGCGAGAGAAAGAGAGTGTGTCCGGAGAGCGATACCTTACAGAGACGATTTGAGGAAAACTACTGGAAAAAGAATCGAAAGTAAAACAAAACGGGTTCATTTGTGCTTTCAGAAAACAAGCGATGAACCCGAGGGGTAGAAAACTCAGCCGCACCCGGGATTTTTCCTCCAGTTTCGTCATCATGACCACGGTAGCGCTCCGTTGCTCCCAGACCATCCTCCAGAAATCCCCAAACGTTTCCGGGAGAGGCCCTTGGGTGGCGATGTAGGCGTTCTGTTTGCGGTAGCCATCGATGTAGTTTGCGTTGATGTAGTCGCTGCCAGTAATACCTGCGCGGACACGAGCAAACAACATGTAGTACAGTAAACCTCACCTGCGTCATGCCAACTCGGGAACCATACATTTAATACGACTAAGGAACCTTTGGGGGTCAGCCGAATAGCCGACACACCCGGAAACCCATCACCGTTGCTTAAGAGCATCCGAACCAAACTGAGAGTTCCATGCATCCCACCAACACATGGAAATCCCAGAGATACGATGGGAGGGACACATCTTGCTTAGCTAATTCCGGAAACTATCCGGGAAAATCTATTAATATTTGGGGGATTGCTGGCCAGCACGCCGGGAGAAAATAATAATAATATTAATATTAATAATCCAGGAGTATTTTGTAACTGTCACTTGCCATTCGGTCACCCAATCTCTCATTTACAGCAAACGCTAACAATGGGTAGAAATAGCCTCCGTCTTCAAAGAGTTAAGACATCAAAGGTCGTCTCAAGCAAATGCTGGTGCTCTCTGCCACCAGACGAAAGCCAATTGTAGGTCTTGTCGTTGCTAAATTGATTGGGGGGCCCAGTACATTACTGTATTGCCCCATAGCATGTTTTTTCATGGGACGAATGTCCCAATTTATCATTAGCATTATATGCGCTGCCTGATGCCTACAAGCCAGCTCGGTCATGGCTAAATAATTTCCAAGCTCCGCACAGGATGGCCGAAGGCTATAATTACTTGGGCCTCTAAGACAATCAATTTCCTGACTGACAAAATGCTCCTCATTACATTTCGCAACACATATACGGCATAAATCATGCTGAAATTAGCTGTGTAATAGATCAGCCAAACTGCGGTTCCTGCAACTGCTCTCGTTACCCCTTGTGCTTTTTGTTGCGTTTCTTTTTTTTATCGCTCGCGAAGATGCTGTCACTTTTTCACAGCTAATGATCCCAATGCTACAGAGAGAGACAGCCGCTGTGTGTGTGTGTGTGTGTGTTTGCCTGGCCACATATCATCGCAGAGCCAATTAACTGACGTTAACGTTGGCACCTCAGAGTTGGCAGACTCTGTCTGGAAGGTGTCATTACTGGAGCAACTCGCGATGTGGTCTAGAAATCTGGGCCGGACTAATGATAATGATAAATAATAATGCCCGAGTTTTGATATCGCGCCATAACCTGTCATTGAAAGGTGTTCGCAAGATAACAACAATAATAGTAGTCCTTGCATTTGATAACAGTTTTGGGCACAGAATAATACAGTCAATTCAATTTACAGCATATTCTGCGAAATGCTTTGCGACGCCTTCAATCACGTGATAAAGTTCTATATGAAATGCAAGGATTTATTATTTTTTTTATCACTTGTAGCCCCTTATCACGTCGTTGAGATGTCTTAAATCACTTCACAGAATATAGTCTGAAGTGGATTGAGTGTTTATTTTAAGGGCGAAACGTGGCAGTCAACTGCGCACGGCAATTACTGCAGGGTTTACTGTAAAGTGCGGTGGTGACTATATTGGCAAACGCCAATTTTCGCACAGCAATGGGCCACAAACAGCCAGGAAGTGAATGACGGATTTTTACCTGGTTGGGGTGGGGTGGGTGGGGAGGCAATTATTGGCCAGGGCACCAGGGGAGAAAGGCATTTTGAGAAGGGATCTTGTCTTTAAGTCCCACTCAACGAATCTACCTGGCTGCGTACAAATTCCAACAAGGAATTATGTTATTAGAGAAGGTTACGCGGGGACCTGATAGAGGTCTTCAAGATCATGAAAGGTTTTGACAGGCGAGATAAGGAAAAGCTGTTTCCGCTGGTAGGTGTGTCAGTGACCCGCGGTCACAGTCTTAACATATCTACCAAAAGAAGCAGAGGGGAGGTTAGAAGAAATGTTTTCACTCAGCGAGTTGTTGGAATTTGGAGTGATCTGCCCGAAAGGGCAGTGAAATCCGATTCGATAACAGCTTTTAAGAGAGAATTGGACAGGTATCTGGGGAGGACTGGTTTGTAGGGTTATGGGGAGAATGCTGGTGATTGGGGTTAGTGAAAGTGATGCTCTGTCAAAGAGCCGCACAGACTCGATGGGCCGAATGGCCTCCTTCTGTGCCGTAACATTCTATGAATCTATAATCCAGAGCTGCCAAATCCCACGGAAACTGTTTTCGAAGGGGAGGCTCATTTGATAGGCATGTGTGCGCGGGCGGAGGGTCAAAATCCTGGATTCCGCACTGTGTAGCAGATGTCCCTTTATTTCATTCAAAATATTTTAATCGGTTTCTTTAACGCTGATTTCAGCTTTAATTAATTTGCTCTCTCTCCCTCGCTCTCCCTCCTTCCCCACCCCGCGCCCCCACAAACCCCCCGCTCATTTGCTACATCATCCCGACTGTTCTCAGATGTCGGCGGTTATTAGAACATCTGTCTAAATATTGGACCGATGACAATTAGGCTTGGTTAATAGCTAGTTGCTCGTATTTCATTCTGAGGGTTGGGTATACTCCAGAGAAGGCAGCAAAGCCAGAGGCACGGGAACAACTGGGTAAAGATTTGGCAGCGAGTTAAATTTCCACCAAATAGCTGGACGTGTATACGACTGAGAACAGAGGCACTTTGGGAAGCATTATCCCAAAGCATCCCTCAAACAGGAACCGTAGAAATACACACTACAGAAGAAGGCCATTCGTGTTTTAAAAGATCGTCACTTTAACTGAGTTTTACTTAACCACCACCCCCCCCCGCCCCACCCTCGTCCCTCCCCCCAAAAAAGAATATTTTCACCTGTTGTCTAGGTGTACATTGCTACAACAGCAAATTACATTGAAATCGTGCCTTTCGTGTCATGAAGGATGTCCCACTCCATCATTCTGCCAGTGGCTACAGCGCTGCCATTCACAGAATGGCGGAGGGAGCAAGTGTGGTGGGCACTGAATTCATGACCCCTTTCGCAAGAGTCTGGATTTGAGCGTTTTTCTCGGTGACCTGAGATAAGGCTCCTCTGGTGGCTAACACTTACCCTCGATCGGCGCTAAGATCACTCTGGAGTGGTCGTAAGCTATCACGTTGGCGTAGCGGTTTTTGGGCTTGTTCACTTCCATGTTCGAGTGTTCCCAGGTGAACTGCTGGCCGGGGTCGATCGACTGGGGAGTGAGTTCGAGGAGGAGCGAAGGAGAACGAGTGAGAAAGTTAACAGCAATAACAACAACAACAACTTGCATGTCTATGGCGCCCCTCACTCAGGATGGGGTCTCAGAATGCTTCGAGCAGCTGGGGGAGGTGACCGTAAACACAGTCAAAGAGGAAAGTGACCTGAAGATGGAGAAGGAGGGGGCAAGGAGGAGAGACAGAGTGTTCCAGAGTTTTGGGGCGTTAGTGGCTTTAAGCACAGCTGCCGATGGTGGAGACCGGCGAGGTGGGCACTGGAGTAGTCGAGAGGGGAGGTGATGAGCGTGTGTAGAACAAACACAGTTCTCTTACAAGTACAACCTATATTTTATGTTGCGCCTTTCAACTTGGGAGGAGGTCTCAAAGTGATTGACAAGAATGGCTGCCTTCAACCCCATCCTCTCCCCAGTGGGAGCTGGGAGGGGTGCGGGTTGGGAGGGGGGTGGGGGAAGGTGGTTGAGAGGCATGTTACCCAATAACAGGGTCTAAAAACCTAGCTAAGCACATAAATGTCTCGATTTAATATCAGTGTTTAAAGCCAGTTGGTGTCAGTTATGATTCTCAAATAAATTCAATACAATACAACTTACAATACAAAACTACATTTGTTACAGCACCTTTCTAAGGAGGAGGACGTCCCAAGGCATCCAGATAAAATATTCTGCAGTGCTTTTCGTTTTGTTTGGTTTCTCAAGACGGTATTCTCCTCTCCTTCTTTTTGTGAAGGTTTTGACAAATAGCTTTGCTTCTAACTGGTGGTGTTGGGGGTTGGGGGGGGCTTTGAAACCTCACCATTGCTCACTGTGAACTCGGCAGTTCAGTATTGGCTGTTTATTTAACCATTAATAACCCTTGCATTTGGTACAGCGCCTTATCGCGTCGTTGAGAACGTCTCAAAGCGCTTCACAGGACACACTGTCAAGTGGAGTGACTGAGTATTTTGTGGGTGAAACGCGGCAGCCAAGGGAGAGGGAATCATATTAGTCTTGCCCTCATCTGTGTGTGGCGTCATTTGCAAACTTAACGTGACTGTCCTAATTGCAGCTTCCTGCGTGTGATGGCATTACACAATTCACTGACATTTTTGTTGCATTAAATCAGGAAACACACCAACACCCCCACCGCCAATCTGCCTCGGGCGATTTTGCTTTTAGAATCTGCGTTCGCTTCTGCAGCTGAGCTGGTAAATGGAAAATCGGATCCACGGAAGAAATACTGCTCGTTAGACACTTTTTAGACTGCTCATTAGACCCGCAGAAACACAGCACTATTTTTACACGTCTCCAGTCTATCGGGAGTTGCACAGTTGTATGGTTTCTGTTCTGTCTGGGGCCCAGTGGAGACTCTCTCCCTTGAGGATCACACCCTTCTCACCGATTCCCAGGAGGTTTAGGCCCAGGTTGGCCAAAGCCAAGGCTTGGGGACAACAGAGTGTGAGCTGAAGGGCACTGCTAGAGTTCAATCATCCCCAAAACGCTCAGCTCAGCTTCCTCATTGCGAATACTAGCTTCTTATTTTTCTCAGAGGAGCCATCCTTCGGGTGAGACGTTAAACCAAGGTACGTCTACCTGGTCAGGTGGACACTAAAGATCCCTTGTCATTATTCGAAGTGAGAAAGGGAGTTTCTCCCAGTATCCTGGCCAACAATCCCCCCCCAATCCATGGCTGTTCACATTCCACCCATAAACTACACTTTGCAGTACATGCTGTGAAGCCTGTTGAGACTTCTCAACGATGTGATAAGGTACTATATCACATGCAAGGATTATTATTATTATTTGTCCAGCAAGGACCACCCAACGTGCTGGGCCTCATGGTTTGCTGGGTTTACAGGAGCTGAGTGGGAATACTCATAGGAATGAATGCTCTTCCAAGTCCTGCCAATGAGCAAGACTGGCTGGTCCTGCTGACATACCTGACTGAACCCCACTGACCTGAGCGTTAAGGCCATATAAACTCGAAGAAGATCAAGGCTCCTATAACTGCTAGGGAACATCAGTGCAGCTGGGATTCATACCATGAGATTAGAAGAGCCAGCCTCTTGTATAATATACCACCCAATTTGTGTGAAAAAAAGTTTTAAAAATATAATAATAAATATAAGGCAAAATACACTTGAAGAAACCTCGCTGTGTTGACCTCAATCCTTCACAATAGATTAGCATCAAGCGTGTATTCTCTTGTATTCAGGGATTATATTCTTTTCAAAGGCTGACTGATTTCAGGTCAGGTTAATTGGAAGAAATAGAAACTGCAGGAAACCGGTAAAAATAATAATAGTAATTTTTCCATTTGATACAGCGCCTTATTGTGTCGTTGAGAAGTCACAAAGCGCTTCACAGGATATATTGCAAAGTGCGTATTTTGTGGGCGAAACGTGGCAGCCAATTGCGTGCAGCAGTGTCCCACGAACAGTTGTGGATGACCAAATTCTTATTATTTTGGAGGGATTATTACTTCTGGAAAGCGATCTGCCAATCCACTAACAACCGGGTTCTTACTTACTGCTAGAGAGAGACGTGAGGAGTAAGGAAACTTGCCTAAGGTTTCGCCCTGCCCGGGACTCGAACCTTTAGGGTATGAACAAACCCAGCCACAAGGGTGGATTGGATGGAAACATTTCCCCTTTTCAAATGACTAATGTACAAGGTTTCTGCCTCCCCACCTCGGGCAGAATAACGTTTGCAGCGAGTTGGTATGGAGATTTGTTGCCATGAATGAATAATAGAACAAGGACGTAGGTGACACAATTTATTAGAATGATGTGTTTTTCCCTCCCGGATGTTTACTAATAGGAAATTATAATGGCACTAATCCTGGCATTTGATAGAACTCCTTTCACGACCTCCAAGTGCTCTGCAAGTTTACTTCAGGGTATACTTTTTAGGAGATGGCCAGACTCAGTCGGTAGCACCCAGAGGGTGTAAGATACAAAAGTCAGGATGTTATGATGAACCATTATAAAACACTGGTGAGGCTCAGCTAGAGACTGTGTTCAGTTCTCGGCACCGCACTTCAGGAAGGATGTCAAGGCATTGGAGAGGGTGCAAAGGAGATTTACCAGGATGGCACCAGGAATGAGGGACTTCAGTTATCAAGAGAGGCAAGAGAACCTAGGATTATTCTCCTTGAAGCAGAGAAGGTTAAGAGGAGACTTAATGGAAGTTTTCAAAATCACGAGGGGATTCGACAGGGCGAACAAGGGGAAACTACTTCCACTAGCGGGTAACCCGAGGACAGCGATTTAAAATAGTTGTTAAAAGAAACAACAAGACAACAACAACAACGAGATTCCATTTATAGAGCGCCTTTCATGTCGGAAGGACGTCCCAAGGCGCTGGGAAACGGAGGGGAGGTGAGGGGGAGGACAAGTTTGCAGGGCTATGGGGAGAGAGCGGGGGTGTGGGATTGATTTGGAAGCTCTTTTGAAAGAGCCGGCACGGACATGATGGGCCGAATGGCCTCCTTGTGTGCTGTATAATTCTATAATAATAATAATTATAATGATAATCCTTGCATTTGATATAGCGCTTTTCACGTCTTCTAGACGTCTCAAAGCGCTTCACAGAATATGCTATAAAGTGAATTGACCGTATATTTGTGGGCGAAATGCGGCAGCCAATTGCGCACAGCAGCGTCCCACAAACAGTCGCGGATTGAAGTGACCAATTTTATTATTTGTTTTTGAGTGTTTATTAACAGCCGTGTGGAGTAAAGAAACTTGCCCAAGGTTTCGCCCTGCCGGGAATCAAACCCAGATCTCTCGCTTGCGATGCAAGTACTCTAACCACTGAGCTACAGGACTCCATGACTACTTACTCCTCAGCAAACAAATTTATGGAGTAAGGAAACTTGCCCAACATTTTGCCCTGCCCGGGAAATCGAACCTAGGTCCTCTTGCTTGTGAGGCGAGTGCTCTAACCACTGAGCTACAGGACTCCATAATCAATAATCAAGACCTTGCATGAGTGGGTGGAGTGGTGGTCAATGATATGACTATTACCAGTATTACCAATAATAATAATAATAATCCTTGCATTTGATATAGCGTTTTTCACATCGGGAGGACATCCCAAAAGCGCTTCACAGAATGTAATTCACTGTAAAGTGAATTGACTGTATATTTGTGGGCGAACGCGGCAGCCAATTGCGCACAGCAATGTCCCACAAACAGGCGTAGATTGAAAATGACCAATTTATTATTGTTTTTTGTTTTTTTGGAGCTAAATGGACTAAGTTTGAACCCACCCAGGCTAATGAGATAAGATCTTCATTACCTTCATGTGAATTTCTACTGCACGCTATTCCCTGTTTGTCTCTGAATCCTAGAAATCTCAGCATAGATGGAAATCGTTGGGACTATCATGCCTGTGTAATACTAGCTCCACCACTGGAGACATCTAAACCCATTTCTCTGCCTTCTCCTGATTTCCAACTATCTCCCCTAACATCTTTAAATGTTCTGCAACCTAATGGCCCTTTGTGTAAAACAACCAGCTTCTAACCTCCACTTTTATATGGCACCAAATGATCGTGAGTGTATTGTTTAAGTGGTGGTTCGCTTCCTAGCTGTTTGTGGGACGCTGCCATGTGTGCAAATGGGCTGTTGAGTCATCTAGAAATACAGTCGCTACACTTCACAGTAAAAATCCTCCCAAAATGAAAGGTGCTAAAAATGCCTTACTAAAGGATTTCTAAAAATTATTATTAATATTGTACAGAATAATTCAGCACCTTGGGATGTCTTCCTGATCTGAAAGGTGATATATATTATATATATATAAATTTATTGTAGAATTCAATATGCAAATGGCACCAGTTTAAGGAAATTAACAAAAGAGTAAAGGTTTAGTAGAAATATTTTTCATGCAGAGGCTGGTTCGGACATGGAATACCCGGTCTAGAACATGGTTGAGGCAGAATTGATATTAGCTTTTAAGAGGGAATGAGATAGGTCGAATCGGTACCTTCTGTGCTGTTATTATTTGTGATATATACATATATTCCATTGCATTGGGACATCCTCCTGACGTGAAAGGTGCAGTATAAATACAATTTTTTGTTGTTCTGTGATATGATCTGAATGGTTCCCTCAGTAACTGGACCAGAACATCATAGTAATAATGATAATAATTATTGAGATGTGATATCAAATGCAAAGAATTTTATTATTATGATGATGATCAGCCTGGACTGTGAGATCGAACTCCCGACGTGGGGGCTTTGAAACCACAAACTTCCAACTCAGAGGCAAGAGTGCTATCCACTGAGCCGGGCTGACACCATTCAACAACAACTTGCATTAATACAGCGGCCTTCAGGGCAGGGGTGCTCGATGGGAGCAATTACCAATGGCGTGGTTTGACGGGGAGGAAAAGGGAGGTGACCTCAGGCACAAGTGAAGAGGAAAGTCTTTGGGCGTGGCCTGAAGATGGACAAAGCGCAGGGAGTTCCTGAGATTTTGGGGTGTATTTGATGAGGTGGAGGGAGACAGATGGGGTGTTTCTCATTGGAAATCCTCGGCGCTAGTTTTACCTCATATTCCTGGGAGAACTTCAGGTTGTCATTCGCTTTCAGTCGGTCCGTGTTCTCTGCCAGCTCAGAGATTGGGATTGGCGGGTGACTGATCATGCCTACAAGGGATGGCAAGAGGAGAGGGTGGAGACAGAAGAAAGAGATATCAGTATTCAAAACCAACCAACAGACCGAGCGACCAACCACACGTCAATTTAACCAGCAGTCCTTTGGATGAAAAGGCTGAAATGAGAGGAGTAGAGGAGATTCGTGTGAAGTTAGAACATTAAACTGTCAGGGCTTGAAATTTACAACTCCCTCCCCCCCACCCAAAAAAAATAGCAGGAGACTCTGGGAAATCCTTCTGACTAAAGTATCTCCAGAAACACTCTGGCACATGCCCCCCTTTCCCTCAAACTGTTGAGATTTCCCTCCGCAAATGGTTCAGACAAATGGATTGTGGCCAACCACTCCTCAAAGGTGCTAACTGTACGCGATCCATTTCTACACGAGAGTAAATTGGTCCCTCAACCGAAACTGAGAATCAATCAGAGAGATCCCATTGCAACCCATTGTTGAACCTGGGGAGTCTGACCTTAGTCTAAGTTGGATCTTTCCCTCTTTGTGGCTATCAAGCCCCCTGACCCCAAAGTGATCGCTCTTCAGCCAGGTGTGAGGCAAGGTATGTTCATGGTCCAATGTCAACAGGCTTCAACCCTTGTCTTCCATTGGGACAATCCTTCTATTCAAATAAATCATTGCTTGTCCACACTCTTTACCCACCTCCCCCACATTTTAGCACAGTGCTGCAGTGTTCTCCACTGCAATTCTCTACACAGTGCTGCAGTGTGCTCTACACATCCAGTGTAGATGATCCAATTCCAAAGAAAGGTAAAACTGGATGGGTTGAGGACAGGTTATCATCATTGATGCGATGCCGCCTCACAGGGGGAAGATAATAATAATTATAATAATTCTTGCATTTCACAGGGGGAAGATAGGCAGGGCTGCTGCTCTCACTATTTTGTGGCTTGGACTATTGAGGCTACCACTATTAGTTGAGTCAATTCCGACATTGCATTGCCAGGCGCATCATCTTGAAGCCAGTTCAGTTCCAGTTCACTCGTCTCCTCTGCCCTCCCGTGCCCCACACCTCCCAACAAGGACAGCAGGACCGGTCGAGTATTGACACCTGCTCTGTCAGCTACATTCCTTGCAGCCCGAAAGCCTTCAAGGGCCAGAAGGGAAGACTAGCTAGAAACAGATGCAGTCGGAGGACCTCCCAACACACATGTGGAAAAACAATCATTAGCACAAATTCCTTTTGCACATCAACGATTGTTTGACACTGTAGGTCTGTCAGCAACCCATCATCAAGAGCAAGGATTCTTTACAAATCTGCTAATTGCCAGCGATGCTTGGGAACCATCCAGCTCCCATGTGCTCCCGTGCCTACAGTGTGGCTACACACCTGGTCTCTTCGATTTACTTTACCAGCCGCAATATTCCACAATTGGCCTCAAGGACTGCCCGTCCTCATCAGGAATAAACCCAGTGAAACCCAGACATTAAAGCGCGACCCTGTTTCTGTCCTGCTGTCTATGTAATGTGCTGAAAGGCTTCTCATTGAGATAAACAGTTTGAAGATGAATCCAGTACTCTGACGCAGATAAACTTCGGTTTGTGATTAATTTGGCACCAGGAATTTCTGGCTTGCTTTTTCAATGGTTAAAACCAAATGGTAGTTACACTCCACATGAGTCTCTTACACATGAGTCTCTGACACTTCTATATCCTACCATTCCCTTGTCCCTCATGTGAAGGTCTAGCTTCCTCTTAAATGCATCTATACTATCTGCTTCAACTACCGCTTCGGGCAGCAAGTTCTATATTCTCACTACCCTCTGCGTGAAGGAGTTCCTCCTAAATCCTCTCTTAGTTCCTCAAGTCGCTATCTTATCAACAGATTTGTTGAGATTGAGGTTCTGTAGTAATATCAATCAGATTTCAGAAAATTGTCACATGCTGGGTATGTTTATCCTACCAACCTGACTACTCCCTTCGCTGGTGAGAACTGGCCTGGTTTCATGTCCCCTACCTTATCCACTCCACGACTAAAAGGCATGTGGGGCTTTCAGCCTTTCTGTCCCATTCTCTGAAAGTCCATCCCGGAGTCCCTCCAATGCTCTCCCACCCTCAACTCATTGAAGGTCCATCTCTTTGGTTATGCTTTCAGTCAAGTCAACTTTCCACCCCTCCCGCCCTCTCCTCCCACTCGGCTCCCCCCCACCCGCCAGCTCGGGTGCCAAGCCAATTCTGTTAAGCGCTTTGAGATGTCGTCCCAACATGAAAAGCGTTGCATAAATATAAATTTGTATTGTACTGTATTGTTGCCGCACTCCAACTTCAGGGATGTTTTTACGGTATCTGTGACTTTGACGAGGACACAAACGAGCAATGTGTTTGTGCAGATCTGATGAACTCTTTGATGCTGATCATGCGTCTTAAACTCAAAGCCAGCCATTTGTTATTCTTTACCCAATGCACTGGCGTTCCATTTTGCGCTGTGCGTAAACATGCAGCTGTGCTACAAGCTATGTACAACTGACAACCTGCATTTACACAGCGCTCTTCTTGCAGGGTAGCGTCTTGGGAGTGCTTAACAGTGACGCCAAGCCAGGGAGAGGGTGGAGGTGTCTGTAAGCACAGTCAAGGAGAAAGGTCTTCAGGTGTCATCTGAAGATGGGGAAGGCGGAGGCAGGAGGAGGATTAAGGGAAAGAATTCCACAGTTTCTGGGCATAGTAGTTGAAAGCACTACAGCCGATGGTGGAGCGGAGGGGACAAGGGACAAGCAGGAGGATGGAGCCAGCCGAACGAAAAGGTTGTAACCAGGTCGAAGTGGTAGGGAGGTGCAAAAACATGAAGTGATTCGTAAACACGTGTGGACATCTCAAAATGGATCCGTTCTGTAATAGGGAGCCAGTGGTGGCGGGAATCAGGGTGCGGAGTTTGGTGCGGGTGAGAATACGGGCAGCGGTGTTATAATACACCAAACCAGGTGTACGATAAGCTGTATGTAAGCAGGTGTACAGAGGGAATTATGCGATTAAGAACTAATGAAAAAAGATTAGCTGTCAATCACAGAATTAATAAATCAACCTCATTGATTGTTAATTACACAGCTCAGTAACACTATCAATTCCCTATTGAACACATGAGGCCAGACAGTCCACCTGGGTCTAGATTTCCTCTATTTATGGAGCATTTCAGAATGTCCGCATTTTGGCAAATTCTCAAGTCCCGTCTCAATCTTGAAGCCAGTTTTAAAGTAAGTTACTTTTAAGAAGCACAGGAAACTGGCTTCAAAGTTAATAATAAAAATAATAATAATAATCCTTGCATTTGATATATCGCCTTATCGTACAGTTGAGATGCCTCAAAGAGTTTCACATAATATCCTGTAAAGTGAATTGACTATATATTTTGTGGGGGGAAAAGCAATACATCAATCGACTAATAATCGGGTTCCTACTTACTGCTCGGTAAGCAGAGATGTGGAGTAAGGAAACTTGCCTAAGGTTTTGCCCTGCCCGGGAATCGAACCCGGGTCCTCAGGCTTGCGCGGCGAGTGCTCTAACCACTACCCTACAGGACTTCACAGAAGGCTGCGAAGCACCAGAGGTGAACAGTTAACTAATGGGCCGATGTATTGGGCCTGAAAGCCTAAAGGCCTGGGGGCTGGCTCTATGACACTATTGAGTTGTGTCCCGATCAATGCCTCTCAGTCGCTGACTGGCTTGTGGGTTACTCTGTACAGCTGTAAGAGCTGATCATCTGTTTGGAGAGACCTCCGTGTCCCAGGTCCTGGAAGAAACATGCCGGTGCCATGGTTACCACAAAGAAAAAATTTGATATTTGGAATAAATTTGCAAACATTTGCGAGGATTACCAGAATGGGCTCTTAACGATAATCTCAGATTCATTGCCAGACATTGACCCAGAACAACTGTCACCTTTCCCTTTCTTCCTTTCCCTCGTTTTACCCCGGTCGGGTGGGTTCCCAGGACTTTCCCCAGAAGCTGGGTCTCTTTAGTGACACGAGAGACCCCACTGCTGGGGTTTGGGGGGAACGTTGTCCGCGGTTACCGTGGAGAATTTCAAGCCCTGGACAAGAAGCAGCAGAGTTTGGATCGTTGAAAGCAGACAGATGTTCACATTAATAAAATTGAGCAGCACAGAAATGGAGAAGCAAAGCATGAGATAGATCCTCATCAGTTTTTATGGTGGGCCCCGTCATTGCAGTTTGATACCCCTGGACTTTCGGTGTTTTTTGGGGGGTCGGTTGGGTGTCTGTCACAACCCATCGCCGCGCTTAAGAGTATCCAGACCAGACTGAGAGTTCTACATAGGTACACCGCTTAACCTCGGAAACTTCCTGGTCTCTCAGCAAAGGAGAGGATCCTGTGGAAATGGGATGCCGGTCACTCTAAACACTCGTCCATTCTGAAAATGGAGACATAACATAGAAGCTCTGGATTTACCAACTCATCCACTGTTCCCTCAGCCCCACAGTGTGCACCTTTACAATCCTCGCACTCGTGCCTGAAATGGGTGATTTGCGATCCAATTCTTCAACGCAGTGTCTACCCTCCCCTTCTCCCCCTCTCTACCCCACCCCTGCAGGTGGCTGGATGTGTCTCAGGCCGACCCTCTTGGAGTCCACTCAGGCTCGGGCACACATCTCCTGCTGGGAATCTCCCATAGCTGCCATTCGTCTTTGTCGAGTCAAAGCCGAGATCAGTGTCCGGCCACTTTGCCTGGAACGAATCTGGGTTCCCTGCCTTGGTGCAGATCTCATGTTCTTGGCATTATAACACCCTATTGCAAACGGTGCCTGGCTCATTAGTTACGGGGGGGAGGGGAAGGTTGTGAACCTTGGAGCAAACTGGCACATGGACCCTTTCACCCACCCTGCCAGCTGAGGCTGAGATTGAGGCCAATTTGAAGGGTTGAGAGGCAACGAACCATGTGGCATTGAGGTGTGAAAGTTAGGCTGCACTTGCATTACTCAACACCAACGGTGCAAGTTGACACGTTCCACTGGAAAAATAGTGAAGATAATTAACGCATCGACTGGTCCCCGTGTTTAGAGGAGATAAGCTGCTCCCCGCATCCTTTTCAAAGGTCCTGCCAACTAGCCTCGTTGCTCCTTATGGGTCTGGACAATAGCCTTGGTTTGGCTAAGGTTCAGGTGTTAGGCCTCTAACCGGCAGTGTGACATAATCCAATCTGCATAGTCAAGTCTGATTCACTCCTGAGGATGTCTCTTGGTGAGATCGTCGAAAAGGATGATGGTTGGTGTTAATCAACACATCACTCATCGCAATTTTCACCCTGTAATAATTCCCAGTTAATTTCTAAACAGAGTGGGTGGGTGGGCAGGTTTTTGGACTAGATTAGTAATTGGGATTTTGAGCCAGGCACTAAGGACTGAACAATGAGCTGGAGAGGTTTGTCGCTTGGTGACTCACTTATTGGATCAGGCTTTTGTTGCTGGGAGTGAACTTTTCCAGGATCCCCAGTTTGGTAAAAAGCGGGTGTGTGAACGTCCGTCAGGATGATGTGCTCTCGGCTTCCTCTCCCCACAGACAGAGTATCCTGTCAGGAATCACTGTCTCTTGTGGCCACTGGTTAGGAACATTGGAAAAGAAGTTGGCCATTCAGCCCCTCGAGCCTGTTCCACCATTCTATTAGATCACGGCTGATCAACGTAATTTAGCGCCTTTTCTCCATATCCCTTTTTTTTTGGGGGGGGGGGTCAGCCGGGTGTCTGACACATGCAGAAACCTATCACCGTGCTTAAGCGTATCCAAACCAAACTGAGAATTCTGTGCATCCCATCTACACATGGAAATCCCAGAGATATTTATTGGAATGGAATGCGCACTCGCTCTGGTGGGACGTATCCTGCTCACCTAATTCTGCTAAGTATGAGGCACTTGTCGGCGAGAGCCAAGGCTTGGAGACCCCAGAGTGTGCGTTGGGGTAACTGCTGGGGGCTAACCAGCTACAACCACATGACTTACCATTGAGAGCAATGTCTCGCAAGCTTTCCTGTTGCTTGTCCAGCTAGGACCACCCTACCCATTAGGGCTTTGGCTTGCAGCTACATGTCCTTGATACCTTTACCTAACAAATATCTATCGACCTCAAACTGAAAATGCCAATTGGTTGCTGAAGGAAATTGGTTTCCAAATGAAAGCTGAATGAAAGACTTCTGCAAGACTTCTGTAAGACGCTGAATAATCTTACTTGGTCAACGTGTTAATTATCTCAAGGTCCCCCTCCCCACCGACTTACTCCAACCCAGATTTGTCCCCCCAAAAAATCCCAGAATGATTGGTAGACTTGTGACATCAATGAACTACGTGGAAGTGTGGGTGGTGTGCGAGAGTCAACGTATCAGTGAGACTGTGTGTGTGAGAAAGCGTGAATGAGACCGCGTATGTATCTGTGTGTCTGCGTGTGAGAGGGTGAGTTAGTGCGTGTGAGTGGGAGAGGGTGTGTGTGTGCGCGCGCATGTGGGTATGAGGGAGTGTTGACTAACTCTCTCTCTGTATATCCCCCTCTCTCTCTCTATGTGTGGGTGTGTGCCCGTCCCAGAAAGGAGCCAGAAGTGGGGGTGAGCGGACTTGGAGAAATTGCCTAACACAGCGCGATAGAGATGGGCCACAAAAACAGCAACCCAAAGACATGTACTAATGATCCGTTGGACAGACCGGCAACATGGATTTCTGAACCCAAACGTATTAGGAACTGGTCATATCTGTGTCCCCACTTTCTGAAACAAGTTCACTCTTTTTTTGTATCAAATGGACCTCCCATCTCCATCTCTGTCCCACCCAAGTGAGACCAATTCGAACTTAATGTTTTGGTCGATCGAATCCCAACGCCTTAACCCATCCCAACCCAACCCCTTCTGACCTCAAGCCCATTGACCACCAGGTGAAACTGATGAAAGCCACAAGTCTGCAGACAACCCTGAACTGGATAGGGTTAACAATTGGAAGAAAAAAACAACAGCTCGGGGAAATAAAGCATGCGGCAATGTGAGGTGCTGAGCTAAGCAATGAACAGCCAGGAAGCCTCGAAAGAAACACGGATATTTTTGTGTGTATATATATATATATATATAATAAATATATGGGTATAAAACGACAAAGAAAAAGAACACCAAGAGGAGACAAAGAATAGGATAAGACGTACATAGATTTTCCTTTTTTCTCCAAAACAAAACTAAAAACAAAGAGATCAAACAAACAAACCAATATAAAAAAAAGAAGTAAACAAGTCAACGAAACCATAGGTGTAAAAAAATGCAAGTGTGAACTAACTTGCAAAATCAGGTTCACTGAGGGGACTGGTCAAAGCGGAGTCTGTGAAAAAGAAACATTATCACACGTGAAAACACTCAAAAAAACCCTCACAGGCCTGCAGAGAAAGGGCAACTCAAAGAATAAACCCAAGAAAACAAACAAATCAAACAAACACAAACTCAAACGAACGTATGAATTAACATTGCAACACCATCTTGACCCTCTGAAAGAACATCTCCGAGCAGACGTTAACCAGACGCGATCCGTAACCGCAGACGCCCTTACCTTCGCTGTTCTCTCTTTCTCTCTCTCCAGCTCCTTGCTTTGAGGTGAGACCCCCGATACTGTGTCATTGTGCGTCAGTATTGCCAGGAGTGCTAAGATGCTTCCCCCACCCCTTTCCCCCACCACCCTCCCTCTCCCCTCTCCCACCTCTTACTCACCCTTACACCAAGAGACACACCTTGTGTAAATTCGCTGATGTAACCCTAAGCACTTGACCAAAGACGTATGAATAGTTACAGTGGACCTGCAACACCCTTGGGTTTTAAACTCCGGCAGAGATATTTTCCCGGATTATCTGACTGAAGGAAATTCCTACCATAAATACCCAGGGGGAGGAGGGTCTAATTTGCCATGTTTCTCAAAGGAATTCCTTGAGAAGGAATCCGAGTCCTTGGCTCCTGCCAACCCATGGCAACTCAGCTCCAGTCCCATCTACTTCGGGTGCGGAGATCATAGGGCAATCGGCCGAGATTCCAAATCGAGGGATATTTGCTAGGAAATGTGCCGACTGACTTTCCGTTGTCGAGAAGCCACACAAAGAGGTCATCCCCTACCTGGACATGTCACCAAAGTTCATTGATCAGTGCGTCTTCACAAAGTGCCAATAATCAAGGGAAAGTTGTAAATTTGCTGCTATATACTATATATATATATAAATGCCATTCTTAGGCTGTGCTGTTTATAAGAATGCACCAAGCAGATGCCTGTAAGATATTGCCACACAGGTTTAAAGGCTGACTATTGCAGTGATGTACATGTGGGCTTCTGTTCCTCGCTGCGAGGGTGAAGCAGATATAATCTAGCCACCCTCCATTCCTCGTTCCCTCCCTCATTCCCTCCCTCCCTCCATTCCACCACCGCCATCAGTTAATGTGAGTCAAGTAGCACAAAGCCACATTCCCACTAATGCCAAGCTGGTTTTAAAGCTCCCTGTGTTTAGTAAGTGAGCGAGCGAGCAAGTGAGTGAGCAAGCTAGTGAGCGAGTGAACGAGCTGGTGAGTGAGGCGAACGGGCACTTCATACCCCCAACATTTAAAGCCACGTCACTCCAGAGCTTCTTTCCCAATGACTCTCAGAACAAGCCAAGCACAATCAATGGGAGAAGCCACAACCCCTTTGGCTTTGACTCCGGTGGGTGAGTCACTGTAGCAACAGTTTTATCCCTGGTGCTGGAATCGGAGTAACTTGATTCCTGGAGCCTAACTGAAGGAATTGCCAGCAACTCAGGTCTCCTGCTCAGCACGTGCAGGACCAGCATCTCACACACACAGGCGCACACAGACATTTTCTGTTGATAAACCCCGATCATTAATTGACGAAATGGGATTTCAGAATATCTTCAGTGAACGCCTGAGGCATTCCCACAAACCACAATGTATATGGTTAAAGGTATCAGCACTCCCTCTGATAGGATCTTCCTTGAGAGCAACTCAAACTGTGGCTGATATATATATTTTCTGAAAGATGGTATTCAGTGGCCCTTGTTGCTTCAAGACTGGGCACATATCCTGCACCCACTTCATTGTCTATGATGTTACACCACTTGCCATGAGGGGATGACCAGGAGCAGATTGAGATAGTTCTGACGAAAGGTCATGGACCTGAAACTTTGACTCACGTTCCTCTTTCCATAGATGCTGCTGAGCGTTCCCAGCGACTTCTGTTTTTATTGCAGATTGAAATGGTTCTGCCTTTCCGATTTTAAGCACCCTCTCTGCCGCCCCTCGGGAATCATATAAGGCCCCAAATTCCTCCCAGTCTTTGCCCGTGAGGCTATTCTGTCTTCAAATTTAACATTGCACGGAAAAGTGGAAAATTCTTAAACCCAACATGAATTGGGGCAGTTGCAATTAAATAACTTGGGGTTTGGATAGTTGAGAGTTCTTAAATCTACCGTTAATACCAATCTTATTAAGGCTAGATTGAAGAATTCTCCACCAGCCTACGCCATCTTACAGTTTAAGATGAACTACTCTAGGTTTCCAGGCTAAAACTGGGTGGGGTCTGGTTTCTCTTATCTCCTCTTGGTATCTCTGACACTCGTGATCTACCCTCACATCTACCCCATCTGACCCCACCCGACAGTCCAAACACATATCCTGCCACCATCATAGACACATTAGTCACTTCTGCCTTCTGTATGGTGGGACGCACTGTGACAGACCCACTGAGAGATGTCCAAACATTTGTCTGAAAAGACAATCGTTCAACGGTTGGAATAACCTTCATGTGGTATGTGGATTCCTTCCTTATACTGATACGGTAATCAACAGAAATCTTTCCCTTCCTTGGGAAACGTTATACATTGCTGAATCACTGGATTCCCTTGACCAACTAGTTTGAAGCATTTGGCTGCTGGGTATCACACAATACAGAGTTACACTTATATAACGCTTCCTCATCGAGAAGATGTCCCAAGGCATTTAACAATCCTGGCTCAGCATCCGAGCTGGCGGGGGCGGGAGCTGCATAAGGTCGGGAGGGGATTGTTGACTGAAAGCTCGGTCAAAGAGGGAGGTCTTGAAACGGACCATGAAAGAGGCGAGGGAGGGGGCGAGTCGGGGGGACTCTGGGATGCAGTGTCAGAGACGGGGAGACAGAATGGCTGAAAAGTCCAACTAACACATTTTCTTTTCAGGCAAATATAGAAAGGCCTCTGTTGGCTAACCTTATAACCCTTGCGTTTGATATGGAGCCTTATCACGTCTTCGAGACGTCTCAAAGCGCTTCACAGAATATACTGTAAAGTGAATTTACTGTATCCTGTGGACGAAATGTGGCGGCCAATTGCGCACAGCAGCGTCCCACAGTCATGGATTGTGTGACCAAATTATTATTTTTTTTTAGGGATTATTAACCCAGGAAAAGTGATCTGTCAATCGACTAACAACCGGGTTCCTACTTCTGCTGGGTGAACAGAGGCGTGAGGAGTAAGGAAACTTGCCCTAATAATAATAATAATAATGCTTGTTGGAAGATGTCACAGTACAAAGGACACAAATCTAACATTGACACCAAAACAAGTAGAGACATTCCACTTTTGGATGTCTTTTAAATTTTTTTTTTAACCAATTTTGAATATTTGAAAGATAGGGAAGCTAGATATATTTGATTTAAGGTGTGAAATTGCCTCATTACCTGCAGACAGCAACACTATTTTGCTTCCCTCCATTTTTCGTATTTTACCTGACTCTCTTGCTTAGGCCCCCAACGCCAAACTGTTCTCTGGTCAACGCCAACAGGCTCCGCCAGCCAAACAATGTAATAATAATAATAATCCTTGCATTTGATATAGCGCCTTATCACGTCTTTGAGACGTCTCAAAGCTTTTCACAGGATATACTGTAAAGCGAATTGATTGTGTGTGTTGTGGGTGAAATGCACTGTACGGGATACTCCCCAGACGAGAGTTGAAAGAGATATCGGGGTTTTTTGCCCCGTGTACAGTCCGTGCTGTGATAAATATCAAACTATCCAAAGTAACAGACTGTGACTGTCCCCTCAGCCCTGGGCCAGGCGAGACAGGAAAGGGACAGAGGAAGGACATTTGCTGACTCATGAAAACATAGAATCATAGAATATTACAGCACAGAAGGAGGCCATTCGGCCCCTCGTGCCTGTGTCGGTTCTTTAGAAGAGCTGCCCAATCATTCCTGCTCCCCCGCTCTTTCCCACAATTTTGCTGTTAAAGCAAACGTTAACTCGTCGCTAGTGATGTGGACACGAATAAAGCACATTGTCCCCCTCCAGAGCCTTACCTGGCGTCTGGAAGTTGATGCGTCTCATTTCCACGGGATCCGTTGGGTGATGGGATGGAACCTCCGCATTGTTGAGAAGACACTTGGTTCTGGGATCGCTTTCTTTTCTTTTCCTGCCGCGGGAGATAAGCGGATCGGACGTTACATCTCACGGCAAGATTTTCCCCTATTGTTATTATTAATATTAATAATAATAATCCTTGCATTTGATCCAGCGCCCTACCGCGTCTTCAAGACGCCTCAAAGCGCTTCACAGAATACACTGCAAAGTGAAGTGACTGTACTCTAGTTAACTGACGCCCAATGAGTGTTGACTTGGCTCAAATAGCCGGCACTCCCAATGCCAGGTCAGAAGGATGTGGGCGTAATTGCCAAGGCGAGGCTTATGTTCACAGACGGCTGGACTGAAATCCCAGTCATAGCGCTGGGGGAGGCCCGTATAGTTGGAGCAGGCCCGTTCGGGCAGTTGCTCAACCCGATCAGTGCCCTGGCCATTCCATCCACCATACTCACAGATCATCAACTGCACAGGTGTAAGAGAGACACTGATGTACCAATTGGCCACTGCGCTTTGCCTACAAATACATACAGTCACGAGGCTCGTGGGTTTCTTACCTGTCAGGTTTGCTGTCCGAGGCGAGGGGGTTAAGGAGAGAAAAAGAGCCGTGTAAATAAATGGATCGCCGTTAACAACGATAAAAAAAACACATTCAAGTTACAGACAGAGCAGCAACATCTCTCTATTGAGTCTAATTATTGCACACGGGAGCTGAACTGGCCTTTACAACGCACACACGATGCAGTCACAAGAATCATTAATGAGCAGGGACCCAGAAAGGTTGGGTTAAAGGCCTAACCTGTAAGCAGGACAGAATAATGGAGCACGGAGGTTAAGTAGCGGTAAATTCCACATCCACCATGTGGGATGAAGGCAACGAAGCAAGAGATTTTAGTTTAAAAGGCGGTGATTTTAAAAAAAATTAGAAAGATAATAATAATAATAATCCTTGCATTTAATATAGCGCCTTAACACACCGTTGGGACATCTCAAAGCGCTTCACTGTAGAGTGGAGCGACTGTGTGTTTTGTGGTGTGGCTGGAGAGGTGGGGGAGAGAGGTAAACAGGTTGTTGGTTGAGTCCCTTGGCTCAATGATTGACAACAGCTTTGATGAAAATTAAAACCAGCTCGTGGCATTATCAACTTGGTCACTTATTGCCCTGACTGACTGACTGCAATGTCATAGGAAATGCAGGTTAACTGATCAGGCAGGTACTCTTCCCGCTCAGCTCTTGTTAACCTTGCAAGCCAAAGCCCTTAACGGGTAGGTTGGTCCTCGCCGGATAAGCAGCGAGCGGGAAAGCTTGTCAGACAGCGCTCTCAATGGCAAGCTATGTGCTTTTAGCTGGTTAGTCTCCAGCAGTGACCCCAGCACACACACTCACACTCACACACACACACACACACGCACGCACGCACTCACTCACACTCAACCCCACCGGAGAGCTTGCGATGCTCAGACAAGTGTGGTCTCACTGTGCGACCACCAGCACGGACGTCCTTACTTTTTGTACAGCAGGATTGCGATCACGATGCAGATGATAAAGACCACAGCCAATACGGGACCCACCACCCAAATCAGGCCCTCTTCCCCGTCGATGGTGGGCCCCAGCTCGGGGTCAGCGGAGAGGAAATGATCCGAGTACGGACTCGCTGCGTACATCTGCAACCACAGAGAGAAAATAACAATCCTTGCATTTGATCACAACGTCTCAAAGCGCTCCTGGACGAGAGACAACTTTCTTCAGCTCAACGTGCGCAAAACTGAGGCCCTCCTGATTGGCTCACGTCAGCGCCTCCGCACCTCAGGCGCTGACAGCATCAGCATCCAAGGCTGCACTCTCCACCTCTCAAAGCCAATCGAATTCAAGATCCTCATCCTCACCTACAAGGCCATTCACGGCCTTGCTCCCTCCTACCTCTCTGACCTACTATCCCCCTACCTACCTGCCCGTACCCTCCGTTCCTCTGGCTCCGGTCTGCTCCACATCCCCCGCCCCAACCGCCCTACCATCGGTGGCCAGGCCTTCAGCCTCTCAGCCACAAGGCTCTGGAACTCTATCCCCCATTGCCTTCGCCGCCTCCTCCCTTTCCTCCTTCAAGGCCGGTCTCAAGACCTTTCTCTTTGATCGTGCCTTCAGCTCCTCTCTCGACTCTCTACCCCCTCCTCGCTCCCTCCCTTCCCTCCCCTCACCCTGACCATCTCCCCCCTCCTCGCTCCCTCCCTTCCCTCCCCTCACCCTGACCATTTCCCCCCCAATGCTCGGGTCCTGACCCAACTGTACAGCGCCTTTGGGACGTCCTCCCGACGTGAAAGGCATTCTATAAATGGAATCCTGTTGTCGTTGTTGTTCACTGAAAGTGCATGACTGTGTGTTTTGTGGGCGAAATGCGGCAGCCAATTGCGCACAGCAGTGTCCCACAAACAGTCTTGGATTGAAGTGACCAAATTATTATTATTATTATTTTTGGAGGGCTTATTAACCCCGGAACGCAATCCGCCAATTGATTAACAAGCGGTTTCCTACTTACCGCTAGGTAAACAGAACAGAAACAGAAGTGTGAGTGTGTGTGTGTGGAGTAAGCGATCAAGCGATGACAAATGGTGGAAGGAGGCGGCAGTGGGGGGGGAGTGAGGGGCGAGGGTTGGGGTGGGTGGTGGGCGGCTGTAGCGAGGGGAGGGGGGCACCTTGAGACACTCACCGCCTCTGCCACGTCCAACATGGCCAGGATGAAGAAGACGTATTTGTTGCCTTCCCCCAAGGCCTTATTCATGAAGCCATCGTAATAATGTCGGTCGCCCAGAGTGAACTCCTTGGGCAGAGTCTTGAAGCTGGCGGCGATGTAGGGCTTTGGATAGGTCACCTGTCTGCGCAAACGCACACTCCTGCGCCGGCGACGGTGTGAGAGGTCCAGGAACAACTACAATCAGAGACCAAACACTGAGCACGTACAACACACACACACACACCAACACCAACACACACACACACAGTACACCATATAATAATCTAATAATAATCTTTGCATTTGATATAGCGCCTTATCACGTCTTCGAGACTTTTCAAAGCGCTTCACAGAATAGACTGTAAAGTGAATTGACTGTATATTTGTGGGTGAAACTCGGCAGCCAATTGCGCACAGCAATGTCCCACAAACAGCCGTGGATTGAAGTGGCCAATTTATTATTGTTTCTTTTTTCTTGATCTACACACCCAAACACACACCAACACTCATCCACACCCATCACACACACACACCATATACACACCCCAACACAATCCATATACACACACACACCACATACACACCCAACATCAACACAGGCATAGAGACACCCATCACCCACACCTAGACATCCACCCCACACACACACACACACAAATAAACAAATACACAGACCCACACCGACTAACCCCACCCACACACAAACACATATGTCCAAACATAAACACATACCTCCTCCAGATCCATTTCATCAGGACTACGCCAAATATTGATAAAATGTCCACGGGATTTCTTTAAAGGAACCACAATGATGTAGTACGCCCTGGAACACAATGCAAGAGAAAAGTGGCTTGATGTGACCGATAAACAGGAGGTTGACGGATTGCAGAGAGCAGAGGGAGGCTGGGCGGAATGAGATTGATTGTATTGTAAAACAGAGAAGAAATGTCACACGATGGATTGCTGTGTGTGATTCTCGGTCCCTATCTGTGCAATCAAAGTGGTAACTGGACAGTTTACCTGGCACAAAACACTGATAATTGCTCAGCTGGAATTGCTGCCTCTCAGAGCTTTGGTTCGCGCCTGGTTGAGGACATGTCTTGTACTTCCAAGGCTCACAGATGCCTTCATCAATTAACGACTGGAGTGGGTTATCAGGAAGGGCGGTTGCAGCCAGGATGGTAGGGTAATTAGCAAAGGGGGAGATTAGGAGGAATTGTTTGGATGCAGAGAGCTGTTAGGATGTGGACTGCCCTGCTGGGTGTTGTGGTTGACACAGGATTCATATCAGCTTTCAAGAGCGACCTGGGTAGATATTTGGAAGGGAATCATTTCCTGATGTAGGGAGATGGGAGTAGGAAGATTGGTAAGTGGGACTGAATGGTTCGCTCTTTACAAAAAGCCACAACAGACACGATGGGCTGGATACAAAAATTAAGCTCAAGGGCCTCCTTCCATGCTGTGCAGCACCCATGTTAGCTTTCGAAAGGGAAATCGGTAGATATGTAAAAGGGCATAATGCAGTGGTACGGAGGTGGGGTGTGGGGGCTAAGGAGGGAACTATCAATGCTTTGTTACAAAGTGAGGTCAAGATCTGGCTGAACGATTCGATAATAGCTTTTAAGAGAGAAGTAGATAATTATTTGGGGAGGATGAGTTTGCAGGGTTGTGGGGAGAGCGCGGGGGAGTGGGATTGATTTGGAAGCTCTTTTCAAAGAGCCGGCACAAACACAATGAGCCGAATGGCCTCCATCTGTGCTGTATAATTCTAGATTCTATGACTCTATGGTTGAACCTTCTAGGTGAACCCTAACGGTGCTTAAAAGGACCTCATCACAGATCCTGCTCTTACTTGACGGGGGCCACTGTCTCCACTTTTGGCATCACCACCAGCAGACTCCCATCAGGCTTGACCTTGGGGATGAAGTAGGGTTTGCTGCTCAGGATGGCGGGGGCGGTGCGGGCCGACACCGTCTGCTGAAGGCCGCCCACGGTGTTGCCGCGGTTGGTGAGCAGGAAGGAGTACTCCCTGTCCGGCTCCAGGTTGGTGATCAGCTTCTTGGTCGTCCGCCCGTCAACTTCGACCACGGACTTGCCGTTCTTATACTGAATCTGGATGGCGAGGTGGAGGGAGAGAGAGAGAGAGTGAGAGAGAGAGTCAGTGAGAGAGAAAGGGAAGAGCTCAAACCCGTATGATCTCCTGTAGTGTAGTGGTTAGCGCGCTCGACTGGCAAGCGAGAGGCCCTGGGTTCGATTCCCGGACGGGGCGAAACCTTAGGCAAGTTTCCTTACTCCACACACCTCTGTTTACCTGGCAGCAAGTAGGAACCTGGTTGTTTTATCGATCGGTGGATCGCTTTCCGAGACAAAAAAAAATTGCTCACTCAATCCACGGAGTTTGTGGGATGCCGCTGTGCGCAACTGTTTGTTGCGTTTTGCCCGCAAAGCACACAGTCGATTCACTTTACAGTATATTCTGTGAAGCGCTTTGAGACGCCTCTGTGACGTGATAAGGGGCTTTCTCAAATGCAAAGGTTATTATTATAGAGACAGGGAGGGTAATGAGGGACTGAAAAGGAGGCAGTGACCGAGGAACTACAATCGTTAGCAAGCTATCAAAACAAAAGATGAGGGATTTTTTTTTACACACACACACACAGTTGATTAGGAGATGGAATGCCTCAAGGATGTCTCACAGCGCTTCGCAGGATATACTGCAAAGTGTGGTGACTGTGTGTTTTTGTAGGCAAAACACGGCAGACATTTTGTTTTCAGCGATGTCCCGCAAACAGCCGTGAACTTTTACGGCCGAACTTTTGCAATCGGAGTCGATCGGAAAACATCCTCGACAACAATCCCTCCGCTCGCCTTCCTTCTCCCGCGGGTGACTGACTCAGCCAGAAGAGAAATATGAGGAGTCGCTATATTTTATTACAATTGGTTTGTAATTGTTGCTATTTATCTTTCCAGCTTTTGTATAATTGTCACTGTGGAAAGTGGGTTGGCTTTGTGGCTGCACGGCATTGCCCAAGGCATGATGGTGGCTGTCAGCTGTGATGTATGACCTGCTCTTACGCGGCTGCTGTTTAATTGTGAGTTCTGCTGATGCCGAGGATCAGGAATTCGAAGCCTTTTCACCGTCTGCTTCCAACACTCTGTAAAAAGCGGCTGAAAGTGCATCTCTCAAAAGAGCTGGGAGTGTGCTAACCTGCGCCTTGTGCAACCCGTGTTTCGACAACAATAACCACCGCTTGTTGTTGTTGTTGTTGTGGAGCGAGCTGTGGCTGTGGTTTCAGCCGCTACGCCCGGAAACACTGGAACACTCTTCCTCTATCCCTCCGCCTTGCCCCTTTTTCCCCATCTTCAACTCGCACCTGAAGACCTCCCCAGTCGACCGTGCCTACGGTCATCTCCCCCTCCCCCCCGGCTCAGCGTCCTGCTCCGCCACTGTCAAGCGCTCTTTATTTTGTCTCGTCTCATTTAAAGTGGGTCCACTGTAGGAATAATAATCCTTGCATTTGATGCAGCGCCTTATCACGTTTTCGAGGCGTCTCAAAGCGCTTCACGGAACACACTGTAAAGTGAATTGGGCGAAACACATTCGATAGAGCTCTGAAAAGTCTGAAGATCAACACTGCAGCATGAAATCCTTAGCTCAAGAAAGCATCTGTGTTTGTGCCTCTGACAGCTCTTTTGAGCTGTATTTGGGTCAAGCAGAAGCTAAATGAATTAAACAAGTCCTCGCTTGCTGCAGTGGGTGAGATTTCTGAGATATTTCTGCTCGAGTGCCAGTGCGCTGATGTGAATGGAGCTCGGAGTAGCTGGATGTGGATCCGAGAGAATGAAAAGAGCTTGAGTTTCATGGTGCCTGATCATATCAAACAACCTCCAAATGCTTCACAAGTCATTACCGTCAATTGTAATGTTTCTGTAATAACACGAAAATATTGCTGGCATCTCACACAGCGCCTGTTCAAATTGAAACGCCTCTAAGCGCCCTGTAGTATTCACTGTTAAACGTGGTGATTACATATCTGTAGGCAATCGCGGCAGCTAATCTGAACACTGCGATTTCTCCCCAAAGCAGCCGGCGGGTTACCAATCAACTAACAGGAGCATCGTGAGCCAGAAGACTGGGAGTAACTCCTTTCCCCGAACAGGCAGACCATCTCGTCCAAAAGACGGTGCTTCTATCAATGCATCGCTCCCCCAGTGTGTCAGATTGATGCTCTCGCCTCAGAGTCAGAAGGATGTGGGTTCAAGTCAAGTCCCACCTCGGGACATGGAATCACATAGTCTAAGTCTAAGTTGACGCTCCAATGCATCGCTGGGGGGGGGGGGGGGTGTGTGTGTTGCATTTTCGTGAGGTGCCGTGCTTCGGATGAGACGTTAGACCGAGGTCCCGTCTGCCTGTTCAGGCGGATGTGAAAGATCCCGCGGCACTATTCGAAAAGAGAAGGAAGTCTCTCTCTCCCGATGTCCTGACCAACATTTCCCCAAATAAAAATTTGTCACTCGCCCCATGGCTGTTTGTGGGACATTGCTGTGCGCAAATGTCTATTGCATTTCGTCCACAAAATACATTGTCAAAACCAGGATTTTTACAGTAAATCCTGCGAAGCGCTTGGAGACGTCTCGACGACATGATAAGGCACTACATTTAATTGCAAGGATTATTACTATTATTAATTATTATCATTATTATTGCACTGGAGCTTTAGTCTAGACTATGAGCTCAAGACATAATGGCTGATTTCATCACCGTCCTTGCATTTGATGTAACGTCTTTCATGTCACGAGGACGGCTCAGTGTTTCACAGGATCCATGGTAAAGTGCAGTGACTGTGTTTTGTTGACTCACCTTGTACGGAATGGGGGAGTTGTAATGCTCTGGAATCTCCCAACTCAGTAACACCGAGGTCTTCGTAGCAAGTATGACTTGGAAATTTTTGGGGAAAACTGCTGGAAAAGAAAACAAATTAAACAAAAATGTCCTGCGACGTTACCAAGCCACGCTCTTTCCTCGAGAGGGGAGATGATTGCCCCCTGTATGGCTTGGCGTCTAGGGTTCACACCAGTGCAGAATGAGGGATCCCCTAAGCCTTTTCTCAATCATCTGTCACCCTGTGCGTGTGCTTTGTATTTGGAGTCCTTCTACCGTGCCACTTTCTCCCATGTTAAGGTGCTTGTCACCCCTGGCTCTGTGCTGGACGGACAATTAAGACACACTCACTGAAGACAAAAACATCCAATGAATTACGGATCAGACCACACCAAACACTGCCTCACCCAAACAGTCCTGTATTACCAGCCTTGCTGCATCTGCTGAGCTGGTCAAAGCCTCATCTGCCAAACTGAGAGTGGAAGAAACACCAGATGTCCATGTTGGGCACCTTGGCTTCCGACAATGTCTGAACTAACTGCTTCCTGCTACAAGTCAGAGGTATACGTAACAGCAGGCCGCTCCTACCTGTGTGCTTATGTTTGCTGGACGGAACAAACAGCCCAAAGGAAGAAGACCTTCTCTACTCAAAAGTGACCTGCCATTCCTAAATGACGAGCTTACCTGCATGAGCAATGAAGCATTCTGAAGCTACCAAAGTCCTTGCCTTCAGCTTACAGGGAGGGCAGCAGACCTGACACATTTTTACCTTGGCATTTGATGTAGTTGGCTACGAGTGGAAGAGAGTCTATCAACCCCACAACTGCCCCACCGCCACCCGGGAGCACAAGGTAATAGATAACCCCTACCTTGATCCATTGGCATGGTCCGATACTGAATAGCAGGACTGTAAGGACCAGGGCCTTTACTGGTTTGTGCCCTGACTTTAATATCATAACTGGTGTCCGGCTTAAGGCTCCACAGTGTGAGGCTAGTCTGGGAGGAAGTGGTGGGCACTTCAGTGGGATTGCCGGGGGAGCCTGTCTGCTTATAGGAGACTGTGTAGGTGCTGATGAGACCGTTTCTCTCTGCTAAGGTTGGGGGCAGCCAGCCGAGTTGAATGGTCGAGGTTGTGACGTTGGGGTGGTCTAGGAGGTGAGGGTAGCCCTCGGGCACGTCCTCAGGCACCGTTATCTGCTTGACGTCCTCTCCCCCGATGCCGGCCTTGTTGCGAGCGGATAGTTTGAAGGTGTACGTGGCTCCCTTGTGGATGCTGTGGGCCACAAACTGATCTTCCTGGTCGGAAAAGTCCAGCGTGGAGAGCGGCTTGAGGTCCGTCCGGCCATATTGGAGCCGATACCCCAGCAGCTCTCCGTACGTCTCGGAGGGAGCTTGCCACTGGAGTACGGCGGTGTTGTCCTGGGTCAGGCGGACGGACAGAGTGGGCTTGTCTGGAACTGCAACACACACACAAAGCAGGTATCACGTACAGTTAATAAAACCACAATAATAATAATCCTTGCATTTGATATAGCACTTTTCACGTCGGGAGGACGTCCCAAAGCGCTTAAACAATAATCCTCATCTTCGAGGCGTCTCAAAGCGCTTCGCGGAACACACTGTAAAGTGTAGCGACTGTATGCTTAGCGGGGCGAAACGCGGCAGCCAATTGGGCACGGCAGCGGCCCACAAAACAGCCGTGGATCGGAGCCTCCAAATTATTATTATTTATCTATTTGCTTCATTTATTGTTTTGGTTCTCTCGAAGGGATTATCATCGCGGCGTTGAGACGCCTCGCCGGCGCGAGGAAGGAGGTTCAGCGGCGAAATCAGCCTGGCAGAGGGAGGGAGAGGTGTGTCACTGTGATTTCACGGCTCTTTATAGCTTACCCTAGTCAAGCAAATTGAGTCTGGGGTTTAATAATGACTGCTTGAAGACTCTGCTGGCCTGATTAATGACATTGTTCCGTATGTAAATGAACGGCAGGAGCGTCTCGTTGAATTTAATGCTGCCCCGGCTCAATCTCCCTCGCCGCCTGCCTTTAATTCTTCCGGCTCGCTTCCTTAAATGACAGTGGGCCGAGCAGAGGTAGAGATTTATCAATCCGGCGGCAGGAAAAATTAAGTTGCCAGTGGGTGAGAGCCATTAGACTGAGAGGTGAACGGCCCTTTTTTCTCGCTCTCTAATTTAAAAGCCTTACCAATCAATTGAACTCCCCCACCCACCCCCCATAGGGGATTCGAATGGGGGCAGAGATCCCACACGCGTGCTGTCCCTGACACTGCTGTCAAGGCAACCCGACATCCAAGCAGCGCTTAACAGAGAGAGCGCAGCACGTCTTGTTACTCTGTCTCTGTGTGGCGGACAGCGGGGATCGTCAAAGCCAAAGTGCCCCTCGAACCCTCTCCCCACAGCACACGCACATCCCGCATCTCACCCAGCGCTATTCATCTGCTTCTGTGCGGTCCTCCCGACCAGCGGACTGGCTGGATTTTAGTCCGTTTGGGAATGAAACCACCCCCCGCTTTCTTGCCCTCTGCTGCGAATGGGATGTGAAAGACGAAAGACCATCCCAAACAACAACAGCTTGCATTTACATTGCGCCCCTATAAAATAATAATAATAATAATCCTTGCATTTGATACAGCGCCTTATCACGTCCTTCAGACGTCCCAAAGCACTTCGCAGAATGTACTGTGTATTGTGGGTGGAACACCCAGAGTAGCGTCTTGGAAGGATTATGGAAGGATTGGGTTGGTTCCTGAGCAAGGGAGAGGGACTGTGGGGGGAGGGGGGAAGTGGGGAGTGAGAGACAGAGGGTAGATCTCGCTTACAGAGCGAAGCTCACCCTCAATCAGATAAAGGAATAACATTTATGGGAGGAACATGTCCATGGAATGGTAAGATGTTCTGCTGATGCACTTTGCAAAGCGATTTCAATTCCCTCAATGAGAACAAAGTGCATCTCAGTTATCCATTATTCTACAAACAACCTGAAAGTCTTGATTAGGTTACAGCCTGTAACTCACTCCCATTATTCTGTGTAGCAACCAAATGAAAAATTGATTAGATTACGGCCGACATCAACCCTCACCCAGAGTAATGCCAACAACAAAATACACAGTCAATCCATTTTACTGTATACTCTGTGAAGCGCTTTGAGACACCTCGACCGCAAAATAAGGCACTGTATCAAATGCAAGGATTATTATAACAGCAGCAGCTTGCACTTACACAGCGCCTTTCACAAAAGTGTGAAGGTATTTGCAGGTTAGACTGAGGATTATAAATGTCAATGATGGGGAACTGGGGGACAGTGGAGTCTGGCGAGGATGAGGGTGATGAGCTTGTGGAGCCTGGTATTGGGAAAAGACTCCCAGATACGTCTGCGGTGTATAAATCAATCTTATATTCCAGTCGTCTTTCGGATGAGACATTAAACCGAGGTCCAGTCTGCCACGGCACGACTCAGAAAGAGAACTGGGCCTCTCTCTCTCTCTCTCTCTCTCTCCAGGTGTCATGGCCAGCAATCCCCCAGATAAGATTGGTCACTCACTGCATGGCTGTTTGTGGGACGTGGCTGTGTTCCAAATGGCTGCTGTGTTTGTTTACAAATACACAGTCACTACGCTTTACAGTGATTCCTTGAGACGTCTCAGCGACGTGATAAGGCTCTGTATCAAACGCAAGCATTGGTATGTTATTAGACTATGCGCTTGGTAGGCATATCTCTCCCAGCGCTAGGCTGTGTGGGTTCACCGACACCAGAATCAATCACTCATCAGGACTGAATCCAACAGAAGAGCATCAGTGCAACAGGAGCACAACTGTCAGTTATCTCCCGCTATTACACTTTACTGTCATAGAATTTCCACTTCTATCTGAAATCAATTAACTGCACCAAGGAACATAGTTACAGCTGTCATTTATTTAAACACACAGAAAAGCCAGCTTAAATCAACATTGATCCCTGGGCTGGTAACTGAGTCTCGGGCTCCCTCACATTCTCTACTCCGCATTGTGTTTATATTAGACTTGATCTCCTCTGCACTCCCTCATGAGCGATGCGATCGATTCGTCGTGGCGATTTCCCTTCCTGTGCTAACTGTTACATGTCGGCAGCTGGTACAGAGGGCATTTCCTGTCTCCTGTTCCCCCCGGGAATGCCATCTCTGTTACGCCCGCGATCCTACCGTGACTTTTTAAAAGGTCTCGGTTTAGCAAACTCTCTCGCTGTTGGGCCCGAAGGATGTGGGTTCAGACCACCAGCAATAAATCCTTTATTAAATCCTTTATTAGTTTGTTACGCTAATTAAGAGAGCCTGTAGTGGCCTAAGATATAAATGGCGCATCATACATAACACACGTGTTTATACACAAGGCCTGAAATTCCTCCTATTCTCAACCGGTGACACAGTTTGGTCGTAAACTTCGTAAAAATTAAGACTCAATCTGGGAGCCGTTTCTGTTTTCCGCAGTTCTTGACAAGGATCTACAGCAGAGAGTTGATCACATACACAACCCCAGGGGGTAATTGATCAGTGTGGATGATAACTGGACATCAACCAAATTTCAAGTTGGCTACATTGCTAACTAACAATTTGTTCCAACAGGAACTGTCATTATAATACCACACTGTGCCAGGCTTTCTCTCTCTCTCCCCACTTCTCTCTCTCTCTCTCTCTCTCTCTCACTCACACACGTTCTCTGACTTTCTCGCTTTCTATGACATGTTTATCTCTTTCCCTGACTCTAACCCTTCGCTTCACGGCTGTTTGTGTGACGTTGCTGTTCCAAAAGCCTCGACCTCACGCCAGCATGCAAGGGCAAGTCCATGCCGGGTCTCTCAAAGACTTACTGACGAACTCGCTCGTGCGTAAAATTCCGATCTCCTCTTCCTCCTCCTACACACCCCCACCCGCCCCCCACGTAGCAACTGTGATGAAGGTGATGGCACGAGCCTGGAACAGTGGAGTCTGTATAATCCCTACGATATCAATGGCAATCTATGTGGTTTTAGCTGGTTAGACTCCAGGGTCCCCCAAGTCTTGGCTCTTGCCAACCTGCGTTCCGGAATTAGGTAAGCAGGATGCATCCCTCCAGCGAGAGAGAAAGAGAGAGAGAGAGCGAGTGTGCATTCCGTACCAACAATCTATCTCTGGGATTTCTGTGTGTAGGTGGGATGCCTGGGAATTCTCAGCTTGGTTTGGAGACTGTTTAAGCAACGGTGATGGGTTTCCACATGTGTCAGACACCCTGCTGACACTGCCCCACCCAACACCCCAAAGAAAAAAAACTCTACACCTGCTGATGCTAAATAATAATATATATATATATATACACACACATGTTCGTCTTGTGGGTCTCAAAGATGAACGTGCCATGTGAGTGGGAGGACATGGGAAGGCACAGGGCCATCTACATTCAAGGACAGATGTCTGGCAAGCAGCTACAAGGCAACAACGCCAACTGAGCCGCTGTGATGACATTGTAAAGTGCAGGAGCGAAGCTCTTGCTTCCTCAGTGATCGATTGCCAGGATGCTGGTTCCCACTGATGATATGAAGGTCACGAGTTTCTCTCTCTCGGCGTCCTGGCCAGCAACTAAAACTGGTCGCTGGCTCCGTGGCGGTTTGAGAGACATTGCTGTGCGGAAAATTGACCGCCGTGTTTGTCTATAAACGTACGCACAATCGCACCACTTCACGGTAAATTCTGTGAAGTACCTTGGGACGATGTCCTCCCGACATGCAAGGTGCCGTGTAAATGCAATTTGTCGTTGCTTTCCACCAAATGGAATGGTTATTGCCATCGAAGGAAACAAGGTTTGGCTAAATGTGAAACGAGAAGAGCCTTATTGAGGCACAAGTGGCCCATTACGCTGCCTCGCAAAAGATCCTGGCCCCATTTCTGAGGATGTTTAAAGCAAGCGCGTGCATTCTGACAGTGCACTGTCGGAGGTGCCGTCCTTGGGAGGAGATGTTAAACCGAGGTCCTGTCTACCTGTTCAGGTGGATGTCAAAGATCCCATGGCGCTATTCGAAAAAAGAAGTGAGTTTCCCCCTGTGTCCTGGCCAACAATCCCCCAGTTAAACGCTGATCATTCACTTGCTGGCTGTTTGCGGGACATCGCTGTGTGCAGACTGGCTGCCAAGTCGCCCACAAACCACAGTCACTACACTTTATAGTATATTCCGTAAAGTGTTTTGAGACGCTTCGAAGACGTGATGAGGCTCTATATCAAATGCAAGGATTATTATTAGTTAAAGCAGTTCCCTGAGACGTGGTTTGAGATGTCTCGCCGTGCGTGATAAGGCGCTAGCTAGATTGAATGCAAGATTTATTATTATTATTATTTGCCATAAATAGAGGCCAGAGGGAGCTGGATTATAATGAGCGCCATCCCTATCCTCTGCACGAAGAGGTGATTCTGTTTAAATTGGATGAGAGCTGAGACCCAGTTAAGAGGCACAGCTGGTCTTGGAGCTCTTCCATTCCACTTTCCATTAATCTCTGGTAATTTGTCTGGCAATAAGGGATCCACGTTGTACTGATCATTACTTAAACCCAATAAAAAACAGTTAGTGCACCAGATGTTTGCGTTCTCCCAGCTTTCCAGCGAAGTATTAACACTTGATTCCAATACTGGTGCCATAATCCACTCACTCCATGACTGTGTGTGTGTGGGATACTGCTGTGCGCAATTGGCTGCCACGTTTCGCCCACAAAATATATGGTCGATTCACTTTACAGTATGTTTCTGTGAAGCCCTTTGAGATCAGGCGCTGCATCAAATGCAAGGATTATAAATGATAAATTTACAATTTATGGGTGGTGGAAGAGAGGGGTCATCCTGCTAATCGGGGTGGTGGTTGGTGTGGGGGGGGGGGCAGGTTGCGGGGTGGGGTGAAGAGTAGCAGACCCCAGAAGCAGTAATCAGACAACCAGTCCTTTAGATGCTGCATGGATTATCTATACAGGAATCACACGACGACTTGATGTGTGTAAGAGAACCAGCCTCACACAAGCTCACACAGGGGAGAGATGGATTTCAGTGGCAAATGGACCCGGGGCCAAGACCTCCAGCTTTGGCTGTTAAGCCATTTAACCGTCCAACTCTCTCGCTCCCGGATTTGTTGTACAGAGCTCAGGAGCGACTTGGCTCTCTCTGTCAATGTTAACCGCGTTTGTCAAGGATGTACAATCAGACAGGATCACGGCAGCAACAACTCAGGATGTCGCTTGGCTTCGGGTTCAATGCAGGTGAAGTCAATGCCACCTAAACCTCCTTCCCTCCCTCCTTTGATCTGTTCATTCATCTGTCCTCTCATCCAGCCTCCCTTTGATTCCACCCTCTCTCCATCTCAGTCGGTAGCGCTAAGCCAAACTGACATTGCAGATCGATGGGGGGGTGGAGAAAATAAGGAGACCACTGCAGTGTCAGGGGTGCCATCCTTTGGAGTCAGAAGGATGTGGGTTCGAGCCCCACGTCAGGACTTTGAACTCACGGTGTAGGTTGACACTCCAGTGCAGTGCTGGGGGTGGGGTGGGAGCACTGCTTTGTCAAAGGCGTTGTTCCTTTGGTTGAGACGTTAAACCGAGGTCCTGTCTTCCCGTATCTTAAATGACCCCGCCCCGTTTGAAAAAAGAGAGGAGTTTCTCCCGCTGTCCTGGCCAACAATCTTCCCCCAAAATAAAAATTGGTCATTTACTTCATGGGCCGCCTGTGGGATGTTGCTGCGTGCAAATTGGCTGCGTCGTTCAACTACGGAATAGACAGTCACTACACTTGACAATAAACCCTGTGAAGCGCTTTGCGATGTTCTACTAACATGAAGGGCGCAGTATTAAATGCAGAGGAATTATTATTGTGATCGTTATTATCATCATCATCATCCTCAGGCAAGAGACTGACCTGCACCTTTGGTGACCACCAGCTTGGGTTTGCTGCGAGCCCCATCCCCCTTCGTCGTGTAAGCTGCCACTGTGATGGAATAAATCATTTCTGGCTTCAGCCCAGATATAACCATCTCCTGATGTTTGGGAACAGAATTGAAGAGGAAGCCATCATCAGGAAAATGCACAGAGAAAGTTCGTTCGATTCCCAAATGAACACAATATCAAGGCCATGGATTGCTCCGTTTTCTTTTATATTTATCTATCAGGAAACACGTAATGCAATCTCTTTACATGGGGAATAGGCGTTTGGGTGAAGTAATAGACCTGGTACAGTGGTTGGGAGCTAACACCTTCAGGAAGAGGGAGGGAGGAAGGGAGGGAACGGAAGCCTTGACCTCTGATGTTCCCCTATTCAGTGGGAAAACACAGTGGGATTTGGGAGGTCATTGACTGACCTCCTTGACTCCCTTTGGTCAACAATGTGATAGTTCCCACTGGTGACAACTAACGGCATAATTTTAACCCCAGTGGCCTTCCCGCGGGTCAGTGTTGCCCGTCAACCAACGACTGTGACTGTGCGTATCCCACCTGGAGCTCACATTCCATTCAGATCGTCAATTGTTGCTTTGGGCTGGAGGGTAGGTGTTAGTGGCTGGGGCTGTGTGTGCGTGTGTGGGGGTGGGGGGGGGGGTGGGGGGGATGGGTGGGATAGAGAGGAGGGGAGCGAGGCAGGGACTCTGTTGATGATGTATTCTTGCAATCCCACCCCCGTCAATGTTAATCAAGGTCTCACCATTGAGGTCTGGGAATGACTCAAGTAAAGTCAAGCCAATTCATGTGACTTTAGAATGCAAGAAAACCCTTATAAAGAAACATTGGAAACCCCAAGGCCCCGAGGTCAGGCTTCGTGTGTGGTTTGTCAGTGAGTCCCAAGGTCTCAGGGCCGTCTACAAACCACAGTGAGAATGAGGTTAGCTGACCCTGGCTTAGCTGCCGAGGATCTTTTCAGTCACAGTCGTGGCACCCCACCACCCCCCGCCCTGCCACTGGACAACATTTCCCGACGTCGCGGCAACATCGACATGCAACTTCTGTGAAAATTAAAATGAAACCCTTAATATGGGAACATCCCACCCGGGTCTGGGAAAGGACAGGAATGACATATGATGGCCTGTCTGCCCAGATGCTGAGCTAGACCAGGTCAGGGATACATTGGTTGCGATGCCAGCCTACACTCGTTGTTTAGGCTTCCCCCTCACCTCAACCCACCCCCCCACCACCACCATGACGAATGGGCGCTTGGGTGAAGGGATAGACATGCTAGAGCCGGTGGGGGTGGGAGGCAGCAGCTTTAGGAGAGGAGGGAAGGAGGGAGGGAGTGGAGAGGGAGTGAGAGAAGGAGGGATGGAGCGAGGGAGGGAGTGGAGAGGGAGGGAGCAAGCTGCAGGGAGAGGGGAGCAAGGAGGGAAAGAAGAACCACCCACACAATTTCTTTTGGGGGTGGGAGGTCACCAGAGTGTCTGACATATGGAAACCCATCACTGTTGCTTAAGAGTCTCCAAACCAAACTGAGAATTCTATGCATCCCAACTACACATGGAAATCCCAGAGACAGATTGTTGGAATGGAATGCGCACTCTCTCTCTCTCTCTCGCTGGAAGGACGTATCCTGCTTACCTAATTCCAGAAGGTACTAGGCGCAGGTTGGCCAGAGCCAAGGCTTGGGGACCAGAGTGTGCATTGGGGTAACTGCTGGAGTCTAACCAGCTAAAATAGCTTTCCTACGTTTAGCAATTGGGTGGGATTGGGTGCATTCGGAGGGGGTTTATGGAGGAGCGGGGAGGAATGGGAGTAAACTGAAGCGTTTTATTGTAATAAAAAGAAACAAGGTATATATAAAAAAATACAATTCACATCATGCAAGAAAGCTTTGTACCCGGCCTGGCAACTACATGATAGACCAAACACAGATAGAGAATGGGCTCAGGCCATTTTAGTTAGAATTACTCACATATTCGGCTGTGTCGTCAGTCTCCCACTGAGCAGAGCAACAGAGAAAGGCAAGAGAGAGAGAGACAAAAAACACAGAGAGCAAAGGGTGAAGGGCGAGTTCCGAACTGAACACGTGTGGAGGTTTGCTCTGACCACCCTCACCAGGGGTAGGAGGGTGGCATTGCCCGTCAACATCCACTGGACAAAAAACAGGCCCCAGTATGAGGAAGCCGATAGAACCCTAGAAATTCACAGCACAGAAGGAAGCCGTTCGGCCCATCGTGTCTGTGTCGGCTCTTTTACAAAGCAATCCTTTCAATCCCATTTACCTGTCCTCAACCCCCCCACCCCCCACCCCGCCCTTATCGCTGTATCTTACTCCTTATTTTTTAAAGTGCTTATTTAGTTCCTTTTGGAAAGTTAATATGGATTTAGGTGCTGGCATTCACATTACAAGGGACATCGTTGGAGAGATGGGCCTAGTTTATGATAGTGCCAGGGCTGGAATGGTAAGAAAACTGGGTAAAGCTTAGACCCAGATGGAATTTCAACCCCATCAGTGAATCTTGATGTGGAATTGTTGCATTTTTGACTCACTTAGAGGCGCAGGAGAGAAACTCAGTGTCTCTCGTTGTATATAACCCACGGCGCTCGATCTGATGTTTGTAAAGTGCTCTATTCATCAACACTGTTAACCCTTGCTTTGTTTCGCTTGTAGCACACCCCTCCCCTGGCGTCAGTGGGGCTCAGTTAGTAGATAGCCCTCTTGCCTTTCGAGTCAGTATGCTGTGGGTTCAAGCTCCACATTGGGACTTTCTGAGCTCACAGTCTTAAGCTGACACTGCAATGCAATGCTGGGGGAATGCTCCACTGTTGGGAGGTGCCGTCCTTCGAAGGAGTCCTCGAACTAAGACCCTATCTGCCTGTTCAGGTGGACGTTAAAGATCCCACGGCGCTATTCGAAAAGAGAAAGGGAGTTTCTGCCGGTGTCCTGTCCCAAATAATTCTCCCCCCACCCCAGGTAAAAATGCTCACTCACTCCATGGCCGTTTGTGGGACGTTGCCGGGTGCTATTTGGCTGCTGGGATCACCTACAAATTAAAGAGTCAATGCACGTCACGGTAAAATCTCGTGAAGCGTTTTGAGACGTCTCCATGACGTGATGAGGCGCGTCTCAAAGGCCAGGATCATTACATACTGTTATGAAATAATCCTTGCGTTTGACACGGCGCCTTATCACGTCTTCGAGACGTCTCGAAGCGCTGCATAGAATGCACGGCGAAGGGAATGAATTGACTGTGTACTTTGGGGGCCAAAGTTTTTTTTTATTATCATCATCCTGTTGAGAAATAAGGGCACATCACACCCCGTTCTACAGCGGCAGCCCATGCGGTGCCTCAGCGCGCTCGCGTACCTGTGCGTCGGCCAGCATGATGTCCCTGATCCGCGGCTGCCCCCTGGCTTCTCCGTCTTCCACCTTGACGTAATGCACCTGATAGCCCCGGATCTGGCCGTGCTGCTTGCTCGGGACCGGAGAGCGCCACATTACCTTCAGAGCCGTGGAGTTCAGCGCCTCGACCTCCACCTTCCGAGGAGGGGCGCTGGGCACTGCGGGAGCAAGGCACCGCACGCACGTCAGCGAGGTAAAGGTCATGCCTGCCCGTGTCCAGGCCACTCGGGACAGCCTCAAGCGTTGCCGTGTTAACAGAAATAAACATTGCCGGGGGCGTTTCAGAAAAAAATACAGAAATACATTTTCGCCCACGAAATATACAGTCACTACACTTTACCGTATATCCTGTGAAGCGCTTTGAGACGTCTCAACGTCCTAGTTACCCCCATTATAACAAGATTCACCTACGTAACATGGGGGGGGGGGGTGGGGGAGTCTCCATTGAACCATTTGTGTATTGGAAGTAGTCTGTGTCTGAGCAGACTTCCTGCCACTTTCGTGATGTTTGTGCTGTGTGCAAATTGGCTGCCGCTTTCGCCTACACAGTCACTACACTTTACATGAAATCCGGTAGCAGTAAAGCCCTACTTTCAGATGTTTCAATGACATCATAAGGTGCTGTATTAAATGCAAGGATTATTATATTATTATAAAAGGAAAAGGTTAATGGATTATTTTTACACCCAGAGGGTTCATACCACTAAGGAATGTACAGTGGGTAGCAGCACAAGATACAATGGGCTGAATGGCCTCCTTTACTGTAAGCATTCTATAAAATAAGAGATAGTACGATATATTGGATCAAGTAGTAGCCTGGTATCTGGCATATTCAGTCTCTCTCAGATATATGAGACAAGTCTTAGGTGTATCAAGGTTCGGTGATGAAATCTAGGACTGGTATGTGGGGAGAGGGCAGTGTTTTATGACTCGTTCGGGCTATATCTGATCTTAACACATTTTAATAATAATAATCCTTGCATTTGATATAGCGCTTTTTCATGTCATTGAGATGTCTCAAAGCGCATCACAGAATATTCTATAAAGCATATTGACTGTATATTTTTTGGCCGAAACTTGCATTTGCCCAGCGCCCTTCACTTGGGGTAGAGTCTCAAGGGCGCTTAAGGCCAGCTTGATCTTGCGGATTTACTTCACGGAACGAACATCACGGCTGCAAAACATCTCCCCGCGCAGCGCAAGACTGGACGGAGGGAGGAAACCTTCCACCCTGTCCACTCGCTCTTTTCCTCCACAGGAAACCAGCGGTGACCTGTCAGGCTCAGCTTGATTGTGCTTGACAAGAACAGGCAAGGTCGACTGATCCATTAATAAAGAAAGATCATATTTTACCATTCGAAAAACATACACTTCCAAGCAATTTTGCTTCCAAAGTAAAAATAAAACAAAAGGAAGNAAAAAACTATTTTTTTAACTGCCAATATCCTCCCCAGATCAATTAATCCTGTTTGCCTCTGGAATAGAATCTGAGATCGGAACCCAGAAGGAGGCCATTCGGCCCAATGAGTTTTCCCTGGTGCCAGCTCCCCCTACTGGAGCTATGTACAATGTAATTTACCCTGTAATGTAATACACCATGTCTTTCATGTCAGGAAGATGTCTCAAAGCCCTTCACACATCTGGCTGGACACCCGAGCGTTCGAGGAAACATGTTGCATACGCAAGGGAGAAGGGGTATTGTAGAGAGGGTTAGGAAGTGCAGAGGGTCATCTGGAGTATAAACACCAGGACGGACTATTTGAGCCAAATGGCTTGTTTCCGTGCTGTAATGGTCTATGTAATTCTCTGAATGTTCCTCTGCTGTGCACCAGCAGAGGTAGCAGGTTGGCCAAACCACTCAAAAAGGATAAGAGGGGAAACAGAAGGTGAACATGGGTAATCTCTGCTGATGTCCACAAAGGTTACATCAGAGAGCCAGACAAATGAGATTTTGCCTTAAATTAAGTCCAATCATTGACTAAAAGAGTCTCCAATGTCAATACGTCTCTTGCCATCGTTGCTGGCTGCGACTTCCCACTCAAGTTTTTACTTTAATCTGCTTTCTGATTATGCTCCCTGTAATTATGTGTTGTGATAATTGTTCTGGAATTGATCCAAATGATTTGTGTTAAACTGTTCCCAGCTAGCCTTCATTCTCAAACACAATGGGACCCAAGTCTAATTCGCAAGATGTGTAAAACCCGTGTGTATTTAACGAATGCGTGTGTACATTTCAGGTGTCGTCAATTACATCATTAACTGGTGAAAAGGACTGGTTGTTGTTTACGTACTCAGCAAGCCTTCAATAGATCTATCTGTGCCCGTGAGTTAGTAACAAGGGAGGTTTGCTGAGAGGTTTTGGAGTATGGAAAGGTTTCCCACAAATAGCTGATTGAAACTGAGTAGATTGCTTCTTTGAAAAGGTCATTACATAGTCGGGGAACAATAATATTTCAGACTAATGGTAAAGTGCTAGGTTTGGAGTAGTTCTCTCTGGTAGAGGAAACAAACACCAGCACAGATACGATAAGGAGTGAGCAGGGAATGGGATTCAAGTGGAGAACATCCAGCGAGGAGTGAGCACCAGTACAGACACGAAGGGCATATCGAACGACATCTGCTCTACCAACGATTCTCTATGATCTTTCTCGCTCATATCGAGGTGACTATTATTATTATTATTCGCATCCCACTGGGTTCAAATGCAAACCGGGAAGGAACAGAGAACACGGGAACCTCTCGGAAGGTCTGAACATTGTGCGCCGGCTGAAACGTAGCGGTAGAGACACGGAGAAGCCTCAAGAGCAAACAGCAAACTCACCGTCCTCTTCTGTGCGAATGGACACAGGCTCGCTCTCCGGGCCCGGGCCGATCTCAGTGTACGCGACCACCGTCACCCGGTACTCGGTCCATTTCTCCAGGTTCTCCAGCAGCATCTGGGTGGTGTCCGGTGGGATGTCCTTCACCTCGCTGGGCAGACGTTCCTCTCCCTCCACCATTTGGTACCTGATACTGTACTTTGACAGGGCACCATTCTGACTCTCTGGTGGTGGTGGCTCCCAACTTACCACAATGTTGGTGGAACTATGGCTGTTGCACTTTACGTTTTGAGGAGGGGCTGATGGTTCTATTGCAGGCGAGGGGGGGAGGGAGGGAGGGAGGCAGGGAGGGGGGTTTGGAGGGGGCAGAGGAAGGAAATAAAAAACAATGGGAAGGAGAGGGTGAAAACAATAAAAAAAAGGAAACAAAAAAAAGATAAAAAAACGAAAGGAAATGGTCCCCGAAAAAGAAAAAGCTGGGACTGAACGCCAAAGCAACGGAAAACTCGGAAAAGAATAAAAACCTGACATGGAGTTTAACCAAAAGCGACGCTAGCTTCTTTTATTGAGGTCTGGGCTTCGGAATGATTGAGCAGGATTGTGAAAGCACCTTGCGGGCTGGGGGAAACTGATCGGGTGGCAATGTTACTGTCGGAATCGTGATGTTTCAAATGCAGATTGGTTTTGCTGTTTTTTTCCTGTTTGCTCTTTTAATTTGGAGTTTTTTTTGAGTGAAACCTTTCCACACTTGCACAGATATGTTGATCGCTTCTCCACAGACTCTCTCTCCCACCCCCCCCCCCAACCCCCACCCGGTTAAACCAAGGTCCCGTCCGTGTTTGTTCAGGTTGATGTTAAAGATCCCGCAACACTATTCAAAACGAGAAGGGTCTTTCTCTCTCCCAGTGTCCTCGCCAACAATCCACCCAGATAAAATTGGTCTCTTGTCTCACGGCTGTTTGATTGCTGTGTGCAAGTTGGGTAAAGCCTTGCCCATTGCCGCTGGGTCACAAGTCAAGCCAAATGCGGGAGGTTAGAGCAAAGGGCAGTTACAGCTGTCCATGATCTGAAACTGCTCCCTTCCCACTCCCTCACCTTCAAACACACAGTCACTCCACTTTACAGTAAATCATGACAAGCTCTTTCAGATGTCTGATCAATGTGATAAGGTGCTGTATCAACTACGAGGACTATGATTATTATTTTTGTCAGAGCCTTGGGGCGTCCTCCTATCAAAGGCGCTAATACATGCAATTTGTGGTTGTATTATTATTCCTATTATTAACAATACAGGGTGGCTAAAAAGTCTTAAAAGAAATGATGATTTTTTGGGGGGAATCATAGGGACTTTTCATGACTTTTTGGTTTTCCTCAGTAGCTTTGTGGTGCGGAGCTGAACCAAGTAGATTTAGGGAGTGGATTCTCGACCAGGGTGACTGTATGGATGGCCTAATGTTACTCAATGTGTTGCTCAGTGCCCCTGAGTGAGGGAGGGGAAAATATCAGCCATTGCTCTACCTGCTCCTAATCACTATCCAATGGTCTCTGTTGGACGGGGACGACACATGTGAACGAGAGGAAGCCCCCTTTGGAGACGGTCCTCACTGTCCACACCAGAACCATGGCCACTGAGCTGAGCTGCTGGATGGTCCGACACGTGTGGGACATGAACCAGTGCCTTCAGGAGAGAAGTGGAGAAAATTGGTGAGAGGGAGGGAGCGAAAAGGGAGAGGATGGAAATAGCAGCTTTATAATCGCTGTGTGTATCTCACACAAGAATGGGCAGAGTGTTCCCTACAACTGACAATGAGGCTCAGCTGCAAATTAGGCAGAATTCTGGTACATCTTTTGCTCTGGTTGGAGTCTTTTTTAGTTTCTATCCGCAGAAATATTTAAGTGTTGGGCAGTTGTGAGGAATGCAATTGCTTAGACAAGGTGATGAAAAGAAGGAAGGGTTGTTTTTCTGGGAATGATTTTCTGTCTGGGAGCTCGGGGCGAATGTGGAGCTCCTGTCTGCACAGGCTGGCCTTGGCTCTGATGGGATTCACGAAGCTTGAGCCGTTCTGATCAGACACGTGGAAAGGAGTGAATTTTTTTTCCCTTCGGCAGGAGCCCGGTTAGTGTGCAGTGAGCTACAGCTATCTGCTCCCACTCGCACCAGGCATGTGGATTAGTCATCAGTGCCCTTGCAATCCATGGTAGTACCGCAGGTATTTAGATTGACCTCTGTCTATTGTTAATAGGAACGGTGCCTTGAAAGATTGTGAATCATACACAGGATATAGTGTAAAGTGGAATTAATCAAATCCAATTTGCTGCCAAATTCAAATCGAGTTCATTGTTGAATTCAAATGCAGTTCCCTGTAAAATTCACAGTCACTCCACTTTACAGTACAACAACAACTTGCATTTGCTTAGCACCCCTCACGCAGGGTAGCGTTAAAGATGGGAACGTCACGTCCGCTCACAGGCAGCAAACAATCGCTTGCCCATCACAACCGCATGGGCTCGCAATTCAAACTGGTGAAGAATTTGTTAAAGGTAAAGCCTTGCCCATTGCCGCTGGGTCACAAGTCAAGCCAAATGCGGGCGATTAGAGCAAAGGGCAGTCACGGCTGTCCTCCATGATCTGAAACTGCTCCCTCCCCACTCCCCCCACCTGAGAGGTTGTGTAGAGAAGCGACCAGACAAGAAGGAAACAAAATATGGAAAATCTCAAATCAATTCAATGGAATAATTCAATGTGAATTACGGTTGATTGATTTCTGACCTGTTGTTGTTGTTGTTGTTGGGTTCAAACACATTTCCGAATTCAAATCCAATTCACTGCCAAATTCAAATCCAATTCATTGTTGAAATCAAATCCAATTCATGGCCAAATTCAATTCTTCTCATCAGTGAATGCTTGGACAGAGAATGAGTTTGAGACACTTTTTTGTTGGGGGGCGGGGGGGAAGAGGGGACAATTTTGGGGACAGATTCCTTCCCATAATGGGGGAAAAAAATAAACACAAACAAAAACAAGCATTCAAAAATCCCTCCCAAGAGCAACCAGATTCATGCATAAATAAAATAAGATTAAAATATAACTTAACGTAAAGAGAAATTAAAATCCACTTCAAATTAAAATATTTCTCCAGCATACATACCTGACCCTCCGTCAAGCTTTACACTAAAGACCTTCTTTGCATGCTACCATCACCTGTTTTAACGTACCCTTTCTGTCCCAGCAAATAAATTGTCCCACGGATCCCAAGAAGACTAAGAGCCTCAAGACTTTACCAGCACAGAGATCAGCCGTCTCCAACAATACAACACACACAACACAATCCAGGAATGACTGGCTTTAGCGGGGGTTGGCAGAGTCCCGACCTTACAAGTGCCAATGTCAGAATTTTGAGTGGGTTGAAATAATTTTGTAGCTGCCATCAAGCTCCTTTTTGAAAACGCCTTGTTTTGAGTCCTGTTTTGTGACACTTGCCGAGTGATGTGGAGGTGTTTCCTCAAAGAGCCTTCTTGTGTGTTACTGAGCTGAGAGGTTTATCAAGTCGTTGCCTGATTATGAGGTAGGAGTGATTTAAGAGAGCAAGCTTAGAGCTGTGAATATTTACAGAGGGTGTGATTCATCTTTTATATTAACAACAACCAATAGAAGGAAGCAAATCAACCATGTTGGCTTCAATTATCGAATACATTGAGAATTTTCCTTAACAAAGGCTCTGAATTATTTCCAAATCTTACGAAACTCTCAGCAATTTTTGAGGACACCCAGGAGTTTTGAATACAAGCAGCACTGAGTTTTATTGTGAAATATAAGGAGTGTATGGGTGATTAACTATGCTGAATAATGAATGTATTTAGTCAATAAGACTTTTTAGTTAGTGGAAATTCAATACAAAGGCACCAAAAGGACATTTCTATGCAAATGTGGAACTCCGCAGTTTGGTTGGGACACTCTTTAGCACTGTGATGGGTTTCCGTGTGTCAGATATTCGGTTGTTCGAAAAAAGCTTTTAGTTAGTACTGCATAGAATTGTCAAAGCCAATAGAATGGGATTTCACCAGTGTCACTGCAGTGCTATGTGCTATCCGTATAAGAAAAAGGGACCGTGGATTCACTGCGAATTTTATTCTATTCTATCAGAAATACAAGGTCATTTCAGTCAATTGAGGGGAGTACCTTAGTGGAAAAATGAAGGGACAAGAAAAACCTTCTCTCAATAGAATTGAAAGAGCTTTGGAATTCATTCTTACTTAGGAATGAATCAACAGAATTGTTCAAAAGATATACATATCTAAGCAGTAAAAAACAATTAAGGGCGTGGGGAGAGAGAGTTGGAATGTGGGATTAAAAAAAGGTGATTTAGGAAAACAGTGGCAGAGATATGATGGGTCAAATTGTCTCCTTCTGTGCAGAAAATCTCTATTCACTTGCTCTTAAAATATATATTTAATGTATTGAATGTATATAAACATAGGACACGAGAGGGCGTATCGAATACTTGGCATGACAAAGTTTCCCAATGAAGGATAATAGGAGTGCAGGCCAGATGCTTTGCTGTTATGGACCAGGCCATGTGGAACATAATGCCAACCCCTGCATTTCATCCATCCATTCATCCTTCCTTCCTTCCTTCCATCGATCTATCCGTCCATCCAGATCAATTGAGAAACGGAACAGGTACTGATGAAGCTCTTACTCGCTTAACCATCTTCGAATGACAATGCAGCCTGAAAATATAGTCCAGCTGGTGGCATATAGGGCGCCTGTGTTTTGGGATCACATACTTTTTTGTCTGACACAAAGTGAAGCAGCTTTTTTGAAGTGACTTGGACAATGTAGTTGAAGCTTGTTCTACCTCATTAATTATGGTGAAGCTAACTGATGGGAAGAGCTGCTTACTGAGGATCAATCCTGTAGGAAATCCTGACCTGATAGAATAGATCTACAGGTGGAAACTATACAAAGTATGAGAAGCTTTGCTTTGCCAGGGGAACTTTTATTTATTTGTATGGTCCATCCACTGGAAGTTAAGGTTATCTGGAAGTCCATACAAACAGATTGCACAATGATGGAGGGCCAGGGGGTGCGGTGTTTGGAGGAAAGTTAATTTGTTTTTAGGCAGAAGACAGGTATGTCTTTCTGCTAAGCACAAGAAGAATAAAGGGGTGTCTATGTAAGGACAATATAGGAGATATGGCAAGGCAGAAGACATGTCTTCATCAAAGGGTGATTGACTGTGGAGAAAAAGAACTACAAAGGGTTTTAAAAGAGGATGGAGACATGATTCTGTCAACCAGAATAACTCAAAGTCATTGGTTTTTTCCTAAAGGATTCAAAAGAATCAAGTGGGAAATTGGATGGTACCAATTCCTGTCTGAGATTACTACCACATGTGATCAATGGGAAGAAACCTAAGGTAAATTGGATGAGTGGCTGGATGGAGAGACAGTCTATTCCTTTGCAAAGTGTTAGCAAATTCGTCAGCCATGGAGATTGTGAGCATTTTGCTGGAGTTTGACTATAAAACTCGTCCTTGTGGATTTGCTCCAATAGAGGAAAGCTCGGGTGAACCTGGGAGAAATTACCCTATGTTGAAAGGCGCCCTCTATGGTTCAGGCTGGACTATACTCATCCATGTACTCACCTGATGCTAGTAATTAAGGCTGGGTGACTCCAAACCTTTTCTGTGACCTCTGATGAAACTAGCTAAATCTCATCCCAGCCAGCTTAACTCTTTCAGTACCATAGTGCTCTGTAACAATTCCTACACGTCTTTTGCGTGAAATACAAAAATAACTGTGAAAAAAACACATTTCAATCACTGGCAGAGGCTATCCTCGTGGGTAGAGAAGGAGAACAGAAAACATTATTTTCTGTAAGAACTCTTCAATTACGGAAAGGGTCAGAGTTACACCAGTTCAATACAAATATTTTAGTCAGCTTAATGGATTCCTAATTTTACATGCTCTTTCTCCTTCACACGAGTGAAGTGTGGGCATGCACGCAAGTCTGCATCTTAAGCTGGCGTGTAATTGTCTGTGCCCATAAGTGCACATGCCTTCACGTGTCTGGGTGTGCACGAACATGTGTCTCAATGTGTACGTGTAGGATTTTTTTTTAACAAAGGCCATTCGATTTCATGAATCGCAGGTTTGGATGGGATTGCCTGCTGACTTTGCTGGAGACTTGGGTTAGATTATCAGTAATTTAATGCAAGGTTTTGCCCTCACCAGTGAACTGATTGGTCCCAGTTTTAACTGGATTTGACGTTTCTTAATGTCCTGACATCCAACAAAAGTGGCCAGAAAGACAGGAACCCACAGGCAATGATCATGTTTTCAAGACTACAACTAATTCTATCTACAGGCAAACTAAAGGGTTTTTGAAAGTGATTGAAAGTGAAGAGTGGGGGGGGGGGGGGGGGGGGGGGTGGTGTGCTATTAGTATGGAGCACATAGGGTTGATTATTTACAAATAAAATGTGGGCCCCTGTGCCTCAGCCTGTGTCTGTCTCTGTGAACGAACATGCTGCAATGGTAGTTAGGGCAAGGTGTGCACAGCTTGACGTCATTTCTGAATGGCGAGGTTGCTAACTGAGCCTCTGAGCGTGTTTAAGAGATTGTTGGGTACTGCTGGATCCAAAATTGGGATCCCTGTGAAATTCAGGAGATGGGAGTTCTCCAATAGGTCTGGAGTTGTATTTTGGCTGCACTGCACCGCCTGGCATTGCACGGCCGGCAATCCAAAATCCGAACAGGATTTTTTGGTAATGCATACAGAAATTTCATGTACTTCGTGGAACCTTTTGTTTGTGGATAATTCGAGGGGCTGGAACGGAAATGGCTGAAATGATTGTGGAAGGAGAGGCATGTCGTGCCACGCCATACAAAGAGGGGAAACAGTAAGACAATGTCCTCCATCTCTTAAGATGTGCAGAGATGGACCAGATCTGGCCAAGATTCAGAAAGATGTGATCAATGACTGCAGGTGCGACCAAAACACTCGTTCGTTTACTCCGGAATCCATTAAACTAATACTGAATATTGGTATGAACTGCTGACACTTTCTGCTGTTTCTGTAAAGTTCAGTCCAGTCTACTCCAGTCCAAGGCTTGTGTAGGATGTCCACCAACGAGCAGATGCCAGCCAACTAGCAACTCAACCAGAAAGGGTTAAAATACCCAGATGCATAATGGAAGCTAGAGCTAGTACTGCCAGCCAACTCTCAATTTACCTTCCCAGCCCAATTTGTGGTCATCTCTCATTCTGTTAGTGTCTAATGGGCTCACTAACTCAACTGGACAAACTTCACCATGTCTGTCTCTCTCCCATCCCATCTCCCTGCAAAGACAAATGGACCCCTAACTAAACTGGGAATTATCTCTCACCAAGCCTAAAACACTGACATGAAAACAGAAACGTTCTTGCATCTTTCTACTTTTCAAATCCAAGTAGGTCATCTGTCATTATCTGCTTTACCCCAACCCAATCATGGTGTCTCTTGCATTTCCTTCCCCAACTCAATCCAAGTGAACCCAAGTAAACCCAATTCAGACCAACCCAACTCAACCAACTAAACTCAGCTCAACTCAACCTAACCATGGTATACTTCATTCTTTAACTCAAACTTAACCCAACTCAAGTTAACCCAACTCAATCCAAGGGAATATATGATCTTTCTCTGTTTAATATAAACACCCAAATCTTAATGTACCACTGTAATGCATCAATCCAAATTGTCTGGCGTGTAACACACTATAGTCAAGTTCCCTAGAAACCAAAGAATTCCCTATCAAAAGAATCCTTGCCCTCAACTACCGCTCACGCCGTTTGATCCAAATCCCATTACAGGGGTCACCAACACACAAATGAGCTACACAAACTGACACAGAGCAGAGGCTACTGGGATTATTCTCTGTATGTACGGACACATCTGACAGGGAGCAATTTGGGAAGACTTTTAAAAAGATTGCTTTTGAACTCTAATTGGAATCATTGCCACATGAATAATGAATGGGTTAAGTGGGTATGAAAGGAGAAGAAAAGAGCCCTGGTAAGTGCTGACTGGGTAATTGTAAGAGGTGATTAATTCTATGCTGATTACCACAGTTGTCCAGACTATACAAAGTGCATATCAATGAAGGATGGTTCTAAAGAAAGGGCACGAGACATAACTTATGGCTTAACATAGCAATGTGCTTAGATTGACCAAGTGACTCATTGGTAAACTATCGATTGTGAATGAAAGGCCCAGTAGATGGACCTGCAGCTCAGTTGTAAAATGCCACATGTCTCCCGAGTGTTGCTTTCAATATTAAATCAAGCAATTTCTGGAAATGGCTACATTTATTCTCCTTTAGGGATTCATATTGGAATTTAAAGTGTTTCTGTACAGCATTACCCAGTCAGGTCGCTTATTCCTTTTAAAAATGATTGGGGGATGGCGAGGGACATTTGCTTTTATCAGAGTGAGTATATATCGGAACTGGGGAATGGTACGACATTTATTGATTAATAAAATGAGCAAACTTTTGGCTAAATCTTTATAATAGGAAATTCAATTATGTAGACGTAGCTAAAGAAGTTTATACATTTGTCATCACTGTACATTATTCCCTCTCCCACCCACCCCTCCACTCTCCACTTAAATGTCCGACTGTCTCATTTACGAGCCCTTCAGCTCTGGGTTAGAAGGTTGCAGCTTAAAGCCCCCAAATCAAGACCTGGAGCACACACGCACAGACGCACGCACAGTCCAGGTTGACACTGCATTGCTGCATTGTCGTCCTTCAGATGGGACATTAAACCAATATGCTGCCTGCCTGTTCAGGTGGGCTTTAAAAGGAGCTGTAACGGAACGTGGAAGAGAAGGGTGAACTGGCCAACTATCCTCCAGATAAATTGATCGATCGGTTTCTGCCTATTTGTGGGGCTTGGCTTTGCTGTGTGCAAACTGGGTGCCACTTTTGCCTACAAATACCCACTGGCAACGCTTGACAGAAATCCCCTGTTAAGCTTTGCGAGACATTTCAACACGATAGGCATTGCAGCAGCTGCAAGGATGAGTAAACTTTTGGCAACTTGGCACTCAGTGTAAAGATCCCTCCGTATCACTCTCTAATGCCGTCCTACCCAGCTACGCTTGCCGCTCTTTTGAGTGCTCTGCAAGCGACAAAGTTATATAACTACCGGGTAGAGAGTCCCCAGACTTATCTACTGAATCCAGTCCCAGAGTCTCTCCAGCATGTAACCCAAAGGAAGCGAGGAGCGCAGAGCAACAGCATTCCCAATTTCCAGTGAATAATCCCAATAAGCCTCTACTCTTGACAAGTGTTTTTTCGGGAAAGATGAGCATGGAATGAAACCTACTAGCCTGGAGCGTCCGCCCGGGGATCTGCGAGGTGAAGACGCCAAGGCCGTGCTCAGAGCGCGCAGCCAGCCGAAAGTAGTACAGAGTGTTAGGACGCAGCCCAGTCACTGTGTACGTCATGCTGGGCGCAAAGGTTATCACTTCCTGTGGAAAGAATCCGTGGAGAGTTTATGTTGACGCTGAGAACATTTCATGCGCTTCAAAACATATTACCGATGGAAAACACGTGGCGAGAACACTTAGTTTACAATCCCACTGGGAGCTCTCACTAAATCTTCCAGGAAAACAAAAAAACAGGGGATCATTTGAGTCAAACAACCAGACGCTTCTTATCGGCTCTAGTCCAGGCTTGGGCACAGAGACCTTCAAACTATCTAGTCAATGATGCCAGGAGATAATGCCAGGATCAAACTTATGTGGTCTGCAGAAGTTGCAGTAAAAGTTTGAACAACTGAACATAGATTGTTTTGGGGGAATTGGCTCTTGATTTGTACACTTGCTTTTATTTTTTCATATCCTGTTCTACTTCCTTGAAGCAATGACTAAGATGCTGTCTTGGGACAGACGTCTTATGGAGCGAGTACTAGGATTATGGGTTACTAGTACTAGGGATAGGAATAGACCGCAAGAGGCTTGTATTTTGCAAAATATGCAGCAATTTGCGGGGCGGGGAATAATAAGTGGTTGTGATTCAAACCCCAATTCGACCATTCGAATCGTGCACAAAACCCAGTGAGTCGCCAAGTAACCTGGCATCCCCTTCGCCTCCACTGCAACACTTTCTCACCTCTTTCCCCAACTCTTCGTCACGGTAGTACAGTTCGTAATTGATGATTTTCTCCTGTCTGGGTGGTGTCCACAGCAGCTGAATGCTGGTTTCCGATTTGGGTTTGGGTGTGAAGTTTATTGGTTGTCCAGGAACTGGGGAAGAGGAGACCAAAACATTGCATTCAGCCAATTCCAGCCCAGGAGCTATTGTACTTGTACGATTGCTGATTCTGCGACAAGCACTTTGAAGGCTGGGCCCTCTGTTGTTTGTCTGGCACGGTCACAGTTTCCGTAAAAAAACGCTGGCCTCAGAGGCAGGTGTTGTTTTAAATTAGTTTTATCTTGTTTTTATTGAGCCAATCCACATTAATTTCCTCCCTCCCCACCACCACCAACAACTATAGCTCTGCAGCCCGGGACCTTTCCCGCACCAGGCTCCTGCACAAACCCATCACCCTCATCCCCACACAGCTCTATTGGCTACCAATTCCCCAGGTGGTTGGAGATCAAGATCTTCGTTCTTACCTTTGAATCCTGCCAAAGTTTTCTTTCATTCCCACCAACCCAACTGCTCGCTTAGCTCAGTGAGTACCAGCCTGCTTCATGGTCTCCGCCCCACCATAGGTGGTCAGTCTTTCAGCCTTTCTGCCTCCGCGCTCTCATTCTCCCACTTCCTCCCTCCCTCCCCTCGATCAAGGTTCATCTCAAGACCATGATTTTTGCCATCTTTTCCTTCCCCTTCAGCTCTCACCCCCAGCTCGGGTGGGTAGCCACTAGTGGTACGCGCTTTGGGACATCCCCACAATGCGAAAGGTACTATATAAATGTAAATTTGTATTGTATTGTACTAGCAGGCCTTTTAAACCCTGTGTCCCTTTTGGGAACTTTTGGTATCTTTGTTTTTGCCTGATTAACCATTAATTTATATATATATATTTACATGGAATATAACAGTTTCAGGCAGAAGTAGTCCATTCGTGCATCTACTATAGTCACCCATTCGCGTTTATAACAGGGAAGCCCCATTGGACATCACTAAAGGCCCTATACATATCACGGATCAGAATTAAAGCTCCTGAGGAATTAATATCAATGGTAAGCTGTGTGGTTTTAGCTGGACTCCACTAGTTACCCCAATCCACACTCTGGGGTCCCCGGAATTCGGTAAAGCAGCATATATCCCTCCAGGGAGAGAGAGAGAGAGGGAGCGCATTCCATTCCAACAATCTATCTCTCGAATTTCCATGTGTGCGTGGGATGCATGGAATTCTTAGTTTGGATTGGATACTCTTAAACACGGTGATGGGTTTCCGCATGTGTCAGACACACGGCTGACCAAAAAAAAAAGGAAAGTAATGATTTTTCTTGAGCACACAGGGGTCTGACTTGTGTTGTTAGTTAATTCCTCAGTCATAAATGCAAATCACACAAATGGAGACACTTTGGTAAACGGTCAGACCCCTGGCCTCTCTGATGAGGTCTACTTTAATGATCATAATAATCCTTGCATTTGATACAGCGCCTGATCACGTCTTCGAGATGTCTCAAAGCGCTTCACAGAATAGACTGTAAAGTGAATTGACTGTATATTTGTGGGCGAAACGCGGCAGCCAATTTCACACAGCAGCGTCCCACAAACCGTGGTGGATTGGAGTGACCAAATTATTATTGTTTTTCTTTCTTGAGGGAATATTATCAGCCGTGTGGGGTAAGGAAACTTGCCCAAGGTTTCGCCCTGCCGGGAATCGAACCCAGGTCTCTCGCTTGCGAGGCTAGTACTTTCTCTTCATTAATCGATGCGAATCTGATGGGATTTCTCACCAAGAAATCCAGGTTAAAAATAGCCCAAATTGCACCCGAACGTGTTCCGGTGAACCGCGGGGTGCTGGACACCCGGGAGCGGGTGCTCGCGGTTATGTCACGTGTATCGTGGAGCTCACCTCCCTGCTGGGTTTTGACCTGAATCTCCGGGGACAGTGGACCGTCCCCGACCGAGGTGAACGCCAGGACTTTGACGCTGTACGTGGTCTGTACGATCAGGTTGGCCACGGTGGTGAGGAGGCTGTCGTCCACGTTGTGTTTCTGCCAGTTGCTAACGGGCTGCTCGGGCTCCATGGTGTAATACACGCGGTAACCCCGGATCTGCCCGTTCGGTTCCTCTGGCTCTTCCCACTGGATTAACATCGTGGTGGTGCTCAGCATCCGCGCCTGCACACTCCGCGGGGAGCTGGAGGGCACCTGCTCGCCCGTCCTGGTCTCCACCGTCTCGCTGGGTGGGCCCTGGCCGATGGAGTTAACGGCGGAGATTTTGAACCTGTAATCCGAGTAGGGGCTCAGACCCCCGATGCTGTAGCGGAGGGTCTGGATGCCGTCGATGGTCTGGAATGGCACTTCCGAGCTCTTGGGCTTGTACTCGATGATGTAGTAGTTGACGTGGTCGGGGTTGCCCGAATCCCAGGTCAGCGTCACGCTAGTGGCCGTGTTCTCCACCACAATCGGCGTTCCCGGGGGCTTCGGAAGAGCTGAAAGAGGCAAGGATTAAGGCACCGTTAGCAGTTCGTCACAACGGTATTTACACAAACCGTAACTCATTGCTTTCCGGGGGTAATAATCCCTCCCACAAAAATGTTTTAAAAAATTGGTCACCCACTTCAGTGCTGTTTCTGGGACACCGCTGTGCCCAATTGGCTGCCGCGTTTCGCCCACAAAACACAGTCACTCCACTTTACAGTGTATTCTGTGAAGCGCTTTGAGACGTCTCAACGATGTGATAAGGCGCTGTATCAAATGCGAGGAACCGGAGAGGGATATCTCAGTGACTTTGCTACGCTTTCAGGTCCTGTTGGTGGCTCAGGGTTTGGGATTCCACAACAACAGCAGCAGCTTGCATTTATACAGCGCCCTTCACCCTGGGTAGCACCTTAGGGAGTTTTACGCTGTGACTCTCACACCCAACAGACAACAGGGGGCGCTTTGGTTGACTCTCACCTTTGACGATGATCTGGGACATGGCTTCGATGACGCCTAGGCTGGACATTGCCACGCAGGTGTAGTTGGCCGACTCCCTGATGCTGTTCAGCTCTAGCACGTTCCGCCCCACGGGCATGTCGTCCTCCGGGGTCAGGTCCTCGGCTCCCAGCATCCACTTGACGTAGGGCATGGGCGAGCCCACAGCCACGCAGGTGATGTTGACGTTGCCGCCTGGGACGATCTCTTGGCTGAGCGGGGGGGTGATGGAGAACCTAGGCGCAACGCGGCGAACTAAGGGGCGGAACACAGAAAGGTAACAACAAGGAGAGAGGTGAGAGTCGGGCAGAGTCACAGCGTGAGGCTCAGCAACCAAATAAATCCACAGGCAGCACATTCGGTAGCACACGTGTTTCGTGACCAGTCCGAGACCCATCACAGCACATTGAAAGACACAAAAATTTATTAGTTAGTTTCTCATCTTTAATGCTCGTGTGTGAAAGAGGAGGGGCAGACTTTGGAGTTCAGGAAGAGGGGTTACCAGCAGACCGTCTCGATGGGGTGAATTGCGGGCGGCCATTTCTGTGCGACTGATCACCTTCCCCTATGTATCCGCCATTGTCTTTCTAACCGAGTCTCTGTAGTGCTCTTGTACTGAACCAGAGGACATGGCCTGAGATTGAAGGGTAAATTCAGAACAAATCTGTGGAAACACTACTTCAGTGAGCGGGTAGTAAACTTATGGAACAGGCTCCCTGGAGAAACAGACGGTGGAAGCAGAAAATGTTGTTTGTTTCAAGAACAAATTAGATAGATTTCTGCTAGAAAATAATATCTCGGGATACAGTATAATTTGGGACACGACATTTCAAGCGACTGCCAGGATGGTGGAAGGTGAACAAGATGGACCTTAGTCTTCTTTTGCCTAGCAAATTATTATGTTCTTATATCTCTCATCCATTAAGGAAGAGGTGGATGGATGGAATGCGGGTGTCTAAAGGTCCACACTGCATAGACATCACCCGAAGAGTTTAACTCCACTTTCATTCTAATCATCAGCTTCTGAACAGTTCATCTCTCGGATGATAATGATAACCATATGCAGGGGTGGTGTGCTGGCACCTGTTATCTACCCCTAAACCCCTACCCCACCCCCCACCCCTTCCACCATCTAAAACAGACTGGGGAGAAGTATCATAGAACCTTATAGCATAGGAGGAGGCCATTCGACCCATCAAACCTGTGCCAGCTCTTTGAAAGAGCTATTCAATTAGTCCCAATCTCCGGCTCTTACCCCATAGTCCTGCAACTATTTCCTTTTCAAGTACCTATCCAATTCCCCTTTTGAAAACTAACATTGCATCTCCTTCCACCATCCTTTCAGGCAGTGCTTTCCAGGTTCTTTCAACTAGTTCAAAGTTAAGCAAAATCCTTCTCAAACTGAAGATCAGGTTCCTCTCTGAAGGGCAGTAATACTGATGAACAAACCCTTACCAGTTTGTCAAAGCCATGCGGGCTGCAAACCCTTTCCCTTTGACAATGCCCAAAGGGTTTTCACCCAAACAGATGGCTCTAACCCTTTCTCCAGAAATGGTCGTCCTCAATTCTGGCCTCAGAGGAGAGGAAACACCGTGTTGTGTGTCATACGTTCCGAATATTGCACTTGTCGTAAACAACGGCAGGTGCTGAGGCTCCTGATCAATGGCTTTGGCTACCCACTTTCACTTCTTGTCAACATGCTATACGTGAGGGCCTCCCACTTTGTTGCAAACTGTAACAACAGGCACAGTAAAGTGTAAAGCTCTTTAACATCCTGATACTCCCAATAGGATGGTTATTGGTTTTCTTCCCATTGGCTCAAAGGGGATCCAGAGCTGCATCACCCCAGTCCACCCCTCAAATTCCGATCGGTCCTGTAATGGCAACATCAACATGACATGAGGTCGCGACCAAGATGATGCCATTACCCGCCACCGTTCAATGTCTTTGTTGATGACGAATGAAAGCTTTGGACGCCAATTCCATTGGATCGAAGTGGCCGGATGTCTAGCCACTGGAGAGGCCTGGAATTGAACGACATCCATTGAATCTGTAGTATCTGTAATGTGGTCAGTGGTGCCCGATCGATGGGGGAAACTAAAGATGAGAAACTCTAATGAAATTTTTGTGGTGCAGGTATATCGACTGTACAAAGCCTTTTCAAGATATTACAAAGGATCCATCGAATAGATGCATCTATCAGTTCACAGACACCATGCAGAAGGTAGAGATACATAGATATATATATATGCACATAGGAATATATAACTGGAGGATCGCTAGCATGCCCAGACGGATTGGGGGGAAGGGACCCACTTCAATGCTGCGTTACTTCCAGCCGATGTGACAGAATGTGCTGGCTCACATTGTCACATCACAGCAGTCTTGGCAGGAAAGGAAACTTAAATCCAAAAGGAAAGAAGGAAAAAAGAAAAAAAAATGTTGACTACACCAACAGGTAGTGCATCTCCTTTGCTCGGAAGTGGATGCAGCCTCAAGATCTTACACAGTCGGACTTGGATGCACATGGACAACATATGGGACGGGGAGAGTAAGGAAGGGGAAAGGAGGGGGAAAAGAAGGAGAATTGGAGGAGAGCATGCAGAGACAGGCAAAGGAATGGGTACAGAAAGACTTGCCAGTAGTGACAGCCGGAGAGAGAAGGGAAAGAGGGTTTGGTGGGATGGGGGGGGCAGTGGTGGGGGAGGTAGGTGGGTGGAGGGTGGGGGGTAGCTTGTTCAGGCACAAGTACTGCACACACCAATATCCGGCCTGTGCCACTCTCGCATGCCCGATGCCCACTTTAGGAAATGCACAGAATGGTAAACTTGGAGAGGTCCCACGGTTTTGTGTAAATTGCTCTTTTTTTGGCGGGGTGGGTGGGTGGGTGGGGGGGGTTGGTTTGTTTGGTTTTTTTTTTGCACACTTAAGTCATCATGCCACTTCACACTAGTTCCTAAATGTTCGCCCATAGAGTGCACCCCATACGTGGCGTATTTTTTTTTGTTTGTCCATGTTTCATCTGCAAGAGTCTCCAAAACTGGTGCCAAGATTGCGTGCATGTCCCTGTGCGAATTCCTGCCAGAAATGGCCGAGGACTCCTGAGGATTTGTTGGTAGCACGACTCACTCCCGCTGGGGTGAGGTTTCCCCTTGGGCCTCAGAAGAGTTTCCTTTCAACTCCTTCCAAAACAGTCGGGATGAAAGCTTCTGTTGTCCGATGAAGTAGAAGGAGTCTGTGAGCAAATTCATTCAATTTCCAATAAGGACAATGTTCTAGAGTAAACTAGAACTACGAAGAAGCCCAGTGATGGACCCCAATTGGTGCTAACTTTTTCTATGTTTTCCTTCACCGACAAATTAATGTTTGGCTGTTTTACTTTTTCCCCTCCAAGCTTCTTCGGGTGTCTTTGCGTTAAGTGTTTTGAGTCATGGATTCCAGGGGTATCAGGCAGCTTCTGGTACCTCAAAATCAAATGCCCAATCTCTATGCATGATCCCACACAGTATGCATTGCTAGGGAGGACAGAATGTGTGTGTGGGGGGGAGGGGGGTGAACGGGTGGGAAGGGGAGGTTCTTCTCAGCCAAACCTCACTTGATGTCCAACACACACATAGCTAAGGGGCCACATGCAGTCAGGTCAGGTCAACGATCTTGGGTGTGACGTGGCCATGGTTTGCGTGTATGCTGATGATCAGGTTTGTTGGACCTAAGGCTCTTGTTTGTTGATGTGAATTTTCACTTCTAACCCTCCACCCCCCACACCCACCCACGCTCCAACCCCTCACCACACTTCCCGAATTTGTCCTCTTGCAGATATAACATGGACAGAAACTGTGGGCTGTGTCAAACTGCAGCCACATGGTCCGGCTGTTTTCGTATTGGACTATTACCACCAGCAAGCACCAGATGGGAGAGGCTCCAGGAACTCACACTGACAAGAAACAATCCTCAAAGAGACGTAGAAGTTGAATGTGAGATGCATACATTGAGTTACCATGGTGATTGTGGCAGGGAGGGGTGTGGGGGAGGTGGGGGTGGGGGAAGAGAGAAATAGAAAGAGTAAAAGGAGGGGAGGTGGGGGGAAGGAGAGGGAAATTACGAACTGGCAGTAAATTATAGAGAAGCACCATCGATCTGTTTGTGATTGAAACTAGAGGGACGAGTGGATCAAGGCTTGAGAGGAAGGTCCATCAACCTGAAGATCGAAAAAAGATTATCAAACACTGTGGGGGAGGGAAGGGGTGTGTCTGTTGAGAGGACACTTGCAAACCACAAATGAAGCTCTTTCTAATCACGTTCTGTCAACGAAACACACTAACCAGCAGATGCTACGCTGATAGACCACTGCACCTGGAACCAACGATCAAGAAGATTGACTGTCGTTTCAAGGGGAAATACAAAAGGTTTATGGAAAAAGAGGCCAAGGGAGTGGAGCTCAATGGACAGGTCTTTCAGAGAGCCAGCACAGGTTATGATGGGCCAAATGGTGCTCTAAATGTCAATGGCTCTATGGAGAGCAACGCCACCCACAACAACTTGTTAAATAACACAAACTCAAAGGAGTGAGCCCCTGGAGTTGATCAGGGTTGTCCTCCCCCTTTACAATTTGCATTTATACATAACACTCTGGGTTGCTACCCTACGTAAGGGGCCTAAGAAAAATGCAAGTTGTGTTGTAGTTTTTTAGTGGTGTTGTTTATAGAAACAAGTCTCTAAAGCTGACTGAGTGGAGAGCAGTGTGATTGTTTTCAAATACCCCCAGGGAACTGGCACTGCTGTCAACAGTTTGAGATGCTCAATGAGATCTGAGAGCTATGGTGTGGCAAGTTCACCATAGATGTGATCTGGAGAGAGGGCTTTTGAAAGAGGGGGATGGATCAAATCATATAACTCTTGATCACTAACAGAGTCCCTTCTGGAAAGTCTGTGTGGATGTGGGTGAGGAGAGGTAGAGGATGAGGCAGAATTAGGCTGTGCTTTTCTGCTCTCCACGGGCATGTCTCCTGCAAGATCTCACTGACTGGGTTAATCCACAAAGGGCTTGGGAGGGTAGATATGTGTGTTAATGTAAGTCAATTCCTAAAACACTGCTGAACACGTAGCAATAAGCGTAGTGTACATTAGACCCTAGAGTCCAGTGCTCTAGGGGGCCCATGAAACTCCTTCCCAAAGTAGGTCATTGCCTTCAGAACAGGAGTGAAGAAAGGAGGAAGGCAAGACCAAGTGAGGCTTTGTTGGTTTGATCTCCGGGTTGAGAGGGAGCCTGGAGATTTGCTGCAAGGAAATCAAAGAATCTGTGAAGTCAAAGAGACAACATTTTTGTTTGGAGTGGGCAAACCGCCAAACAGACTGGCAAATAGGCTTTGGTGACGGGTGGATTGATGTCGTTGTGTTGATCAAAGAACAGGAGCCCAATTATTGCTCCGAATGGGCAACGTGGGAAATGCAGAGAGGGTGAGGGCGGTGCAATCTACTCACAGGGAAAGAGTGCGGGGGGATGGGGGACGCTCACGTTCCACTGGAAAGGTGATGGGAAGGTGACTAGGTGGAAAGTGGGTCCCGGATAACCACTAGTCAGAAAACGGCAGTTTAAGCGATGTTCACAACCCACGTTCAAAGAGGGAAAGTACGTGCTCTGTTCAACAATGCCAGGTTTTTGAAAACAGAGCACCCATGATCACCGATAAGAGGAGGAATCCCTGGAATTATAACGTTGTTAATGACCGTGTCCAGTTTGGTTCTACAGGAGCTCGGTTCCTCTGGCGTAAAGAAACCAGTCTCTGAAGCCGATTGAGTAGACAGCACTGTGATGGTTGGCGGATACAAACACGGGCCATGGTGCCTGAGCTCGACGACAACAGTGAGAGACGCTCACAGGGGGCAGGAGCAACATGGTTACGATCCAAGACTCGGTAAGCCACTGTACAGAGGGAGAGCTAAAGAGACACCCCCCTCACACACACACACTAGTTGTCCCTCAATCCCGGAGCCAGAATCCGATCCATTCAGCTTTTACTCCAGACTGAATCCTGTCATGTCCACTCGAAAACCAGATCTGCTCCAGCAGACGGGTTTAAAAAGGGGATCTGTCCCTCATCTTTCAAATGCTGAGAATGACTGAGAATCTGGGGACAAATCAGTTCACAGTTCCAGCAGACACAAATAAAGCCAATTTTCTTTTACTGGAACTGGAATAGACGGGTTGTCAAAGCCTGGGATCCACTTCTCTGGAAAGGAAAGACAGAGAGACTTCAGTTGTGATTTGCAAGCACTCACTTTCGAAAGGAAGGGAGATTCAGGACATGGTTGGGGTACGGATTGAGGAAGGGGGGAGTTTTAGAGAGGGAAGGTCAAGAGGGAGAATATCCTTGATTATTCCTTTGAAGCTTGGTATTGTGAGTCGCCTTATTCCGAGCCCTGATCCACAAAAGAATGTGACAGTGAGTACATTCAGGAAGAGGCGGGAGGGATGGGGGAGGTGGAGAGGAGGAGGTGGGAGGGGGAAGGAGGGAAAGAGGAGGGGAGAGGGGACGACGTAATCACCAAAATAACCTCCACAAAGATAGCGATACTGCACCAGAGACAGAAGCGCCAATGAGCCAGAAGGCAGATTATCTGCCATTTTGGCAAGAGCTCATGGACCATCAGCAATCTGTGCCAAAATGTTGAAAAGCCATAATAATGTGCACCTTCCAGTTCATTACTGCAATTAGATTACACCTGCCATTTCAGAAAGGATGCTTGGCATTTTTTATACCAGACTGTCTTAAAGGGACAATGTCACTTAGACCAATAACCCAGCATTTCACATGCGAGAGGCGTGAGGGTTCTTTTAAGGAATCGAGGAATGGAAGAGGGGTGGGAGTGGGGGAGAAGGGTCTGGAGTTAGGATCACGATCAAATATTGGCTTCCAATTGAGACTTGAAGGGCAGAGCGTCTGTCACTGCAGTGAATAAACAGAAGGGACAGAAAGGTCCACCTCGATGTCAGAAACTTGAGTGAAATTGGCTCTGGATGAAACTGTGGATGAAAGGCTTGGAAGTCCTTCAAAATGGGTCAATAATTAAGGCCATTTTCTCTAGGAGGCTGGATTGTAGGTAAAATGGACATCCCTTTGCCCGCCTGGCAGTATTTTTCTGGGTGTGTGGGTGCGGGCAGGTGGTGCCGATTGGGGGTGGGGGGAAGGGGAGGGGGGTAATTGGGGCTGGGGGAGAGGAAAGCAAAACTGGGCGTTATCGTTTAGAAGGTGTAATCTAATCGATTGGAAGACAAGGAGGAGTGCAGGAAAGCAGAGCAAAGACAGGCAGACATACACACGCACACACACATACAGATCCAACATACCAGACAGTTCAGTGTTCCCACGGCCTAGTGTGCGCTGACGTGTAAAAATCCCACCCGATTCAGAGCCCCTGGACAGTGAGACGCTTGCGTATCCGCGCTCTTAAATATCGATCCTCATAATGTTTCCGAGGGTATCTACAGCGGCCGGAGGAGGCGGGGGAGGCGGGAGAGCAGGGGTTGGGGGGGGGTGGCGGGTGGCAGGAGTGGGGGGGGGGGCGGGACGCGCAGAGAATCACTGACTTTCTTTTAGAAGTTTTAGCACGTCCAATTATATTCCTAATTTTCTTCCCCACTGTCCTACAACTCTCTCTGCTCCCAGGCTGAGCTCCCCTCGCTAGGGTGTGGTTTCACTGCCGCTGGTTGCCCCCCCAATCCCTCCCCCCTCCACTACCCAAGTGGCTATTGTTCATGTATGGCCATTGGCAGTGAGAGTACACGGGTCACTTCACATGAGGAGGGTGTCACAGCTGTGCCTGGCCACACATGCACAACCAGTAGAGGGCGTTGTAGAGGGACCAGGCCCAGGAGCCCTGGCGGGTTGTCCTCTCCCTAACCCTAGCCTCTCACGAAAAACTCAGCACTGACTGGGACTCGACTCAGCCAACTCCTGGACCGGGCCACCAACTTCCAAGAGCCGGACACCCAGAAACAGGAGACTCAAGATATCGTTGGGTTTTGTAGTCCATGAACACAAGAACCCTTTGAGATAGAACTTAAGTCACACCGACGCTTACGCTCCATTGACCGAACTGAAATCTTTTCCGCCTCTCCCACGTTTCACACTTTCATCTGACCCTTCACCCACCCAACCTCTTCCCTCTGGAACTCTCTTCCCGAAGGATTATGTCCCACCACATCTCTCTCCGCTTTCCAAACCATCTCCTAAGGTCCATCTTTTCAGGTTGCGCTCGTAGCCACCTCTGAATTCCCTGCTCCGCTGCCCGCCCCTCCCAGAGTAAAGCTCTTTGGGGACATTTCTCTTCAGCAAATCGTGTTCTATAAACACGCTCTGTAGCGAACGCCCTCCACTCCCACCTTGTGCACCGACTCAACCATTCGTTTGTGTCTTCCGGAGTTGACCGTTTCTACTCCTCTGGAGGGGGTAATCAACACTCTGCCCGATGGGAGAGAACCCTGGAGGCTTAAGAACATCTCAGAGAGGTAAAGAATCCTAAAGGGTCTCGGTCCGTCTGACTGAAGCTGGACAATAGGGGGGGTGACATGGTGTGATTGTGTTGGTAGGAATTTTGGGGGCGGGGGTTGGTCTTGGGGAGGAGGGCCGGGGGGGGACGAGGGGGGAACAATTCTCGAAAGCATCATAACCTAAATTTCGACTGTGTCTTTGAGAACGATCCCAACCGGGTGACGCCTGATAGGGAATGGTCAGAGCTGTGTACCTGACGAGGGGATTATGCCCACCTTGGGTGCCGAACGAACCCACCGATTGGGTTTCGAACGGCCCGCCACGTTTGCCTTGCCTCCGGTCCCCTCCGTCCCACAATGCGCCGTTGCTTAAAATACCGAGAATGCCCCCCACCCCCCCCGCACCCCGCGCGCTCGACAACCGTCCACGACCCACTTCCTGCCCTCGCTCCTCGGGGCACAGCAATACAAGTGCAGCGGGAACACTGTCCTGTCGTGACATCTCCTCAGCGTGTTTTCCAAACGGGTTCGGGCGAAAGCATGCAAGCGTGTCATTCCATTCTCTCGTCATGCACCAAGGCCATCGTGACAAGCGGCAATAAGGTCATCGTCATCGCAAGGCACAGCACAATACCAAAAAACGAGGCGAGGGGAGTGGGGGGGTGGGGGGAAGAGGAGAGAGAGAAAAAAAAACACTCCGGATGCAAAAAAAAACTGCAGACCCACAGACATTAATGCAAATTGATCTGAACCGAACTGTGGGTTCTTTTTGTTTTTTTGTTTTGTTTGTTTGTTTGTTTGTTGCTGTTGTTATTAGCGTTGTTATTGTTGTTGTTATTATTATGATGATGATGATGATTGTTTTTTGGAGGGGTTTCTTTTTTTTGTTGTTGAATTAATTAGTTAATTATTTAATAAATAAATAAGTAGGAAAAAAAGAAGATTATTCATATGTAAATGTGGGTTAGAAAAAAAAGTAAAAAAGAAAAACACACCAACCTTCTCGTAGCTCTGAAGGGATGTAGGGGTTTGATGCAGTACACAATGACACGGGGAAAAGAGAAATAGGGAAACACAGAGAGAGTAAAAAGGCCTTTTCAAGGCTTTAAAGCTGCAACAACTACTCTCGTTCACGACCTTTGACCATTCTCCCTTTGACCGTCAACACAGGTGTATATTTTATATATATTTTTTTGCTCGTCATCTAAGTCTCAACCAGCGGTTCCGCCCTTCTTCTAAAAAAGGAGGAATCCCGTTTGCTCTTAAGTTACCGTTAAACAGTTTTATCCGACATCTCAAATCAAAACCGGAGAGAGAGAGAGAGAGAGGAGAGAGAAAGAGAGAGAAAATCAAATGAAGAGAGCAATCAAAGAATTAAACCCAAGGCTGGCCCTTCCCTATCCGCCTCCATCCCTCCCTCCCTCCCTCCCCCCACTCCCTCCCCCCCACCCCCACTTTTTCGGAGAATAAAGAAATAAAAGCGCTCGGAAAAAAAAATCACAGCTAACATTTTTTTTCTCTTGTTCGGTTCTCTGAAGAAAAAAATACACTTTTTTTTAGGGGTCGGGGTGTGGGGAGGGGGGAGGGGGGAATCTGCTTTATCTCTTTCACGTGGGTTTGGGTACTTACAAGGATTTGATCCCACCCCACCCCAAAGCCCGGGACTCAAGTTACCGCCAATTTGCTTATTGTTGGCCACTGAAATGGTGGCCATTGGCTCCCTCCCTCCCCCTGAATCCTCCATTGAGTGCTAACGAGTGAAAGAGATACAGCCGGTGATTTTTTTATATATGATCGCAGAGGAGGAACAACAGCCTCTGGCTTCCTACCCCTCTGCCAGGCCCATGTCAGACTGCAGCGCTTAGCGTCAAAACCCCCACCTCCCCCTCCCCATGCTGCACCCACAACGAGCCCGGCACAGTGGCAAAGGAGTCCGTCCGCTATGCCGTCCCTCCACCCCTCCTCCGCGATCGCAATCAACTCCGTCAAAGTACTAGGACCATTCCCTTGCACCCCGCGGCTCTGGGTGGGAATCGATCCGCTAAAGGCTCTTCCCCCAAACATTTCAGGATCAATTTAAACAGCGGGAGAAAGAATCGTGGTTTGGTTATCTTCCACACATCTCACCTTTGGTGTCCCCTTTGCTTCTCTCTCCCCCTCATTACCTGTCTGTCAATGCGCTCGCCCCCAAAACCAAATTCTTCTTTCCCCCACCCACCACCCTTCCCCATCCTTGCCCTGCCACCCCCACCCCCCCTCAAAAACCAAACACATTCCCAACTAAACGTCTCCGTCCTGCCCTCAAGAGTTCACGAGTTCAGAGGCAAAATGTTTACCGAGAAAGCCATCAATGAGCTGGTTCCTGGAGGGAAGAGAAAGAGAGTGTGTGTGTGCGTGTGTGTGTCTGGGGCCAGTTTGCGAGCGAGCAGAAAAAAAAACAGACGTTAACCTTAACAGAACAAGATGTCCGCCTGACTCTCTGAGCAGCTTTTGGTTCCACCAGTTAAATGCAGGGGAGGTGCAGAGAGAGAGAGAGAGACATCTTGTTTGCGGGGGAAAGAAAATAATCTGCAACCTGGCAGGTAGGCCATCTGTGTCCGATGACTTCCTAACTCCCAGCTGAGAATGCTAATCTACAGACTCCATGTTAATGCCCTGAATTAATATTCGCCCGTCGTGCTGCTGTGCCTTGTCTTTTCTCATGTCATTAATCGTCGGTAGAGCTGGGGGAGGTGAGATGAGCGGCTCTGAAGTAGCTGTGTACTGTTGTGACAAAGCGCCACGCAGACTGTTGGCAAAGTAAGCACACGGCAGACTCCCAGGTCAGGTGAGGAAGAGGAGGGGAGGGAATTTAAGAAGACACATTGATTTCATCCCTGACAACTAATCTGAATCAGCTGCAAATTAGTCCGCCTACAAAGACTCAGTCACTACACTCCGTAGAGACTTGGGGAGGCGCTTCGAGACGTTCCCAGCACCAAAGTTGCCGTCTCAAAGATGAGGATTATTTATTATTTATAACCCGACAGAGGAACTAACAAGCCACGTTGGGACCTTGTGTGCCGAGGGCTCCTGCACTGTGCACCGAGAGCCGAATAGATGGGATGGATCGAAGAAGCCGTGGGTTTAGCTTCTCACTCACAGAACGCCTCCCCCCCCCCCCCCCCCCCCCACGCTCGCTCCCACTGACAGGGCGTCTGGCGGTTAATTAGTGGGTAAAGTCAGTCGGCTGGTACATTGGCCACACTGGCTGGAGCTCGGCATCAGGGAAGCAGCGTCTATAAAACTGACTGACAGCCCGGTGAGACGGCAGCTCTCCCAGCATCGCCCGGGTGGTTGGTGAACAAGAGTGATGGGCCCTGCCAACACGGGGAGGGGAGGGGAGGGGATTTACTAGTTCACTAGTAGAACGGGCAGGGCTGGAGCCTGGAGGTGAGCAGAGAGGCACAGATGGTGAGAGAGAGAGAGAGATCAGGGCTTATTTTAGGTGGGCATAAATCACAGGCAGGCCGGCCGGCGGAGACTGATCGAGGGGAAAGCCTGGAGTTGGCTGCTTGCAGCTTGTGGCGTTTGTGGAAGGTCAAACCTCTTAAGTTTCAAGAGAGGCATCAATTCCCATTCCATCCACAGCGCTCGAGAGATGGTGAGCCAGGTATGGTCTTGTGTTACACCAGAGCCTCCGGCTCAGTGTGTGTGAGTTGCCAATAGTGGGTGGGTGGGGTGGGTGGGTGGGGGGTTGGAGGGCAGGGGGTTTGAGCAGAGAACAGTGGAGGGAGAACGTTAGGGCCAACTCAGTGGCATTTCTTGATGGAATTTCTTATTTAAGAAGTCCGCAGTGCGGAGTTGCTGCATTGCTCCAACTTGCTCTAAAGTTTGTTGAAACTTTGTTCCGAAAAATAATTCCGTCGGATGAGAGCGACGCAGTTGCTGTTAACCCGACAGGTCGCGGCCATGGCCATCTGCAGCCTGGTAATTAACAACCATAATTGATAAATGATAACTAATTGGGAGTTGAGGTACAGATCAGCCATGATGTAACAGAATGGGAGAACAGGCTCGAGGGGTTGAATGGCCCACTCCTGTTCGTACGTTCCTGAGGCTTGCCCTACCAATCCAGCACGCCCACTAGGCCTGTAGATTAGATCTTGAACTCCCTTTTTTTTTTACTATCTTGATTCAATCAATTATCAGTCAGTGGACTATGAGCTCTCCGGCCTCACTTGTCTCTATCAGGGCATGGGAGAGGGGGGGAGCGATGTGCCACAAGTCGACCTGTTTTTACAATGAATGGTCTTTGTGTGGAGTTAGGAGAGGCCTGACAGGCGCAGGTGGGAGTTTGTCGCTATCCAGCTTCAGTCTCCACGAGTGCTCCGAGACGCTACCCATGTGTGAAGGGCGCTATATAAATGCAAGTCGCTGTTGTTTTCTTCCTGACCTAAGTAGGGAGCCATTCCTGCGCTGTTTGAGTCACACAGTACAAAGCTGCTTGTAGGGGGAGGCTGACTGTACTCTCTTCTCTGGCCTGGCTGGCTGGCTGGCTGGCGAGACTGAGACAGGATAGATCGCTTGGACTGATTTACAAAGTCAACTTGTCGGTCTTTGTTGAAAACCAGACCCGAGCAAAACCGTGCTCTGAGGTGAAACACGGGGAACAGCCTGGGTGGGTGTTGAGGGGGTCCCTACAATGGTGAGAGATTTCTACAAACTAAGAGAATGGCACGTAGCTGTTAAGGATGAAATTCAGGCGTCACCGAGGCTCAGTTTTAATAACTATTAAGCAGTAAAGTGGGCGATTCCCAGGTCAATGTGCCCCTAACAACCGACACAGATTTGGATGGAAAGCACTTTGTTTTACAGTTCGACTCGACTTCTAAGCCCACCCACACTCCACCCCCAAACCCCCAAAACTCACACAAATTTGCAAAGGAAAAATACTCGAGGTACAATTCTTCAAACGTTCTTCTGTAATCATCATCATCATCATCCTCATCATCATCAGCCGCAGAACAACACCCCCCCACTCCCACCCCAAATTATCTAAAAATATCAGAAACGTCAATTGTTTCGAACGGCTTGGAAAGTATTGATAGTTTTAGATATTTTGGAAACGCCATTGTTCCCTGTTTACACTCCAGCGTTTGAATCCAGACTTCATGAGAATGGCCCCACTGTGTATGTGTGCGTAGATTGTACAATAATATAGGATTTCATTTAATCATCTTCCACAGAGCAAAACCTATTAAGAAATGCTTAAAGGAAGGTCAAATCTGGGGTCATTTTCTGTTATAGAATCAGAGATGCAACTATTAATGGCTTTCAGTGACGGGACATCTTAATCACCTTGACTGGGCCTAGGCTAGGATTCAGCTCGGGTCTTTCAGAGATGGAGGGAGCAAGGTCAAGGGCAATGTGCAATGAATTATTAAACCCATTAAACCCCTGCTCTGTGACTGTACGGATCGGTTTTGGTCTTTTTCAAACTGAAATAGCAGCAGCTGAAATCGACAAAGGTTCAGTGGGGTTTTGAGGAGCTTTTTGAGTCTGCGATTGTCTTGTAACCTCCGCTCAAAGAGCATTCATTCAGTTACTCAATTTATATATATATTTTTAAAAATCTCCTTCCTCACTAGCTATGCATTAAATCCTGGCTCAGATAGAACAGGGACGTATATGGTGAGGTTCGAAAGGTGTAGTGGGGAGGTCTTGAAAAATAGTTGGCCTTAAAATTGAACCGAAAGGCACCAGGGATCCCACAGCTAGGAACGTCACAGTTCTCTCATGAAGTCACTCTGGCGGTGGCCATCTCTTCCTCGACGTTGGGAGGGAACTCGTGAAAAATCGTTACTTTCGTTCCCTCGGCCGATGGTGGGTGCATTTGCTCAAAGGTTTGTCGCGAACTCCCCCGCCCGAGATAATCAAAATCCCTGTTACCGAATCACCGTCGATGACAAATAGCCCCACGTGGTGTGTGGTAACAACAACAGCAGAGATACCCCCTTTAGATGGTTGCATAGGGACACTTGATGTGGAGTCAATCCAACTCTAATCCTACTCTCGATCTAGAAAAAGGCTGGGTTTCCCAGGGTCAAGACCAATTCTATCACATCTTTCGATAGGCCTCGGTTTCACTATTTTACCAAAGGCAACGCACTTTAGTGCTGTATGTTCGATGCCTGTGTCTGAGCCCAGTGACTAACAACTCCCCTGCAGTGTAGGAATGGCTCCTCGACCACAATTAGTGGGTTTAAACTTTGACATTTACAGATGAGATAAAACGGCTGGATCAACATGATAGCGTTCATGTCAGATGTCATTGATGCCATTCGGCCCACCGTGCCTGTCCCGGCACTTTGAAAGAGCTTGGCCCCACTCCCCTGATCTTACCCAATAGCCCCGCAGTTCTGTTGTTTATCTTTTTCTTTAAAAAATAGCATTTTATTGGGGCGGGAGTCAAGTCGAAAACTCCCAATTGCGTTCAACGTTTCCCTCGGAATCTTCCAGGCAATCCTCCCTCAACCCCAACCACGAACACCTTTCATAACTGGATGCACAAACTCAAAGGTCCTCAAAAACGCCCCTGATCTCAACCCCACAGCATGAAAACAAAACACAACATTTCGGTGTCTACAAGGTACAGCAAGCGAGTGTTCTTCTCTAGGACCCAGCACCCTACAAGTGGCTGGGGTGCAGGGGAGGGTGGGGAAGTGCTGGGGTTGTGTGGGTGGGTATTTGCCGCTCCCTACCTCTCACGTAAAGATTGGCAGGGGGTGAGTATCGCACGCCAGCGTTGTTCGTTGCCACACACTCGTACTTGCCCTGGTCGGTTTCTTCACTATTCTCGATCTGAAGAGCACCTGTTAGGACACAAAGGGCAGCGGAGAAGATTACAATCCTGACATTGCTCACGCCCAAGTACCCAGCCGGTTAGTAAGCGACTGCGTTCTTCACTGAAATTCTCCTACACACCCCCACCCAAACTCCCGCACCACCCCACCATCCTTTCCAAAGTGTCTCGTTCAGACTCCAGGCCTCCTGTCCAAACCTCCCCCCCTCCCTCCCCAATCCCCAACCACCACAGGATCCCCTTCCAGTCAATCACTCTTCTCACTGCTGATTATCATCACCGCAGGTTGTCCTCCCATGACTGGCGATGGCCGGTGAGATTCTCTGATGCCCCTTCCTCCCTTCCTCCCACCCCCAGAAAAATAATCAGCCTCTTCCCCCTCCCGCCCCACTCACTTTGGAGCTGATCCATTCAGATCCATCAAACACTCTGGAATGTTACCCCCGGGTGAAGGGCGCGATATAAATGTTGTTGTTGTCCCAGCTTCAATGCTCTGGGGTGAGTTAGTTGCTCTGTCAGGTGAGCAACAGGAGCCTTAACTCTGTGTTAAGAGAAGGGGGCCAAGGTTCTTCACTACTGATTGATATCCAGTCGTTTACCCCCCCACCCCCACTCACTCACCATTTAATATCACCAATACATTCCAACATGGCGGCTTAGGGTGTTAGCTGGTTTATTTACAGCAGTTACCCCCACTCACGCACACTCTGGAGTCCCCAAGCCCTGGGCTCTTGTAACCTGTGCCTCGTACTCTCGGGATTGGGTGGGCAGGGTGCGTACCTTTGACCAGAGAGGGTGAATCCCATTCTAGACACGGGGAATTCTCCACATATACCGTAGGTGGACCTCCCAGTAGCCTGGTTTGCAGGTCCTCAAGCGTGGCAATGGGTTTCCATGATTGTCCCACCCTCCCCCAGCTAACCCCTCCCTACCAAGAAAACACCTCCACAGCAGATCTCAGTTTGGCTTGTTCTTGCACATGCACGATCCCACGAGGGGGGGCTTTAATGAGCCTGGGTGTGTGGATAAAGTAGATTGAGATGCATGTTATTTGGATTCCTGTAGCTCAGTGGTTAGAGCACTCGCCTCGTAAGCGAGAGACCTAGATTCGATTCCCGGCAGGGCGAAATCTTGGGCAAGTTTCCTTACTCAACCCGGCTGATAATAATCCCTCAAGAAAAAAACCCAATAATAAACTGGTCACTTCAATCCACGACTGTCTGGGGGACGCTGCTGTGTGCAATTGGCTGCCGCGATTCGCTCATAAATTCAATTCACTTTACAGTCTATTCTGTGAAGCGCTTTGAGACGTCTCGAAGACATGAAAAGCGCTATATCAAATGCAAGAATTATTATTATTATTGAACCCCACGACACATTCCCAAATCACTGGCTGGAGCTGTCTGAACGAGGCACCTGGTAAGCTACACTCCCCACAAGGACAACCCATTGAACAGAAGTCAGCTGTTCTGTTGCTACAGTACAGGTTTGTTTAACGGGGATAGACCGACAGGTAAGCCTCGGAGGGGAAGCCTCCCCACCCCCCGGGAAGGCTTCCCCTCCGAGGCTTCTCAATGTACCAGAGCTTTAGTATCAAGAGATATCTGACTGTGCCACAGAGCTAACTGTGAGCCTCAGACACACACCCTGGGACTCGGAACACACGCACACGCATGCACACACGCGCAAACACACACGCACATGGTCTTCGCACATTATACGTGACCGAGCTGACAGCGAGTGACTGTGGCTGATGCTTTACTGTGAAATTCACCCCCAAAAATAGGGAGTGGGGGGGAGAAAAGGGGGCAGGGCAGGGAAAACGCAAAAAAGAACCCCAAATTTTCTGTTTCTGGGAGGGAATCGACTCGGAAGCAAAGTGTCGGCCATGATCGCAAGTCCGCAAAACATACAGTTGATTCACTTGCGGTTTATTCCTGTGAAGCGCTTTGAGATGCGATAAGGCGCTCTATCAAATGCAAGGATTATTATTATCATTATTATACGTCGCTGTCAGCGAGGTGGCTTCTGATTTGGCAATGTCACACTTTCAACACTTTACCCGCTTCTCCCTCCTCTCTAAACCCTCCGCCCCCACCTTTCCCCCCACCCCCACACACACACACCACCACCACCACCAAATCACACATCACTACAGCACAGACGTGTAATAACCGGTGATTTGCACCGTATCAGTTTTGCTCAATTCTAGTTCCCGTTTGCAAGCATCCAACAGCACAGAGGTAAAAACCCCTGGAATCGCACAGAGAGATCATGCTCATGGCTTCCTTTGCAACATCTCTAATTAAATCCTGAGGGACATGAAACTGAAGAGACAGAGAGTGAGTGAGAGAGCGAGAGATTAGAGGAAGGAATAGAAAGCCACGGCAGATTAATTGGGGTCTTGCCGTCATTCTCCCGCCCCCAGCACTTGTGTCAAACACATTCAGTTGGACAGAGATTTTGGCAACTGAGTTTCTGTGTGGTTTTTTTTCTCTTTTTTTTCTACCATCGAGATCAGGAAAAGCAGGAACGCTGGGAATCCCGTTAGTGGGGGGGTTTTGTCTTGGTTGTCGGCCAGTTCAGGATCTCGTCGGCTCTGATCACCAGACTACCTTTCGTCCTCCTCCACCACCTGCCTTGTGGTGACACCTTAGCCCCTGACCACTGACCCGACCACCAGCCCCGGCCTCTGATGGTGAGGCAGATAGGAGCGAGGGACACGAAGCAGGCCGGTCAGTGCTCGCCAAGGGAAGGGAGCGAGCGGGTTGGCAGGGCTGGAGGAGGTCGCAGAGGTAGGGTGGGGCAAGGCCGTGGAGGAGGAATCTTGAAGGTGAGAACCAGGGATCTTGGAATTTGAATTCCCAGAGATGGTAACTTGCACATCAGTCAGAGAGTCGCGGCGAACAAGGGCCCAACTCTTCAGAAATAACCTCAAACACCAGCGTGGTGGTGAGAGATTAGGATTTAAATTGCTCACTATTAACCTTTACATAGGTTAGGTGTTGGAAGAGTTTGGGCTGGGGACGAAATCCCACCGTATACACTGGATATAAGAAAGAATAGACTTGAGATGGAGCAGACTCATGGGTTGATTGACTAAGTCCCATTCCTAAGAGTCTAATACAAGGCAGGAAAAGCCCAGACAAGGCTTGTGATGGCTGGTGAGGCACCACCAGTGAGAGAAATATGTTACATAAGCACAACACCATGACAAGACAAGAATGCACACCCAGGTTACAGGAAAGACAGAGCTATCCATTTTAGACGTTAGCGCAAGGCTCTTGGAAAAGTGTTTGACCTCGTCCTCTCGACGCAGCTGTCTGTAACTTAAACGTTAGCGGGTTGTTGATGCCTCAGGGAAAATGTCTCCTGTTGGGAACAAAAAAAACCACGCACCAAAAACTGACCTCGACCCTCAAACTGTCTGTTTGTCTGTCTGTCTGTCTGTCTGCCCCACCGCCCCCAATAAAACCCTCAATGTACTTGCAATCGTGGAGCAAAGAGGCTCCGTAAATAAGAAAGAAATTATAGATATGCACAGTATATATATTTTCAAAGGAACGTAATAAACAAAAGCTTTTCAGGGCAGACACTGAGACAAATGAGGGAGCTGTGACTTGCTACAATGATACAGAGAGCTACAATACACTTCCACTCAGAAGCATATCAAAAAAGAGCGAACATTTTTTTAAAAAAAAACAAAAACCTTTTTTTTTAGAAAAAAAAGGAATAACAACTGAGTTAGCGACAAAAACACCGGTGAGAAACACACACACTCAGAAAATCCGAAGATTTCTTTCTTTCTTTATTTATTATATCATTTTTTTTTCGCCTTAATTTCTGTTCGTAAATGAAAGAAATGGAACGTTCTGAAGAAATAAATAAAGAAATAAAGAAATAAAGAAAGAAAGAAAGAAATAAAGAAAGAAATAACGAACTAAATAAATCAAACGATTCTCGGAAAAGAAAAAGATTAAAAAAACGTAATATAAATATATTTTAAAAAATGAAAAAAAATTTTTTTTGGAAAAAAAAGAAAATCAGAGAAAAGAAGAAAAAAAGGAGGTGAAAATTTGTTTCAATTTCCATTACTCTTACCTCGTATCGGAGTACCACCTGCGTGGATAATGTGAATGCAAATAAGATTAAAAAGAAGAGGGGTTAGTTCCAGAAAGACAGGTGGAGGGCTCGAGCAGATAGCAGAATTTTTTTTGAAGAAAAACCTTCAGACGTATAAAACACTTAACTCTTTAACTGCTGGCGACAAGTGAGGGGGGGAGGGGTTGGGGGGGGGGGGAGGTACCCTGTTTAGAAGGAAGATTGTCTCACAACCCCACGTGCCAGGGAACGGGCTCGTTCCCGTCTCCGTGGGCGCCTGCCTGCCTCGAAGCGTGGATCACCTTGGAATAATCTATCTGATAATCACTTTCTCTGCCTTTAGGAACATAGGAAACGTGGAAACAGGAGTAGGCCATTCAGCCCCTCGAGCCTGTTCCGCCATTCTAGATGATCACGGCTGATCTGTACCTCGACTCCAATTAAGCCGCCCTTGCCCCATATCCCTTGATACCCCGACCTAACAAATACCTATCCAGCCTTTAACTTCCTGCACAGTGTGGAGAGCCAAGCAAGAGGCAAAGGGGGAAGACACCCACTGTCTGACGCCCCAGGCCTCTCCAGAGCGTCACAGTTTCCTTGTGTTTTCCCAGAAGGGTGTCAGGGGTGTAATATAACATGAGGGCTGGTTGACCAGGGCTGGGCTATGGTGCTCTTGTTCCTCTTCCACCTCTCTCCTCCACCCTCCACTGAGTAGCCGGACATAACCTGGGACTGGGTTTGTTTCCCCCACCACTCCCTTCATGACCCAAGGCAAGAGAGACTAAATGCTTTGCTCCGTTACCGTTCGGCTCAGCTCAACACACAAGGTCAGGTCAGATCCCGGGGCAGTGAGTGTGGAGCTGGGTCGGGCGGCGTGAAGAGAACTCGCTCCTGATCATTACCCAGAAACCAAGCCTTCAGATTCCACACTCCTAAACCCCCTCCCACTCCTCCCCCCACCCACAACTGTTCTGCCTTGAAACCTACATTGTCTACTGAGGCCTTTGGTCATCTCCCCTTTCCTTCCTCACTCCTCCCCCCCTCTTGCTTGACGCCCGACCCTTCCTTTGTGAAGTGCCCTTACATGGTAGCCCATGAGGGCAGGAACACGTGACGTGTGGGCATTGGATGAAGGCAAGAGAAGGGCTTGGCAGCTGCCAACATTCCCTGGAAACCCGTCCCCATACCAGGCAGTGCCTTCAAGACAGGGCGAGTGTGGAATACATGTACAATTGGATCCCACTTCCTACTCTGTTGGTGGATGTTTGTTTCTTGGTTACGTTATGACTGCCCCGAGTTACAGGGCTTGATGTCCTGACGTATATGGGAAGGGCTCGGTCCTTTGTGGGTCAAAGCTGTTATTCCATCTACTTCACTTCTCGTGTGCATTTTAGTGGCCCATTTAATGACTAATTATCAGTCTCAGAGAGAGTAGGGAACCTTCCCACTCAGTGCCTTTTATCCTCACAAGCCAAAGTCCCAATGCCTCGTGGATAGGCGCTGGAATTGCAGTTAGCGGGATGTAAGGAACCAAATCAATATGTGGGTCACTGGAGCCAATTGATACTCACACCAGAATAGTTGGTACCATTCATGAACCAACACAACCCCATGTTGGCTCTGTAGAGTGAGGGGCGCTGTATAAGTGCAAGTTGTTGTTGTAACCCTAATGACTATCTCCACTCAATGGCCCCTCATTTGAGTGAGACAATTCGGCTTGAGATACTCTGAAAGTCACTGGTTTTGTTTCTCCTTAACGTGGTGACACAATCTTCCTCTAAAAAAGGTGCCGGGAACCTTGGCGACCAGCATCACGGCACAGTTTCAGGCAGCACTTTGCCACATTCCCCAAATTCCGGCACTTCCGATACGTTTGGCATCTGGGAACCAAAACTCCAGTGGGTCGGTGTAGAATTTGAGCGTTTTTTGTTGGAGCATTTTTGGAAGGGAGGAGCGGGGTTGGGGGGTGGTGGGGGGAGGGGGGGGGTCGGTCGGGAGGTGGTGTTACCTGGCTCTCTCTCTCTCTCTCTCTCTACACTATTAGACACAGCAGAGGCTGGACTTGGCTCAGAGTTTCCCTTGTTTCTCAATCTGCACCAGTCACAAGGGACCTGGTCCTCAGACTTCTTCTTGGCCAAAGTCCACTCACTCTCCGGTGGCTTACTAACGAGTCTACTTTCAGGGGAAGATCTTCTCCTCTCCTTTGCACCGCTTGCCCCCTCCTCTCAGCTCGCTTGGGTTTGTTGCGCTTCCCCCAACTGCCTCCGCGTCACCATCGGTGGCCCAGCTTTCTAATTCTAACCCACCCCTTTACCCCTCCGTTTTGGTCCGCTTTAACTCCTGCCTTGACCCCTTACTTCTTCGACTGCACCTATGGCCACCTCCCCCTTTCTCACTCTCACTCTTGCTTGGCATCAGACCCTTTCCTTGTGAAGCACGTAACCCTTTATGAAGGATGCTCTATAAACCCAGGTTGTTGTTGTTTAAGGGGGAAGAAAGCTTCACCCCTTCCTCAAAACCAGAGTTCCTCTCCCTCAAATATCAGAGGTTTTGGGTCCTAGCTAAAGAACGTGGCGTAGTTTGGCTCAGGTGAATGGGCTGTCCAAGACTGGAGTGCAAAGAAACATGAGTTTGGGTGCCAAAGTTGCTATACTGTGTCATTGGGCATTCCCTCCCCCAACCAATATAGAGCCCTTCTTCTTGAGAAATATATTCCACCTAAGGTAGTTCCAGATTACTACAAGCTTATGGTTCAGACTCAAACCGTATAATGGTGAGGCCTGATTTGAGTGACCTGCGGAGATTGTTTGATAGCCTGGAGCATGGCAAGGATCAAAGGGCAGGTTAAGACCCTTATCCAATATTAGCTGATAATGACTGACCCCCAACGACCCCAAGCTAAGTGCCCCGTCCCACCAGCGCTGGCTTTTCGCTGTCACATAACAGGAAGTTGTTATGAGCCATGTTCTGACATCACATCCTACCAGCTCAGCCACTTTGAAACTGAAAAACACCCAACCTCAGGACCATAACAGGGCAACGGATTCAAGGGAAACGATCCCTTTTGGACGACTGACAGTCTGGGGAGGGGAGGGAGGGGGCACCGCTTTAGGAATGTGCCAAAAATGAAGCCTGAAACCTTGTATCTTTCCAAGGGAGGTGGAGTGTTAATCTGTTATTAAGAGTTATTAGGTAACAGTTACAGTTAATAAAGCAGGTTGTTAGAGGAAAGCACCTACATGTGATGGTGTGGGTACCGGGAGAAAGATTAATTAAAGAGGGTTTGGGGAGGGGAGCTGAGAGAGGAGATTCCGAGTGTAACTTTAAGAGCAACTGTTTATGGTTGGTTAAAAGCTTGGGCTATTGGAACAAGTTTCACATCCAATGCAATCAACAGGTCCTGATTGGAAATGCCTGCACAGAGGAGCCTTCTTACCCCAGGATCAACCAATCCTCATCACTAAATCAAGAGGTGGGAAGCTTTGCTAATGTACTGGAGGCTGGTCAACATCTGGGAGAGCTGTTTGTTGGGTGGGGGTGACCCTTTAGTGGAAAGTTATCATTCTGGGAGGAACCCCATCACTCTCTCATTGCTCTCTGATCGACCCGCTGGATGGTTGAAAATTTGTATTGTATTCGACGATGACGGGAAAGGTGGGGAAAGGTTTCTGGTGTTGTTTCAGCTGCTTTTGAGCCCGTAGAAAGGCAATCAACTGTGACGTCAATGGGGTTCAGGGTGTGGGTGGGCTGGGAAAGTAGGAGAATAGTGAAGCGCTCCGGCTCGTTACCCGGTAGGAACCCGGTTGTTAGTTGATTGGCAGATCGCTTTCCAGGGGTAATAATCCCTTCGAAAAATATAATAATAATAATAATTTGCATGGCTGAGTGCAATTGACTGTTACGTTTCGCCCACAAAATATACAATCAATTCACTTTACAGTATATCCTGTGAAGGGCTTTGAGGCGTCTCAACGACGTGATATGGGGGTATATCAAATGCAATGACTATTATTAATTAATTAAGGTGATGTGGGGTAGGGAGAGGAGAATTAGTCACCATCTGCATTAATGGGGATTGGAGGACAGGGGGAAGAGACAAGTGGGATTGCAGAGAGGTTGGGATGGAGACAAGGGTGGTGTCACAGCACTTGATCTGATCATTGGGAGTCTACTGCCCAAAAGGTTTTGTAATCAGTGTAATCCTGCAGGTACCCGGATGTGTCAGAGACCAATCCTCTGCTCAGACCCCACTTAACACTGAGCTCTGGGCTGGGCGCCATCACACATTAAACTCTTCCTGAAAATGATGAGCCAATTTGAATCAAGCGGGTGATCAGTGAGAGATCGAGAGAGAACTCAAACCTCTATAACTGTGCATCACAGATCTCCAATCCTAGCTCTGCTCAGTGACTCGAATACAAGTTTAAAAGATGGCAAACTGAATGAACAAAGCCCCTTTGGTAGAACCCATTTGCTTCCCGATGTTAGTGTGGGAAAGAGGGAGGAAATGGAAAAGGTGCAGTATATCGGCACTAAACCCAACCCCTTTGCCATTAAATTTCCATCTCGTGTTCAAAATTGTAAGGGTTTTTGATGAGAGTAGATAGGGAGAAACTGCTTCCTCTGGCAGGCGGGTCGGTAACCAGAGGACACAGATTTAAGATGATTGGCAAAAAAGGACAATTTCTTTTTACCCAGAGAGTTGTTACGATCTGGAATGCACTGCCTGAAAGGGTGGTGGAAGCAGGTTTGATAGTAGGTATCAATAGGGAATTGGATAGGTACTTGAAAACGAAAAACATTTCCAGGGCTATGGGGTAAGAGCAGAGGAGTGGCCTAAGTTGGTAGCTCTTTCAAAGAGCCGGTACATGCACAATGGGCCGAATGGCTTCCTTCTGTACTGTAAGATTCTCTGATTCAATGGTTCCTCTTACAAATGGAGGGGGGGAGAGGAGACTTCCCATTTTCATTGGAAGGGTTCAAACTCAAGCTTTTTTCCGAGTCCTCCCTGGTGTACATAGTAATGTAGAAGGCACGAGAAACCCAATGTCAATTGAAAACAAAGTGGGCGAGGATTTCACTATGTTTGATTTCCCACAGCTGATAGTTTTGTTGAGATTAATTTTCCCAGCTTTAGCTCGATTTTACCAGGCCTCGTACAGAAATGAACACAATCATTTTCCACTCAGCGTGGAAGAAAATTAATTCTTATTAACTGAATAGTTATTTCCCAAATTACTCCCATTAGGTAGGTGCAGGGCAGGGTGATTTCAATGATTAAAAACGTACAGTAAACAGATTGGCTCAAATCTAGTTCTCATCTGAAACTTGGCATTTCATCTTCCACCTCATAGTAACACAGGAACAGAGGAGCAGGAAGAAGCCATTCAGCCCACCAAGCCTGTTCCTCCAGGTATAAAGGGGTATGGCAACAGGATTAAAATATGTCTGTCTCTCTTTTAAACATCACCATTGGTTCTGCCTCTACAGCTTTCTGGGACAGAGTGCTTCATATCCTCACAACCCTCTGTGTGAAGAAACTCTTCGAAATCCCTGACTGTCCAGCACCTTGGGATGTCCTCCCGACGTGAAAGGCGCTAGACAAATGTAATTTATTGTTGTTGTTGTTGATCTTAGTTCTAACCATCTTACTTCTGATTTTAAGTTCTTGTAATGAATCCCTGTACCAAAGGGAAGGGCCCACTATCTAACCTCAATTCATTACATTATTTTAAATACCTCAATTAAATCTCTCCCTACCATCCTCTGCTCTGAGGAATATAACCCCAGTCTCATAATTATAACAATCCTTGCATTTCGTACAGTACCATTCACATGAGGAACCCGTCTCAAAACACTTTGCAAGATTCACTGTAAAGTGCAGTGACTGTATTTTCTAGGCGAACGGGACAGCCAATATGCCCCACAGCACTGTCCCACAAACAGCCATGAAATAAACAGTCTTATTTGGGGGATTTTTGGCCAGGACACTGGACACATTCCCCCGCATCCTCCGCCTCCAATTTGAGCTGCCAGTCAGCTGTGTGGAGAGCTTTGAGACGTCTCTCCCCACCAAACCCCTGGTGAAAGGCGATGTATTGAACCACAGAAATTTACAGCATCAGAAGAAGGTCATTCAGCCCATCATGTCTGTGCCAGCTCCTTTAAGTGCAATCCTTTCAGCCCTCCGATTTTGTGGGGCACTGCTGTGCGCGATTGGCTGCAGCGTTTCGCCCACAAAATACAACTTATCCTGCGAAATGCTTTGAGACTTCTCAGCTAAGTGATAAGGCGCTATATCCAATGCAAGGATTATTTTTAGAATTGATTTACTTGCCCTCCAGTATCCCCCTTGATGACAAAATGAAAAAAATGTAAATTGTAACAGTATTTGTAAATCACCCAAATACAGAGTACGAGAGCTGGTAAAATCGAGTATGGTTGATCCTGAGCCATTGGATTGGACCTTATTTGAGGAGAAGGCATCTGTGTGGATTAGATGTGGAACCTGACAGGTACAATGGATGCGGGATTTGGTAGAGTTCAAAGGGTTGAGCATGACAGAGCCCTTGGGTGGGGGGAAGATTTGTTGGTAAAGGTGTGGGCAGGAACGTCTAATGGGGTTTAGAAGGACAACACTCTTGTGTTGGGTAATTCCAGCGGGTTTAATCAGCAGTTAGTAAAATGCTTGCATGCATTTTAAGCTGATTTTGACATTAGTTTGAGAGAGAGAGAGGTTTTTTTCTTTGTGAAACGGGCTGCCAACAGCCAAATACTTACCGAAGGATTCTTTACGATTAAGAAACAGAAAAAAAAAAGGAAACGTTACAGAAAGCATTATTCAGCTAAACAGCAGAGAGGTTAAAGTCACATTTTAAACGCTTTAGAGAACGAAATCCGTTTATTAATCAGTTTCAATCACATTAAAAGAAAATAGGGTTAGTTCATTTCACGGACATCTTATTTAAATGGTTATTAGTATTAAGTTTTTGGGTTAAATTAATAGAAACAACAAGCATTCACACGAGGGTGGGGGGGATAAATTAGTGGCTAAAGTCAAGGTTGAAAATCATGGCAATTGAGGTTAAGGATCTTTGTGGGAGGGGGGGGGGGGTGGTCACAGGAAGGATTATGCCCAGCTGACTGCTGGCTGTGAAGTTTAGATGTAATATCCTACTTTGAGTTGGCATTTAACAGTTTTTTTTAGTTGATCTTTTGGGTTATTGGCCAGTGTTAAGGAAGTATTAGAATTGTACTGCTCAGTTTTATGCCACACTTACAGTCAGACAATAGTTGATGTTAGATTGAACGTTTGATTTGTCCAATGATTCCATTGGGTTATAATCAGTGCAATGCCTTTGCCTACACATACCACAACCAGCAAAGGAGAAGTAAAGCTTCGGGATTTCTCCCACTGTCGACCGACCGATATTCTTTCAATCATCATTACTTCTCTCTTTTTTTTTGACACAAGAATGAATCCCAAAATAGAACGTAAAAAAAAAAGGAAACAAAACGAGAGAGAGAGAGAGAGAGAGAAAGATAGAGAGAAAAAGAAAAAGCCAATAAAGAAACAAAGGGAACAACAGGCCCCAGGAAACACGAGCCACTTCAAAGATACAGTGGAATGAAAGGAATTGGAAGTAGAGTCACAGCAGTGGACAGCATGGACTAATGGATTCACAGAAGCTACACACACAGGACAGACAGAATGACAAGCTATGAAGACGTCAAACACAAACAGCTACACAAAGCGTTTCCGACTGTACACCTCTGGGTTTTAAACACCCGTTTTTTTCCCCCCCCCACCATCCCCCGCCCCGCCACGAACGGATAAATTCGTCGGCTCCTCTCCCCGCCCGCCCGCCTGCCCGCACGCCCGAGGTTATTTTTTTCAGCCCCTACCTGACCGCAACTGTTTGATGCGCGAACTGGTGCTGGGGTCCACCGGGAGGAAGTCCTTGAACCAGGTGATCTCCGGGTCGGGGTTTCCGCTGGCTGCGCACAGCATGGTGGCCGTGCGGGTTCGCTCCACCACCTTTAGCTGGGGGCCCATGTCGATGTTCGGGAAGCCCACCGGCAACTGGTCCTCTGTCGACCGGGAGAACAGGAATGAATAATTATTAGTTATCAATTAGAAATGAATAGTTAATAATAACCGTCTGATCTGCCTTTGACCACGCAGGCTCTCAGTAAGGGTTGTTTGGACCTTCTTCCTTTGGCTTACGTTGTGAGAGACAGTTGTCGGTCACCTCCCTTCTCCCTCTCCCCTTAGCTTGTGGTCGGACTCCGCCACTGTGAAGCGCTCCGGGACGCTACCCTGCGCGGAGGGCGCTACATAAAGACAAGTTGTTGTTGTCCCTGAGCCACGGGCGCCCAGGCTGATGGGCTAAACATTTTCCTGTGGGTGTTCGTAAAGATTTTCCGCGTGAAACGAGAACGATTCTCTTCAGGTTTCTTCAGTCACCACCTTCTCTCCTGAAGTGGCCCGACTCATTTTTCACCTCCACTGGAAAAGCACAGGTCACGCACCCGACCGGCTATTGCTCATCCCCGTATGCCTTGGCAGTGAGTGTTGGCAGACGGCAACGATTTCCTCTCCACCCATCGCTCATTCCACAAGTGGAAGAGAGATCAACCTCTGCTCAACTGCCTCCACGCTCGATTGAAGGACAGAAGCAAGAATATACAAAAGATCCTCTGGGAGAACAGGGAGACTGGAGAGAATGAGGGGTTGGGGATGAGGGGAGTAGGGTAGGGGGTAGGAGCCTCGCGCAGCACAGGAATTCTGGATGTCCCGGGGTTTGTGGAGGGTGGAGTAGGAGGAGGCCGAAAAGGAGAGCGGAGGTTGGAGAAGTCGTGTCTGTAGGTGACGAAGGTATGAATAAGGATGAGCTGATTTCAATTAGTCATTCACTTCCATAGCTGGTTGTTTGAGGGCAATTACTGTGTCACATTCACCTACAAAATACAATCACTACACTTTACAGTGAATCCTGTGCAGCACTTCAAGACATCCTTCAAACGTGAGGTGCCATATCAACTGCAAGGGTAATTATTATTATCAATAGTCACAACTGTTTGTGGGACACTGCTGTGTGCAATTGGCTGCCATGTTTCGCCCAAAAATAGTCACTCCACTTTACAGTATATTCTGTGAAGCGCTTTGAGACGTCGAGAAGACATGATAAGGCATCATATCAAATGCAAAGGTAATCATTATTATATTGTTATTAATTATGAATATTATATAATTCTTTCAAAGGCTTGTCCATATGAATGTACACAAGAGCTTTCTGTGACTGCACAACGTGCCGTTCTGCAAAACCCATTGAACCACATGTTTTTAAGACCCTGATATCGTTGCTTAGTCGTATGTTAATAAAATAATAATTTGGTCACTCAATTCACGACTGTTTGTGAGACACTGCTGTGCGCAATTGGCTGCTGCATTTTATGTACAATATATAGTCAATTCACTTCACAGAATATTCTGTGAAGCGCTTTGAGACGTCTTGAAGATGTGATAAGGCGCTATATCAAATGCAAGTATTATTATTATTATGCTGGATGCCACACGAGTCTGTGTGCATGAGTGAAGGCATGTGGATGGTTGTTGGCTCCATCCTGTGTCTGTTCATAGCTCTCAGAAGCTGTTTGAAATCCACATATTTAATTCATGCCGAGATTCCCAACCCATGAAATCTACATGAAAATACGATTTGCATTTTTCTGTTTAATTCAGAATTTAAGAAAAAAAGCCTCCAAAAAGGCTGATGGAAAACTCCCAGAGGAGAAAGCAGAGCGAAATGAGAGAGGGGGGAATAAAGCCATCAGATAAGGCAGCGTTACTGAAATAGCAAGGTCTCGAACGAGTGAGGCCAATTGAGGAATGGAAAGAGAGGCAAAAAGACAGAAGTTATCTCCGATAGAAAGTCCCAGAAAGAGGGCAAGGGACGAAACAGTCAGACAAAGATTGAGAGACAAAGAGAGTCGCAGAGAGAATGAAAGACAAAGAGAGCGAGAGAGTGACAGAGAGAACAAGAGTCTGAGAGAGAATGGGATACAGAACGATCAAGTCACAGAGGGAATGAGAGTCGCAGATAGAACGAGAGAGTCACAGAAATAATAAGAGGCAGAGAGAATGAGTGATAAGGAGACAGAGAGAAAGTCACGGAGAGAGTGAATGAGATACAGACAAGACCCACAGACAGAACGAGAGGCAGATGGGAACGGGGACAGGTGAAGGGACACACACACGCACACACAGTCTGTGAAAGAAACGCAAGTGCGGAGGGAAAGACACAACGACCATAATAATAACATTAATAATCTTTGCATTTGATACAACTCCTCATTACGTTTTCAAGACGCCTTACAGCGTATTGACGGAATACGCTGTAAGGCGGATTGACTGTGTATCTTGTGGGCGACACAAGAGGAAGACGCAGTAACCGAGAGCTTGTGAACCAGACGGGCCTACAAGGGCAAAAGAAAATCGTTCATCAGCGGCTGACAGAGGCCGGCAGGGCAGTGAGTTGGGAAAGCGTACACCTGTCTTTGGTTGACTTGACACAAGAATCCTCCCGCTGACTGTAGCTTTGCCAAGTCACGCAAGTTTGTCTACAGGCTCGAGAGGTCTTGCAGAAGATAAGATGAGATGAAAAAGCTATGCTCCAATCCCCCTCTCGCTCCCCCCCCACCCCATCCGCCCCCTCGATCGCCGCCTGGCTGTGTGCCTGCCAAGGCCGCCCTCCCCTGAGATCGCTGCTTCACTCGCTGACAAGTCGCAGCTGCTCGGCCAGGGCTGGGTAAACGGGGGAAGCGCTGGAGGTATGCGCTCGCCTTGTCCAGATCGCTCTCTGTGTGGCTCTCAAGGTCGATGCTGTGCTCGACTTCCTCCTGAGGTGGCCCCCTCCCCCCTCCTCCTGCTGTCTTTCATCATCATTATTATATTATGATGATGATGATTCAGATTAAACAATTACAATCCTCGCGTTTGATACGGTGCCTTTTGCCTGGGGAGGACGTCTCAAAGTCCTTCACAGGATCTTGCGGCGCGGTGGCTGTGTGTGTTTGTTGGTAGGCCAAACGCAGCAGCCCAAGTTGCGTGAGGCAAATGACCTGCCGACCGCCACGACGGGAGTGATCAAATTTTATCTGGACGGAGACGAGCAGATCTCTTCTCCTCTGGAAACACCCCCCGGACAGCCTGGTTCGTTTCTGTGGCTGACGTTTTCGTATCGCGACGCGAGGAGTGTTATTGGCCCTTTCGTAGAACCGTACAGCACAGGAAGAGGCCATTCCGCCCATCGTGCCCATGACGGCTCTTTGAAAGAGATATCCGATTAGTCCTGCTCCTCCCCCACCCCCCCCAATCTTTCCCCAAATCCTTGAAATTTTTTTCCTTTCCAAGCACGCATCCATTTTCTTTTCGAAATTTCCGAGCTTGCCTTTCCTTTTTTTTTTGTCTCTCTCCGTGTCCACGAGGGACATCACGTCTAACAAAAAGAACATTCTGCCTTCCCAGTTTCGGCTCGCTCACTGCTCCACTCGTTGCTGTGAAAGACCCAGCGTATTTGAAGAGAGAGAGAGAGAGAGAGAGACCGGTTGGTCAGTCTGAGGCCCAGCAGATGAGCCCCTGGGTATGTGAAGCCTGTCAAAGCCGTGGCACCTTTGTAGACATGCTCCAATTAACTCTGTTCTCCAGCTGCTCGCTATAAGTGCACTGTGCTTCCCGGCTCAGCGTGAACTTGACTCCCTCACACCACTTACTTGGGTCAGCCACTCACAGTGACAGCTCCCGACTCTTGACTGATGAAAGATTCGCGGAGAATCATTCTCCCATCCCATCTCTTTCCCCTTCAGCTTTGCCCAGGACTGCAAAGCGGGTCTCTTATTAACTGGACGCTGCCTACATGAAATACATAACCGACGAGGCAGGGTGTATTGCTGGCAAGATGAGAAAATGACACCATGTCTTATTCAACGGGAGAAAGCTGCTGTGTAATGGTGTTGGTCTAGTCAGCGGAGTGAGGAAGATAATGGTCAGTGATGGGGGTTAGAATGCTACCCCTGGACACCCCGCTCTCTGGAACTTGTCAGTCAGTTGGTTGGCTTAGTCAGCCTCGTTTCACCCATAAAATACACAGTCAATTCACTTTACAGTATATTCCGTGAAGTGCTTTGAGACGTCTCGAAGACATGATATCAAATGCAAAGATTATTATTATAATTATTATTATTATTAAGTGGTTGGTTCCCTCTGTTGGCTCTAAGGGTTCTCAGCCCCAAGACCCAGACCAGAACTTTGACTTCACAGTCTGTTCCCCAATGCAACTGAAAGCTTCGTCCACGCCTTTATCACCTCCCGCCTCGACCACTCCAATGTCCTCTTCACCCGTCTCCCCAGCTCCACTCCCCACAAACTACAACTGATTCAGAACTCCGCTGCCCCATGCGAAGGGGGCTATGCAAGTTGTTGTTCCAGTAGTAAGCTGACACTCCAATGTAGTACTGGGGGCTGTATTGTTGGAGGTGCTTCAGATGAGATTTTAAGCCCATTTAGGGGAACAGAAGATCCCGCGGCGCTATTGGTGGAGAGAAGGAAGTTTCTCTCCCGGTGTCCTGGCCAACAATTCTCCAGGGTAAATTGGTCGTACACTTCACAGCTGTATGTGGGGACGCTGCTGTGTGCAAACTGTCCGTCGCATTCAACAACTAATCAATCCCCAGTCACTAGTACAATTCTTTGCGAAGCGCTTTGAGAATTACAGGCGCCATATCAAATGCAAACATTGAGAATTTAAACTATATTAAACGTAACTGACGATAAGAATATGTTATAATAATAATAATAATCATTGCATTTGATATAGCACTTTTCACGTCTTCTAGACGTCTCAAAGCGCTTCACAGAATATACCGTAATGTAATGTTAACTGGTTTCTGCTCCCCTTTCCCACCCCAAAGAACAGGTAAGGTTTCCAATGATTCAAACCTCATCTGAATGCAGAGCTGACTACAGCCAAGACAATTACAGAGTACAGATTTGTAGTGAGAACAGACTATTGCAGGTGGTACAGAACATG